AATGTAACCTATTTAAATATTTTAAAATTTATCTACATGAAACTTGAAATAATTGCTTAACATAAAAAGGCACAGTTGTTATATAGACAAGGGCATAAGTTTTGAAAGCAATATTTTTGGAGTAATGTCCCTGTTTTACAGACAAGCAATTACATGGCATACAGTGGTTTTGTTTTATAATTCATGATGTGTTCATCTTTAAATATATTTTATACTTATGTCCTCTTAAATGTTTAGACAGAAATATTTGGTTGGCAGGGAAACTTGTGTTTTAAGTGCATATAATGAAATCATCATCAGAAATGTTGTAATTAGGTTTGCTTAACAACAGTTTTACTGTCAGTGCTGAGAGTTAATTACAAAAAATATATCCCATAAAGTTAAATGTAGAACCAGAAACAAATATTGATACACCCCCCCCCCCTCTCCTCTTAAGATATGTCTGGCAAAAATAAATGTTCTTAGCATATTTAGCATTTTTCTTTGTAAAACATAAGGTTGACTCTGCTTTGAATTTTTAAACTTAAGAAGTTTCCTTATGAGAAAACATAAATTGAGCCAAAATCATTATATAGAACAAGATCACATATTGCACATTTGTGGAGACTTTTTGGCGGTGTTCAGTTGGCACAGGTCTGTTATTGTAGCCATCAGTGGTCAAATATTTACAGGGGTGGCAAAATAAATTCTACATATTGCCAAGGTTATCCAAGTCAGCCTTATATGGACACATGAAAAATTACATGAATTTACTTGACAAATATTATAAAGACAAGTATAAAAGTGTTTCAGATAAAACAAACAATTAAGTCAAAATCAGAATTTGAAGGCTCTGGGTTATTTGTGTTAATTATACCTAGTTTGTCGTATTTAACCTCACCCTTTTCAATTCTATGCATACATGACTGAATTCTGTTGGCTGTGCTGTATAACAATCATGCAGCAATTTACCATTTCATGCCTGTCAGATACAATTGTAAGAAAAACCTGATTATTTGTATTTATATTGTCTGCCATATCACCATAAACAAATATTAAAAGGCCGAATTCAAATGATCTTCTAGGACAAAATATTACATGTTTCAAAGTTTTAAACACACCTGAATTTAGTAGGCTATATTCAACATTTCTACAACATAATACTATATCATAATACATGAAAATTTTAACTACATAGAAACAATAAGGTATTGATCAGCTAGCAATGAATCCCTTCTTTTAGGAAACTTCCATCAAGAAGGTCAGTTGTCCTACCCAGTTACTTGAAACTCCAAGGGTCTTGAAATGGGGTCAGTGAAAGCTGGAAAATTGCAAACAATTCCATCACAGAGACACAAGAGTTCTCCATATAGTTCGTTTGAGTTACTCAGACATCTGATAATTAGAAGCAATGATAATTGGAATTATGATAACAGAGATTAATAGAACACATTTAGAAAAAAGTGCAAATATGATGAATTGTTTGCTATTTGCTTTCTACTGGGTCCATTAAATGACAGGTGCCATTTTTTTCTGTTTGCTTAATCACTGGACATTTTCTGAGAGTTCTGAATTTGATCAGGTATTAAAAAGTTTTGCACAGTCCACTTGGTACATGATAACATCTCCCACAAGTGTAATGATGTGATAACTATCTTGGCAGTATTGAAAATGTTTTATCTTGGAAGCTTCACTTTTTACCTGACTCAACTTTCTATTTTCAAGGCATGTAAAAATGTTTTCCTGAAAAGTAATGCCAGATGTTCTAGTCTGAACTAAAATCCATTATTTATGACAGATGGCAAAAGTTTATTTCTTCAGTGCATTCTGCATTGAAAAGTAAAGGGGGGGGGGATTTTTTATGGTTTATGATTAAAATAATATTATAAAAAAAATACATGCATTTATTATTTTACTTACAAATGAAATATTGAGAAATATTGATAAAATTAAATGTGTATTGTCATTTTCCATATTTTCACTGTAAAAACTTATTTTTTGCTTCAATGCAACATATTTTTCGTATTTTCACTTCTTTCTTCTAAACAACATTTAAGGGGAAGACTTTCAAATTGTAATGTCAAAAAAGAGAAAAATATATAGTTATAATAAACAGAAAATTCAAGAATTTATTATCATCCTGTGGTATGAAAAATATCATATTTCACTTCCACTAATGAAATATTTTCATACCACTCAGTGAAAATAAACCCTGTATTTATAGAAAAAAAACTTGAATATCCTCTATGTATGTGATCCCAGAACTTATTGCAGGAGCAACCTATGATCCCTTATGGACTGTTTTAAGTTTCATAGTTATATGTAAGTAGTTGACTGCTGTTGACAATTACTGTCGTTAAGAGTATTAGGCAGAATATGTAAGGTAATTCTAGGAAATATGATATGTCAAGGGAGGTCACTGGCCCAATGATGAACTTTTGATCTTGGAATGGTCACAGAAAACAAGCGTGAAAATATGTGTCTCATGAAAAACATTGTGAATATCATACATGTATATGTACATTGTGGTCACACTTTGTAAGGAAAAAACCCATCTTATGCCTTACAGTACTTTTGTGATGCTTCAGTTGTGATTCTTTAAAAGACAATAGCTTTATGCCTTACAGTACTTTTGTGACTGCTTCAGTTGTGATTCTTTAAAAGACAATAGCTTTATGCCTTACAGTACTTTTGTGACTGCTTCAGTTGTGATTCTTTAAAAGACAATAGCTTTATGCCTTACAGTACTTTTTGACTGCTTCAGTTGTGATTCTTTAAAAGACAATAGCTTTATGCCTTACAGTACTTTTGTGACTGCTTCAGTTGTGATTCTTTAAAAGACAATAGCTTTATGCCTTACAGTACTTTTGTGATTGCTTCAGTTTGTGATTCTTTAAAAGACAATAGCTTTATGCCTTACAGTACTTTTGTGACTGCTTCAGTTTGTGATTCTTTAAAAGACAATAGCTTATGCCTGACAGTACTGTGTGACTGTTTCAGTTGTGATTCTTTAAAAGACAATAGCTTTGAGTCTTGTTTCCATTGTTTTTAATGTTCGAACTATGCTCTAAGTTTCAATGATTTAAAAAAAAGATAATAAAAATCAAATTGCATTAAATTAAATGTTCATGATTTTGAATGATTTCCAAAATTTTTCTTTGAAAAATAAAGTTGGATTCTTAAAATTGATTAAATCCATGCATACTTTATTGATGTTGATTTATCATGAATGCATCTGTGAAATTAATTAATAATTTTTAGAGGATTAATACATCATGGCGTTTGAAGTTTTATTTGATAGCCATGATTCACACAGTAATGATGTAAAGCTGTGTGGAGATGAATTGATTAATGAATTGTTAGGGATAATACACACAAACACATGTGGTTCACGGAAGGAATTCTAGAATGCCACATGTTAATATGACATTATTAATAAGTTAAATTAGATAATATTGCTTAAAGAACATCTACTGTTTTGTGTTCTACACGTCATTTCTTTTTCGTACCATAATTATGATTTATGTTGAATTCCACTTGTATTCTATTTTAAAGACAGCACACATGTAGATGTGATCTATGATTTGGAAGATGCTGATTTTTTTTGCTATGTTTTTTTGTAGTTGGAATTTATAGCTGCAGTATTCTAAACCAAATTTCAAGAAAACAGTTAAAAGCATTATGAACTGTACATGTATATTTTATGTTCTGGGAAATTGAGCATAAAATTATCTCTTCTAATAGTTTATTTGGCACACAAGTTGAGTAACTTCTCCAAGTAGAAGCATCTGCTATAACAAACAGAAGTGTTTACTTAGTTTACATTAAAATTATATGCAGTTAAAAACCTGTTAAAGTGACCACATATTGACCTCCTTTGAAGCATGAGGATAATGATTAATGATTGACATTCACACGTACATAGTAAATCACTAAATCATTATGCATTTCCTTGAGTTGTCACCGAGTGATACAACAAAACAAGTTTTACTGTATTTAAAATATCTGGGTGTTTGCTTTACTGAAAAATTTGCAAGGTTTCCTCAGCGCATCAAGATAAGAACAAAGTCTATTTTTCAAAGCAAAGAAATTAATGAAATGTTTACTTGTGCAGTGTGCACATGATTTGGAAAAAAAGGAAGAGAATAACTTGGAAAATTCCCAATACTTACCAGATACTGGAATTGTGAAAATTGTTTGTAACCATAGATTGAAAATGTATCTCATGATGTTAGCCTAATGGGAATTAGAAATATTTCAATAAAACATAAATATTTAATATGTATTAACAGTTATGATGATCAGGGGAAAACTTTTATAGGTCAATCTAGATTTAATATTTCAGTGAATTGTGAAATGATCATCGAATATTATATTGTAGTAAATCAAATGCTATTATCATCTTAAATATAAATGTATAATCATGTTTCATAATGATTTTGTATGGAAGCATAGATTTTTATAGATTATTAATATAGTAAAATAAGTCCTTGACCTTTGACTTGCAAAATTTCTTAATATTTAGGCAGTTTGTTTTTTTGAGGTTATAAATGTAATTGTTTAATATTTTTGACATCACCTCTTTGAAAATGGTCATCATGAAATCAAGAATGTTTATGAAGTTCAAGAATAATTCATGAAGTATTTCTGATCATTTTTGTAAATAAAAAAAATGGATGTAGGCATGTAGCTGAAAAATATGCAATAAATAATTATTGAATGTACATGTTTTTTGTGGCTTGGTTGTCTATTTTGATCATTTTTGTAGCATAAATCATAAAGTTTTATTCATGAAGAGTCAGTAAGAAAGTTTCATGCAGTAAAAAAATTTTTAAGATTCAGGAACAATTTTAAGAACAAATCATGAATGTTTTATGAATGCTCCCTGACAAATGTTAGTTCTGGCAACACATTGAAAATGCACTCCCTGACAAATGTTAGTTCTGGCAACAAATTGAGAACACACTGACAAGTAGCTGTTAGCTGTTACATACTAAATATGTATTTCTATATAATTTCAGGCAGCACAGTCGGGTCACAGAACACTCCTGTATGGACATGCAGTTCTTCTTCGTCATCTCCATAGTAACATGGTAAATGTCACTTACAACATTATGACCTTGAAAATATTTAAGTTTCAAAATGGAAGATAAAAACTTAAACCATGCATGTTTTTTTTTCAAATTCCTACAAATTTCTTATGAAAATAAAACACAATCAAAGCTGCTGAATCATCAATAAATGAATGTGAAGTCCTTTATTTTTGCTTGAAAATAGTACACTAAATCCAGATACTGGTGTAAATTCATTGGTAAAAAAATCAAATTAGAGGATATTAATATGTGGTATTGATATATGTTTTGAATATTGTAACATGATTTATAATTTGATTGATTTAAATATTTTCAGTATTTATCATGTTTATCCACAAGTTCATCCAACGATAAATTGGCATTTGATGTGGGACTCAACGAGGCAGCTGAAGGTCAGTATTTATGTAACAATTAATTATTGTATATGATGTCACTATTTTTGACCTCCCTATATTTTTGACATCACCTTGCATTATTAATTTTTATCACAATCAATCTCATTTGTGATATAAAGTTTTATTTGATTATTTATAAGATAATGTTTATATGTCACTGTATTAAACTGTTCACTAGGGGGGAAGGTATGTAAGCGGCTGGATAGTTTAGTCAGTAAAGCTTTGGGTCACAGGTAAGAATCTAGCTCAGGCTGTACATTTTACTCTCCCTTTGGCAAAGGCATTATGTTTTTAGAATGTTTTAAACCTTTTATTTGTTAATGAATAATTGAAGTGCAACTATTACACTAATGATTCAATACAATGATAATGTTTATTTTGTTCATTAATCATTCCATTAAAGCTGATTTATTCTTTTTATACACTATGTGTTATCAATGTTGAGGATACCCAGGAAATGGATTTCAACAAGCATGTCAAGATAAAACATTGCCCTTTTGCAGTAACGGAGACATATCAGACATATCGGTCAGACTAAAGTGTTTTAAAGTAGAACAAACTTATGCCAGTTCATTTAAGTTATTAGACATTATTTAAGTCCGTAGACAGTGTAGACAGCATTGTTTTCCCTAGAGTAACATTTACACCATCATTAGCCAGGAAATTTCTACTTCCGTGAAAACTGTTATCCTATAGATGTGCCATCAGTCATTAGTAAAGCTATATGTAAGATGGGGTGAAGAGACTGGATAACTAATTGATAGGTCAACCATTGTCTGTACATTAATCCATGCGAAAATACAACACTGTTCATACCACTTCAGACATATAACTATTGTTTACTTTATAATATGAGTGATTGACTTTTTGTGTGTCTGCTTCCCTGTAAAATATATACTTGTTCGTAAATGTTTACAGAGTATGTATTTATTGTATAACCAGTACATTTAGAATTGTATATTGTGTTATTGTTACCATGGTTTTCTTTTAAGAATTTTGTTTGTCTATGATTGTATGTCCATGCATTCTTCTAAGGTGGAATTATGACATCAATTTTTCCTATGATCTCATGTTTCCTGTGATCTATGAAGGCATGTTTTCTTTTCTAGACCAACTTTGGAGTTCTATATACCTACATCTGGCAGCTGTATCATAAGAATTTATATATATATGTCCAGGATAAAAGAGAAAATATGTGCAATTTGTTAGATACTTATATTTTTAATGAGAATTTTCATTTATAATAGATGAATTATTTCCAATAAGTCTCTCTAGGGTTGATAATAACGCCCCAAATTGTAAATCTTCAAATTAATTTCTTGACCTCAAAATAAAGGTGTTTGTCAAATTAACAAGCTCCTGTAATGATATGGTTTTTATGAAGAAGACCATTAAACATTAATAAATGAATAAATTAATAAATATTATAATTGACACTAACTTTTTAACAGGTGAAGCATGTTGGTGGACCATACACCCTGCCAGCAAGCAGAGGTCAGAGGGTGAGAAGGTCAGGGTCGGTGATGATTTAATCTTAGTCAGTGTCTCCTCAGAAAGATACTTGGTATGTTCTTGATTATTTTACTGTTGCTTTTGATTTTATAGTTACTTTTCTTATAAACTTATTATGCACTTCACTTACTCTGAATGTTTATAACCATTGGCTTTAAAAGTATTTTAACCCTAAATCAGCTGGAACTGAAATTAATTAGTGTTTGCCACCAATATAAAACTAGGCTCTATATTGTCAGTAGCTTAATTTTAGTAATTGATACTGAAATTCCTTCAACTGAATAGAAAAGCGGGACAAATTTATTGGTTCAGTGTAAAAATCATTGCAAGCATCAAAAACATAACATTAATAAGCTGTATCAGTTAGAGTGGAAAGTAGTTTTGTCAGAATTATTTGAGATTTGATATGACATGAATGGGGATAGTGCCACTCAAATATTGATATTTTCTAATGATTCTGCTTTCTTGCACAAAGAACCTCTAATTTCTATCTTGTTATAAGTAGGAAGGACCAAGATACAAGTTCTTATTGTTATTTTGCTTACGTTATTGTTATTTTGCTAAAGTAGAATGAACTAAGATCTGGGGTCTAAAAATATTGTTATAAATAGAAAGAACCATGATCCAGGTTCTTATTGCTATTTTGCTTACATAGAAAGAACAAATCAAACATGCATTGCTTCTTTTGTCAGATTTTAAATCTAGTTTTCCAGTAGATAATTCAAACAAAAATAACAGAAAACAGTGCAGGAAAAACATAAAATTTGTGTCAAAAAATCTGCTCACTGATTTATAACCAGGCTGATCTCGTATGACAGGGAAATACTAGATTGATTATTAATTCCCCTGGTAGAACATTGAGGCATTGTATGACAGTTTTATGATATAAGGCATATTATAGTGATTATATTTCAGCACATTGGCAGTGGATCAGAATGTATTGCCTCTTTTCAACAGACACTCTGGACAGTTGTTCCAATGAGCTCCGGTGCTATCAGAGTCAAATCAATGGGTAGGTATACATGTAATGTCTCTCTACTGAATTTTTAATCCATACTTTCATGTTAACAAAATAGCACAAATTTGATTTGCCTTTTGGCAAATACTGGCAAATATGATTTTATTTTGTCCTCTCTCATTTTTTTGCATGTAGGTTTAAATTAGAATATCAGCGTTGTAGTTTTGACCATCAAAATAATATAGAAGGAGATATTGAAAAGTCAAATGGGCAAATTAACAAAATAAAATTTGATAATAAGCTTAAAACATTATAATGTTTATTGTAAAATAGAAATATCGGAATTATAAAGCAGAAGAATATTTTGCTAAAACCATCCTTGTTAATTTATGGGCTTAGAAAAATTTCCATTTTCTCTAATAGACTTACTATTTCAATTTTAGAATTGCAAACTGTACTCAACAAGTCTATTATGTAATGTTTTATGCAAGAGTTTATAATACAAAATTAGTGTTGATAAAAAGGTTTGGATCATTATTTTTCCACTAGGTAAAAATGTGTAATTATTTTATGTCTAGATAAGTGTGTATTAAATGAAGGATGATGCATAAAGCAGTCAGTCTTGTTTAAAAGTGATGATGAAAAGTAAAAGCTTTTAACAGGTTATAAACCTGTGGGGAATCTCGGGCACGTCTGCTGAAAGTGTTATGTCTGCTGAAAGTGTTTGTTAACAATTGTCTGGACATAGAGTGAAATAATTTTATAATGGTTTTGTCATCAAGAGTTACAGATAATAAATTGTCATCATTTTATAAAGCCAAGCTCTCATTAGTTTCGTAAACATGTTTTACAAATTCAAAAGAATATCTAGTATTTTATGAGTGCATTGAGAGTTATAGATAATGGGTTGTCATTACAGTAAACTCCGCTTATAACGAACTCATTGGGACATTCAAAATATGTTCCTTATATCCGGAGTTCCTTGTAAGCATATTGCGAATTAGTTCCTTGTATTAGGAGTTTTTATAGCGAACAGATTTACATATAACGAACTGATTGTTAAACATCGGCCGCCATTTTTAAGAGCATTTGATTAAGAATAATTATTCTTTTTTAGACACAATACCCGAGAGCGTACATTTTGGAATTTGAAAAATCCTTAGCTATTTCAGTTTTAGTTTTACTCTCTTTCTCAATTTTTCATAAAACATCATATTTTGTTTCTTAACTCAGTGTTTTTCGTTTTCTTTCAATGAATAAGAATAAACAAGATTTTCCATTTTTCTTCCTTTTATATTGAATATCTTCTATTATATTTTAAGGGTGACTTTAACTTATGAAATATAAAGATTTCTTTTCATTTCAATCAAGCATACTTTGTAGTTTTCTGTGGATTATGTTTGCAAGCATGCGTGATTATGTTGAAAACCGATAATTATTTTACTCAAGCAAAACTATTAAAGAAAAGAAATTATAGAATAAAAGGAATTACCGTTTTATCTTTGTGACAAGAACTCAAGCTAAACATGTCCTAAATTGAAAACTATTACATACTTCTATACAAAATCATTTTCATATATTGAATTACATACAACAATAAACGGTACATTCCGCGAGTTTTATTCCGTGCCAGTTGAAAATGCGGGATATATTTACGAATAGCCGATATTTGGAGTTTGTTATAAAAGTGTAATTTTATGCACTTTTAACTAAATTGGGACTAAGAAATGAGTTCCTTATAAGCGATAATTCCTTATAACTGTGTTAGCTATAACCGTATATTTTTATATTAAATAAAGAAGGGCAAAATTCGGGCCAAAATAAATTGTTCCTTATAACCGGAAGTTCGCTATAACCGTGTTCGCTTTGAGTGAAGTTTACTGTATTTAGAATAGTCAAGTTCATTAGTTTTGAAACATGTTTTCATAGAATATATATTGTATATTATTTTAAGAGTGCAGATAAACAATACCCACTGGCCTATGACTGTCAATAGAGAGTCAAGCTGTAATACAGATCCTTGTAGTCTAAATAGATTGATGGTTACATGATTTCAGCATTATGTCAATTGAACTTAATACATATACATGAATATAATCAGTAATTGTTTGTATTTATGTTAAAAATATCATATGATTATGCTCTGTATGTAATTTGCTACCTAGGTGTTCTTATAGTTCTACTGGGCTGGTTGTTTTTTCTTTGTATATTAAATATGTATTTGTATCTTGTATATTAAATATTTATTTGTATCTTCTGGTATATATTATACTTGTAAACTCTTGTCCCTATAATAAAGAACTTTCTATCTAAATTAGTTACTTTATATCAAATTTATCACATCAGTCCAGCATGGACAAAAATTAAAACTCAACAATTTCATAAGATGTCAAGTATTACAGGCTGTCTTCATCACTGTTATTAGTTGTTATTGATTACTTCACACACACACGTCTATTTGTCATGAGAACTGTGAAGAAATTTAAGGAGGAAATTTTTTTTCCACGAGGATGTCAAGTATTGTCATCAGAAGAGATTCCCATGGTTGACAAAAATGGCTTCACTTTGTGATATAAGAGAAATTTAATTTCCTAGGAAATGAGTAGAAAGAGCACTTCACTATTTGGCAATCTATTTTATTAAGAGTTTTGTATTAAATTCATGGGGTCAAGAACATTGATCATTCTGTAAATATCAAAAGTACAACTCTTGTAGGTGTATCTACATATTAAAATAGTAGTGCTACTAAAAAATAACAAAAAAAAAAACAAAAAAAAAACAAAAACATATACATCATTTCTTTGGAAAAACATTTAGAAATGGATAATGTATGCTTACTACACTGCTATTAATTTAATTAACTGTTGTTATTTTCAGGTTATGTGTTTGGTGGATTTGTATTACGACTTTTCCATGGTCACAAGGATGAATGTTTTACTAAATCATTGTTGTTATTTTCAGGTTATGTGTTTGGTGGAGATGTATTACGACTTTTCCATGGTCACATGGATGAATGTCTTACCAAATCATTGTTGTTATTTTCAGGTTATGTGTTTGGTGGAGATGTATTACGACTTTTCCATGGTCACATGGATGAATGTCTTACCAAATCATCATTGTTATTTTCAGGTTATGTGTTTGGTGGAGATGTATTACGACTTTTCCATGGTCACATGAATGAATGTCTTACCAAATCATCATTGTTATTTTCAGGTTATGTGTTTGGTGGATTTGTATTACGACTTTTCCATGGTCACATGGATGAATGTCTTACCAAATCATTGTTGTTATTTTCAGGTTATGTGTTTGATGGAGATGTATTACAACTTTTCCATGGTCACATGGATGAATATCTTACTAAATCATTGTTGTTATTTTCAGGTTATGTGTTTGGTGGAGATGTATTACGACTTTTCCATGGTCACATGGATGAATATCTTACTAAATCATTGTTGTTATTTTCAGGTTATGTGTTTGGTGGAGATGTATTACGACTTTTCCATGGTCACATGGATGAATGTCTTACCAAATCATTGTTTTTATTTTCAGGTTATGTGTTTGGTGGAGTTGTATTAAGATTGTTTCATGGTCACATGGATGAATGTTTTACCAAATCATTGTTGTTATTTTCAGGTTATGTGTTTGGTGGAGATGTATTAAGATTGTTCCATGGTCACATGGATGAATGTCTTACCATACCTGAAGCTGGCAGTGACAATGAATTCAAGTAAGTTAAACTCAGTTTGATGGAATTAATAATAAACTGTTCGCTGACATTTTTGAAGCTGAAAATTTTATTTAATGGTATTATTTTTGAATAAAGGAGAGAATTGACAAAGAAACTTGTATTAAAGGTATTTAATGGGAGGGAAGAAAAACAATCTAAGTCAATTTTAAAATATACCCAAAGGTATAATATTGTGATTAAATGATTCATTTTTAAAGGACAAATATAACAATTTCCCATGATTTTCATTATAAAATTAAAAATGATGCTTTTATCATATCTTAAGCATTGATATTTTGTTATTTTATTGAAGTGATATAGTAAACAATATGTTGATATTTCAGCTGCGTTATGTATGAGACAGGAGCAGTTTGTAATCATGCTAGGTCACTATGGAGACTGGAATTCAACAAAACCAAGTAAGTTAACTTGTTCAAAAACAGATAGTCTTTACCTCTCTTTGCATAATATATTAAAAATAGGTTTTTTAACCAGGTTTTCAACGAAAACCGGGTTATTGTAATGCCGAAGTCGGCGGGCGGCGGGGCGGGCGGGCGATTGGCGGGCGGGCGTCAACTTTTGGTTTCCGCTCAATAACTTTAGTTTGCTTTGGCCTATTGACACCAAACTTGGTGTATGGATAGCTTATATCAAGAGGTAGCTTGGGATTGCTACCCAGGTGTCTGTGATCAAGGTCAAGGTCACTGTTACTAAAAATAGAAATTCAGTTTCCGCTCAATAACTTGAGTTTGCTTTGGCCTATTGACACCAAACTTGGTGTATGGATAGCTTATATCAAGAGCAGCTTGGGATTGCTACCCAGGTGTCTGTGATCAAGGTCAAGGTCACTGTTACTAAAAATAGAAATTCAGTTTCCGCTCAATACTTGAGTTTGCTTTGGCCTATTGACACCAAACTTGGGGTATGGATAGCTTATATCAAGAGCAGCATGGGATTGCTATCCAGGTGTCTGTGATCAAGGTCAAGTCACTGTTACTAAAAATAGAAATTCAGTTTTCCCCTCAATAACTTGAGTTTGCTTTAGCCTATTGACTCCTAACTTGGTGTATGGATAGCTTATATCAAGAGGCATCTTGGGATTGCTACCTAGGTGTCTGTGATCAAGGTCAAGGTCACTGTTACTAAAAACAGAAATTCAGTTTCCGCTCTATAACTTGAGTTTGCTTTGGCCTATTGACACCTAACTTGGTGTATGGATAGCTTATATCAAGAGGCAGCTTGGGATTGCTACCCAGGTGTCTGTGATCAAGGTCAAGGTCACTTTTACTAAGAATAGAAATTCAATTTCATCTCAATAACTCGAGTTTGCTTTGGCCTATTGACACCAAACTTGGTGTATGGATAGCTTATATCAAGAGGCAGCTTGGGATTGCTATCCAGGTGTCTGTGATTAAGGTCAAGGTCACTGTTATTAAAAATAGAAATTCAGTTTCAGCTAAATAACTTGAGTTTGCTTTTGCTTTTTGACACCAAACTTGATGAATGGGTAGCTTATATAAAGAGGCAGCTTGGGATTGCTACCCAGGTGTCTGTGATCAAGGTTAATGTATTAAGTTTTCATGTTATAACTTGAGTTTGCTTTGACCTTTTGACAATAAACTTGCTGAGTGGCAGCTTTGGATTGCTACTTAGATATCTGGGAGCAAGTTCAAGGTCATTTGCTTACAATAGAATTTTCAGCTTCTACTTCAGTGTACTTTGAAATATTGATTGCTGTCACATCAAAATTTGGTCGTTGAAAACCTGGTTTTCGTCGCATTGCGGCGCTTCTTGTCTTTGTAATAATGTGAGAAATCTCCATGAAAAATTTTTAGACGTAAAGGAATGATAGATTGTGACACTATTTGTAGTGTCAATAGTGTCAAGCTTGTATAAGTAAACCTAGCAGACAAAAGTAATCAAATTGAAAAAGGAGAAAAAGAAATATGACTTGCTCAAATCAGATATATAAAGCAATCTAAAGTTCAGTTTTATATGGATTGTCTGAAAACTTATGGTGATAATACTACTGGTATTAACTTGTCTGTGACAGCAGTATTATTATTAGAGACCTATAGTTTGATAACATTGTTATTGTTGAATTGTCATAATGTTTATATTGAAATCCTTTATTTAGTAACTTGCCATTCATTTATATAGCAGGACATGCCAATTAATTTAGACATTCTTGTACTTTTATATAAAGAAATCAGTTTTGTTTAATATGTCAATGATTAGTTTAATACAAATTTATTTTAGTTTAATTGTGTTGGAAGCTATAAGCTTATTGAAACACTCTTGAATATGTTCCTGGAACCAACCAGTATTAAGCAATCAAAATAAAGTTTCTTGCTCAAGGAAACAACGCCTTGCCCCTGACAGGGTTTGAATCCATGCGGTCAACAATCCTTAGATTACTAGTCTGATGTGTTAACCACTCGGGCACACTGCCACTGATTACTTAACAAACCAAAAAGTTGAAATTAAACGTTTATTTTCCCTTGTGTTACATTTGCCTCGGGACTTGTGTTTTCAGATGGACAGGGGGATTTATGGGATGGGGTCAACAAGTACGTATTCGTCATGTGACCTCAGGTCGCTACCTTGGTGTAACCCATGAAAACGCTGTAGTTACTGTACATAGAAACAAGGCAGATGAAGATACTTGCTCTTTCTACCTCAGAATGACAAAGGTAGGGAACAGAATAGAACATAATACAACCTGTTTTATCAGGAATATGAACAAGAAATAATCATTTATTATTTTAAATCATATCACTTTTTTCTTCAAAGGAGCAAACCATGTGATAGTGAAAACTAGCGTGTTTTGAATTTGACAATATTTTAGCATTTATTTGCTTGCATTTGTAAAGTTATATTTTTTCTTTGTTTGAATTGCAGACGTGACAGCTATCATTTAATTTAATGAAATTTCTCAGAGGCACTGGTTTAGTTTCAGTTCACATAAATTTCCTGGTGGTTGATATTCTGTGACAATAAAACATTTTTTTTATTTGTTCTTAAAGAAGAGATATAATTTTGTCATGTATTTGTTTTGGTTGGGTGCTTTAGCTTACTGTTAAGGTTATTATATATAGAGAGAATAATATGCTACTGTCTTTTGATATCAATTTGATCAGGAGAGGCTGATATAGGTTATAAGCCTGTGATGTCACTTCACTAAGTTGGTGCTTAACTATTTGTAGGTATTTGAAAACAAAATAAAAATGATAAAAATCACATCTTGATTCGAGACTTGTAAGCATATGAGATAAAATAGTAGAATTCAAAGGCTGATAAAAATGAGATAAACTATTGAAAAAAGTCTGATGAAATGGGTGGGTCTTATTTTTGATATCAGGTTACTAGCCTGATTATCAGGCAAGTGTTATTGGGCAGTTACCATAGCAGTTGCATAATGAATTGATATTTTATGTATTAGGATGACAAGAAGCAATCAGAAGGTCACGAAGATGAGGGTATGGGGAAGTCAGATCTCAAGTACGGAGATTCTGTAGCATTTGTTCAACACTGTGCAACTGGTCTCTGGCTCTCATATCAAACATTTGAAACAAAGAAACGTGGTGTGGGACGTGTGGAGGAGAAAAAGGTATAAGTCATTGAAGGACCTCTATCTTTGTTAGAATATGTTTAAATAACACTAAAAAATAGCTTTTTTAATCCATTCTGTTTCAAAACTGTGCATTCATATTTGGCACACAAACATTTTAATGAACTGAATACTTTTACTGCAATATTCAAGTGATTATTATTAGAGTTATACCAAAAATGTACATAAATGACAGGAAGTAAACTAAATCCTAGATGTATATAAGGAAAAACAAATTAGTAGTAACTATACTTATATGATTACGTTGTAGGCTGTGATGTTGGTTGAAGGTCATATGGACGATGGTATTACATTATCACGTGCACAGGAGGAAGAGTCACGTTCTGCACGTGTTATCAGGAAGTGCCAGTCTCTATTTAACAGATTTAACAAGTAAATATAACAGTTTCTTTCTCAGTAATCATGTAAGACAAACTGTTTCTTTTAGATATCTATTTAAATGTCATATGCAGACTGTGTGTAGAGCAGCTGCCATGACCTTTACAAAAGTAGAACAGCTAATTAGTCTGGTTCTCAGTTTTATCTCTTTCCCTGCTTATGTAATTTTATTTAATAGTCTTATTTTACAATTAATAATGTGATATATTATGATATATTGTAGAGCCTTAGATTTATTACGAAGTGAAGGTCGTAACAGTATAGCATGGTCAAGGATAAAGTTACAAGAAGTTGTGAAGTGCCTTACAGATCTCATAGACTACTTTCAACAACCAGGAAAGGATGAAGGTAAAATTATTTATGTATAGCTGATTTTCAGGACCTCTAGTACAGTCAAACTAGTCTGGAAAAAAAACGACAAAACCAGTCTTGATAAAAAAGAAAAAAATGTAAGTGTTCTGAATCAATTGTGTGAACTTATGATATGATAATGAGAGAAATATAATCCAGCGGAACAGTATTGATGTATTGCATTATACAATTATTTTGTACATTGCTAAGTGTCACTGTTTATGAGAAAGGTGTGTAATCGACTAGATAGCTCAGTCTATATTGGACCGTCAAAATACCAATACTAGAAAGCCTGGACTCCATACCTTCCATCTTTTCTAAACCAGGACTTAAGCATCTTTTCTAAACTGTGACTGAAGGCTCACCCATAAGTCTGAGACAGAGTTGACTTGCCTGCTTGTGTTGCCTTATTAGCTTTCTTACTCACTCTTTTATTATCTCTTATTATATGCCTTCTGTAAAATGCATAAAGAAAATCTGATGAAAACCAAAGGAATTATTTTGTATGTTTTATTACTAGTATATTGTAACATTACAATGTATACTTTATAAATGATTTGATTATACATGGATACTTAACGTTTTCATCTAGAAAAGAATAAGATTTAAAAATTTAATGATTTTTTTATATTTGCAGAGCATGAGGAGAAACAGAATAAGTTGCGAGCATTACGCAATCGTCAAGACTTGTTCCAAGAAGAAGGTATGATAGCCCTCATTCTGGAGACAATTGACAAGTTTGGACAATACAAGAGCAAGAGGCAGTTTGCTCACTACGCTGGCGAAGACTCTGCCAACAAATACGATGATATTTCCAGCTACCTGTATCTCCTCCTTGGTAGGTGCTTCTTAATGACTACTTGTTTCTCCTTAATGAGCGCTTCTTAATGACTACTGTATCTCCTTGGTTAGTGCACCTTAATGACTACCTGTATCTCCTTAATGAGCGCTTCTTAATGACTAATGTATCTCCTTGGTTAGTGCCTTTTGATTACTGTCAATATCTCCTTTTTATGTGTCTCTTAATGATTACCTATATCTCCTAATAAAGTGCCTCTTAATGACTACCTATATCTCCTTATTATGTGCCTGTTAATGACTACCTATATATCCTTATTAAAGGCCTCTTAATGACTACCTATATCTCCTTATTAAGTGCCTGTTAATGACTACCTATATATCCTTATTAAAGGCCTCTTAATGACTACCTATATCTCCTTATTAAGTGCCTCTTAATGACTACCTATATCTCCTTATTAAGTGCCTGTTAATGACTACCTATATATCCTTATGAAAGGCCTCTTAATGACTACCTATATCTCCTTATTAAGTGCCTGTTAATGACTACCTATATATCCTTATTAAAGGCCTCTAAATGACTACCTATATCTCCTTATTAAGTGCCTGTTAATGACTACCTATATATCCTTATTAAGTGCCTCTTAATGACTACCTATATCTCCTTATTATGTGCCTGTTAATGACTACCTATATATCCTTATTAAAGGCCTCTTAATGACTACCTATATCTCCTTATTAAGTGCCTGTTAATGACTACCTATATATCCTTATTAAAGGCCTCTTAATGACTACCTATATCTCCTTATTAAGTGCCTGTTAATGACTACCTATATATCCTTATTAAGTGCCTCTAAATGACTACCTATATCTCCTTATTAAGTGCCTGTTAATGACTACCTATATATATCCTTATTAAGTGCCTGTTAATGACTACCTATATATCCTTATTAAAGGCCTCTTAATGACTACCTATATCTCCTTATTAAGTGCCTGTTAATGACTACCTATATATCCTTATTAAGTGCCTCTTAATGACTACCTATATCTCCTTATTAAGTGCCTGTTAATGACTACCTATATATATCCTTATTAAGTGCCTCTAAATGACTACCTATATCTCCTTATTAAGTGCCTGTTAATGACTACCTATATATCCTTATTAAAGGCCTCTTAATGACTACCTATTATATCCTTATTAAGTGCCTCTAAATGACTACCTATATCTCCTTATTAAGTGCCTGTTAATGACTACCTATATATCCTTATTAAAGGCCTGTTAATGACTACCTATATATCCTTATTAAGCGCCTGTTAATGACTACCTATATATCCTTATTAAGTGCCTCTAAATGACTACCTATATCTCCTTATTAAGTGCCTGTTAATGACTACCTATATATCCTTATTAAAGGCCTCTTAATGACTACCTATATCTCCTTATTAAGTGCCTGTTAATGACTACCTATATATCCTTATTAAAGGCCTCTTAATGACTACCTATATCTCCTTATTAAGTGCCTGTTAATGACTACCTATATATCCTTATTAAGTGCCTCTAAATGACTACCTATATCTCCTTATTAAGTGCCTCTTAATGACTACCTATATCTCCTTATTAAGTGCCTCTTAATGACTACCTGTATTTTCATATTGAGTGCCTCTTTATGACTACCTATATCTTTTAATTAAGTGCCTCTTGTATCTCCTTGGAAAATGCTTCTTACAACCTTGCCACTTGATGTTAGCTCATTTTTATTTACAGTTGTTAGAAAGTATTCTAGTATGTTAAAGACAGCAGAGTTTGAAACTTACTTAAACTCACATAATGTAAAGTTCCTGTCATTTTATCCCTGTAATGTAAAACATATTTGTGCATTGATTAAATTTCTGGAATAGAAATGTTATTTATAGTCATTATCTAGAACATTTAAATCAATAGAAATTCAATTTCAGTAATGAATTGAAATGAGAATTCTAAACATTTGAAATCAAATTTAAATAAAATGCTGAACTTGATTTGCATATAAAGTGGTTAACTTTGATTGATTATGATTTATGGGGATTGCTGAATTGTTTCTTATTTTGTTCCGTATATCCATATTTTAGCTGCCATGATTCGTGGTAACCGTGCCAACTGTGCCCAGTTTGCCCAGTCGTACAGACTGGACTGGCTTGTACATAGACTGGAGAGTCAAATGTCTTCCAAAGGTGTTCTTGACGTCCTTCACTGTGTTCTTATTGACTCACCTGAAGCCCTCAATATGATCAAAGAAAAACATATTATCACCATTATCTCCCTCATTGACAAACATGGACGTGATCCAAAGGTGTGTAACTTTATTATGTTATATTTTGTTTATAAATATGTTGTTATATATTAAAATCATACCATTATGATTGAAAATACATGTACTTCAAAAATATTTTTCAAATTATTCTAAACTTTCATTTTAAGAGTATTGATTATAGGAGGATTATGCTTTCATGTTCTGTGATTTTTATGGCCTCATTTGTTATGGGGTGGGGAAGATGCATATAGATTTGCCCTTATCCATCTGGCTATTACACAGTCCCTCCCTAGACTTAATTTTTTAATGTGAAATTATCAAATCATTTCCTGGTAACTACAGACAAAACATGGCTATGTTTTATTTGATGATAAATTCCACCTAATAAACATAATATTATTTATACATTGCAGGTGCTCAATGTATTGAAGTCCCTGTGTGTGGGAAACGATGTAGCTGTACGTACCAACCAAAACCTGATCTGTGATAACCTACTTCCTGGCTGTGACTTACTGCTTCAAACCAAACTTGTAGACCATGTCTTTAAGTAAGACTTACTTTTGCTCTAATGCTTTTATCCAGAATATATTTTATACCAAAGGTTCATAGAACCACTGATGGCATTCAGTGAACTTGATCTTTAATCCTGCTGTATTTTTGGTTATTGACTCATTACGTTGGTGATTGACTCATTATTTTGGCAATTGATTCATTATTTTGGTCATTTACTCATTATTTTGATGATTTACTCATTATTTTGGTGATTGACTCAATATGACTGAAAGTTGGAACTGTCTGTTTTGTAAGTATTTCAGTATCAAAATTCTTAATTTAATTTAGAAACCAACAATACAGATTCTAGGACTACAGCATAGGGCAGCAAATATGTGTAGCTCAAAATGGTGACTTACACCTGTAATTATTGTTTATAGTTGTTAACAATTTATTACAAGGTATTACTATGATACCTTCTTGTATAAGTATTGAATATTATTATGTATAAAGTGTATAATTGTTATAAAATGACCATTTATGTTACATTTGATACCTGTATTTCCCGATTGTCATCACCATTCTTAACTGCTTTGTAATGTAAATGGAAAATTAAATTTTATGTAAAACCATATGGTCAAAAACACAACGGAAAAAATCCTAGGCTGATATTTTTATGGAAATATTGCTGAATGATTTTTGGATTTATTGCCAAAAAATAGACTGATTTGTGTAAATGAAACACCAAAAGATGAAACATTAAGTACAAGCTTACTGTCAGGTTATGAAGCCTAGACATATTTTAAGACCCTGCACATTTCTGTTTTAATGTTGCTGGGTGTTGAATGTAAACGTAAATATGTGTATATAGAAAAAGACTTATTTCATAAGACATTATGATTGTCTTTGACTGATTGTTGAAAATATACTTCACTGCAAACAGAATAGAAGATGTTTTAACAAATTTGTTCAATATCTTTTCAACTTTTCATTATTTTAATTTCCAGTATGAAACCAAACATTTATGTAGGCCAATGTGAAGGGTCTAGCATGTACAGGAAATGGTATTTTGAGGTGGTAATAGACCAATACGAGGCTGCCTCTCATCTCCCACCCTTGTTGAGGATAGGTTGGGCTAATAGTAATGGGTTTGTGCCTTACCCTGGTGGTGGTGAGGGAACAGGATGTAATGGGGCTGGAGATGATCTCTTCTCATTCGCCTTTGATGGTGTTAGTCTATGGACAGGTAAGATGCCTTAAAGATTATAGAAAATTCTAAATATGTTGAATTTTTATGCCCCCACAGAGTGGGAGCATATAGCGTTGCACTTGTCCGTCCGAGTGTCCGTCCGTCCGTCAGTCCGTCCGTCAGTCCGTCCGTACGTCCCGAAATCTTGTGAACGCAACTCCTCTTAAACCGGATGGCAGATTTTGCTTAAACTTACAGGGATGAACAACCTTAATGTGTAGATGGTAGTAAAGGAAGGAATTTTCGCTGCGACCAAATTTAACAGAATTATGGCCCTTTGTTGATTTTTTCACTAGATACTATGTAGAAATTTTGTGAACGCAACTCCTCTTAAACCGCATGACAGATTTTGCTTAAACTTACAGGGATGAACAACCTTAATGTGTAGATGGTAGTAAAGGAAGGAATTTTTGCTGCGACCAAATTTAACAGAATTATGGCCCTTTGTTGATTTTTTCACTATATACTATGTAGAAATTTTGTGAACGCAACTCCTCTTAAACCGCATGGCAGATTTTGCTTAAACTTACAGGGATGAACAACCTTAAGGTGAAGATAGGTGGTAAAGGGAGGAATTTTTGCTGCGACCAAATTTTACAGAATTATGGCCCTTTTGTTTTTTTCACTATATACTATATAGAAATTTGTGAATGCAACTCCTCTTAAACCGGATGGCAGATTTTGCTTAAACTTCCAAGGATGAACAACCTTTATGTGTAGATGGCAGTAAAGGAAGGAATTTTCGCTGCAACCAAATTTAACAGAATTATGGCCCTTTGTTGTTTTTTTCATTATATACTATGTAGAAATTTTGTGAACGCAACTCCTCTTAAACCGGATGGCAGATTTTTTGCTTAAACTTCCAGGGATTAACAACCTTATGTGTAGATGGTAGTAAAGGAAGGAATTTTTGCTGCGACCAAAAATTTAACAGAATTATGGCCCCTTTGTTGATTTTTAGTTTTCAACTTGCGGCACATGTAGTCCAAAAAATATTTGACCTAGAGTCATAAGATTGACAGAACAGTGGCGTGTGGGGGCATCCGTGTCCTATGGACACATTTCTAGTTACCTATAACCATGGCATCACCATGTAGATATTATTTTACCATTAATGAAACTCAGACAGAAATGTTAATTATCTGTGGGGAAATGATAGGCATTTTAATGAATGCCATTACATACCTGCGGATGTTCAAAATAAAATAAGAAGAAAAAAATGAATTTTGTGTTTACAAGTACATGTACTAAAAATTTTTAAAATTTTTTGTCTGGATTTTTTAGAAGATTTTGTTAATATTTTTATTTCTGTTTCTCAGATACTTACATAACAGCTGAAAGAAATTTAGCTTATGAACTTTGTAAAAACCATCATTTTTCAATCCAGGTGCCAAACCAAAACAGGTTCGAGATTCTAGCATCATCTTCAGAAAGGGGGATTATATAGGTTGTGCTCTAGATCTTGCTGTGCCACAGATTACTTTCAGCGTTAACGGATCAACTGTTAAAGGCTTATTCAAAGATTTCAATATGGATGGTCTCTTCTTCCCAGTTATCAGCATGACAGCTTGTGTCAGGTGTGTACAGTGTTCTAATGTTATAATGATAATGTTATGTTAATTCTATAAAGCTGGAGGTTACAAACTAGTCTCTAGTTGTAGATTTAACAAAGTTTTTTTTTGTCACTGAAACTTGTGTTCATTATTTGTTTTGTTTTGAATTTTAAACTGAACATTAGTAGGTGTAAGGTTCAAAATGCTAAAATCAAGTAGTTGGTGGTTTTCTAGTCTGGTTATACTGAAAAGACTGACAGGTGTGTCATGGTGAAATAACCTACTTCATGCATGTATTACAATTTCCTAAAAATGCATTGTTCCTAAAAATGCAATGTTTGTTTTATTTGTAATGTTTAATTCGCTTCACAGCAAATATTTGTTATTCTCTCTACACATTTCTACATTTCTAATATAACCCATCCTCCCAAAAAATTTGTACTTTAAACTGCTTTCTGGTTATTTCATTACAAGTCAGACAAAACATGTAAAAAATTGTCTTTTCACCGTAAAAAGTTTTAAATATACAGCCATACAAGAGTGTAATTTTCAGAAAAAATGTCTGCTCACAAGTTCAGTGAAATGTAGAGTGTTCACATGGCCATTATTTGGTTTCGAATGATTGACAGCCGTATAACAGTGAGAAAGCCTGTTAATATTCTACGATATAAACCAATATCAGCACGAATGAGTGTGTATCATGCATTACGTCTCGCGGATTACAATTGAACATTTTGATTATTTGCATGTTATATTTGAGATGAGAGGGGAAAAAGATCAGACAAATTATTGATATTGTAAGGAATGGTTTTAAACTTGCCAGACATTGATTTATATCTGCAGGGTCTCTGCATATTGCCCTATTTTTGTAGGAATAAGTTGAATTTATCCCATGCTTCTGTATGATTGTTTGGAAAACCAAATCTGAAGAATTCTAGAATAATTGTTGCTTAAATTGCCTGGAAATATCCTACAAAACTTAAATCATTTCTATCAAGAATAAGAGTACATGTAGTTTGAAACATTTTTATAAAACAATTGAAATGATTGCTGTTATTTAAGCTTTGTCTGTAAATATGGAGTAGGAAGCAGAAAAAGTCATTAATGAATCCCTTGCAAAAAGGTAATTCTTTAAGATAAGATTTATGGTATTTTAAAGTCAACAAAAAAGCAAAGAAAACAATGCTTAAGACAGAGTACTGGAAAAAGAAAAGATTTTTAAAATGGAAATTTGTTTGTTTCATTTACAGTTGTCGCTTTGTGCTTGGAGGTAAGCACGGCAGATTGAAGTTCGGGCCACCACCAGGTCACTCTCCAGCAATAGAATCCCTGCTACCGAAGGAGAAGCTAAAAATAGAACCATGTTTCTATTTTGGAGATGTACAGAAGAACATTGTCAGTGGTCCAACAGAGATACTGGATTATGCACCTTTTGTTCCAGTACCAGTTGAAACTGCTAATGTAAGAAAGTTTTTTGTAGACAAAAAGCACTTATTCAGGTTTTTCTTTTTGTTCATTGATCTGTGATAATGTTTCTTATAAGACTTTTAATTTGTAAAAGATGATTCATGTTTTGGAGATTTTTTTTTATGTAAATGTAAAAAGATTAGCTTTAAAATACAAATTTTCCTTATATCTAATGTTAAGAAGTTGTGAAACTAATTAAGCAGGAGGTGATATACAACAGTCATAAAAATATCAGTTATCATTATAAAAAAAATCACAACATTATAATATATGAATGTATAATTTGATATTATTTGACATAGTTCTCTGTCTGCCCATTTGATCCTTGAGCGAGGCAAACTTTCTCTGTGACAATTGATCTATGACATATGAGTCTATAGGTCATTTTTCTCTGATTGCTGAAATTGTTGGATTAGTAGTTGGTCACTTGTGGAGAAATTGATTTACACATACATGTAATTAGATATGAATGTTTTACATCTTTGGTGGCATGATCTTTATATAAGTATTAATATTACACATACAACTTGACATTATAGGTGCAACTGCCTATTTACATTGAAAGTGTGCGTGACAAGTTGGCTGAAAACTTGCACGAGGTATGGACAATGAACAAGATAGATCAAGGCTGGTCATGGGGAGATACCCGAGACGACAGACACAAGAAAAACCCAAGTCTTACAACGTTTGAAAAGATCCCACACTCCGAGAAGAAATATGTTGTCACAGTCTCTTTTGAGACTTTGAGGTCAGACTGATTTGAGCCGCGTCATGACAAAACCAACATAATGGGTTTGCGACCAGCATGGATCCAGACCAGTCCGCGCATCCGTGCAGTCTGATCAGGATCCATGCTGTTCGCTATCAGTTTGTATACTTGTTATAGGGTCTGTAAGCGAACAGCATGGATCCTGATCAGACTGCGCGGATGAGCAGGCTGGCCTGGATCCGTGCTGGTCGCAAACGCATTATGTTGGTTTTGTCATGACACGGCTCATTTATTTTTTAGTCTTTTCCTTAGAATTTTTCTTACTGATGCAAGAGTTTTAGATAATGTTTGCTTCTCTGTTGTCAGAAAAAATTGTCTAGACTCATACCTAAAAGATTTATGAGAAGTACATTATGTAACAGGAGTTTTGTTTTTAGTTTTTTGCTCAGACTTTTCATATGAAACTTAAATGGAACAATTAGTGCATTATGCAAGAGATTTTCTATAAATTATTTAGAGTAGAGGATTTAATAAAGAAATTCTTTGTTACAGAACATTGCTAGCACTTGGATATCATGTTTCCATGGAGATCAAGGAACAAAAGACAAACAGAATGAAGACAATCAAGTTAGGAAACAAGTGAGTCAGATATTTGTTGGTATGACCATAAATCTCTAATGGTGTATAACTTGAGGAATTCTGTGTAATTGTTTATCTCTCTTAACCTGCCTAATGTTTTAGATGGTCTTGTCCCACTTTATTAATTTTTGTGATATCAAGATGAAAATTTGAAGTCAGCCAACAGTACAGAGCCTGGTTTGACAGCATAGGTGAGCAGGTGACCTGGCTTGAAACTGGTGCCAAAAGCTTATCACTTTAGTTGCGGCAGGTCAATGCTAACTGATGATAACTTGTTTTACCGCCAATATAAACCCATTTAAATCTGCACATTCATGTGATTTGAAGATTGGTGTTGCTTACTTCCTGTAGCATTTTCATTCAGCATTGTTGAACACAAGAAAGTTTTCATTCATTCTTTGGCAAGTCCACCAAGCAAGTTAAATAGGGTGAGATAAAATTTAAAGAGGTTGCAAATGAAGTGACAAGTGACATTTAATTAATTTGAATTTGTGAGATTTAGAACTTTTATTCACATCTATTTTTTCAGCTACTTGCAAGGGAATGGCTATAAGCCGTCTCCTCTAGACCTGTCAGGTATTGAACTGGACGAGAAAATGAATGAACTTGTTGAACTCCTGGCAGAGAATACTCACAATGTCTGGGCTAAAGACAGGATCAAACATGGTTGGACATACGGTCTCTATGAGGTAATTCTTCCAGAACATAACTTTGATGCTTAAACGTTATAAAAAGTAAAGTGGTTTTTTTTTTTCATCAAATTTGTTGGATGGACCAATGATATACATGTATAATTATCTCATAGAATTTGTAGAATACTCAATAATAAACTTTTATTTAGTTTATGTTACTTCTAATGTTTACATGCTTGAATATTGAAGTTTGGTAAAGTAACTTTTATTGAGTTTAGTTGTTTGTCATGCACGTGTGTACACCATATTCAAAACGGTATAATGTCTTTGTATCAAAATGAGGTTTCTTCTTTCTTATTTTGATGAAAGAAAGTATAATTTGGATGAAAATAATAATTTTTATTTTAAATAACTGATAAAGTTAGGAATTGTTGAATATTTGTTACAGGATTCTGTGAACAAGAGAAGTCCACATCTAGTGCCTTACAACAAAGTTGAGGAACATATCAAGAGGGCTAATAGGTGAGTAGGTTTGTTATATTGTAACACTATAGACTTGCTTGTTTGTTTGAGGGGTGAGCAGAATAAAAAAAATAATATTAAAATATAGCGATTTACATGTAGATTCACTTTCCAGGCAAACACAAGGGTTTATAGAGACATATTTAAAATGTAGTTAAAGAACGCAAATTAAGATCACAAAAAGTTCCTTTCATGAATGGCGAATTGAGAAAATCAATCTATAAAAAACAGCAACTAAGAAATTGCTATTTCAAAAACCGTAATAACAAAAACTGGGAAAAATTCCGCAAACAAAGAAATTTGGTCACAAAACTAAAAAGAGAGTCAATGGAAAAATATTTCTTTGAAAGGTGTAATGAAGGTCCAAAATCTAGCCACTTTTGGCCAACAATTAAACCGTTTTTGACATCAAAATCTACAGCAAAATCTGACAGCAAAATTAATTTAATGAAAATGAGACCCTAATATCAGACCAAAAGGAAATAAGTAATATTCTGAATGATTTTTATGTGAATATTGCTTGTGATATTGGTATAAAAACTGATGCTGATATTGATGAAACACATCCTAGCATAACACAAATATCTAAAAATCATCCATCAATAGATACTTTTCAATTTGCTCCAGTGAGCACTGATCAAACTTTTAAATTATTGAAAAGTTTAAATTCAAAAAAGGCCATTGGTGTGGACAGCCTACCACCAAAGATAATTAAAGCAGGTGCGTATGCCCTGACAAATCCTATAACTTCGCTTATTAATAAAAGCTTTCAAACCTCTCAATTTCCACAAGCTTTAAAACTAGCACAAGTTAAACCTCTGTTCAAAAAGGATGATCCTTTCCAAAAGAAAAATTACAGGCCTGTCAGCATCTTACCTACCATTTCAAAAGTTTTTGAAAAATCTATTAGTGCTCAACTTAACTTACATTTTGAAAACATTTTTCATGACTTTCTATCAGCATTCCGTAGAAATTTTGGCTGTCAGACAACATTACTGCGCCTCATTGAAGATTGGAAGAGAGCATTAGATAGAAATGAATATGTAGCTGCCATACTCATGGATCTGTCTAAGGCTTTTGACTGTCTTCCGCATGACCTGATTATTCTTAAACTTAAGGCCTATGGTCTGTCTGATGCCTCTGCTAATCTCATGCAAAGTTATTTGTTTAAAAGACAGCAACAAGTAAAACTAGGTACAATCTGTAGTGAGTGGAATGAAATAAACAAAGGTGTTCCACAAGGGTCAATTCTTGGTCCCCTCTTATTTAACATTTTCTTAAATGATATATTTTATTTCATTAAAAAGGGTTCTGTTTATAATTATGCAGACGACAATACCCTCTCATTTAATCATATTAATGTGGAAACTCTCAAAAGCACAATACAAGATGAAAGTGTTGTCATGATTAAATGGTTTGAAGACAATCTTATGCAAGCAAACCCTGAGAAGTTTCAGGCTATATGTATAGGCAAACAAACCTGTAAAAATGTGTCTAAATTCCAGATTCTTGATGCCACTATTCCTTGTGAATCTCATGTAAAACTTCTAGGTATTGAAATAGATTCCCTATTAAATTTTGATATTCATATCTCAAATGTTTGTAAAAAGTCAGCAAGACAAATAAATGTATTAACCAGACTATGTCCTCTACTTAAAGATCCTGTAACACATTTTTTTCATGGATTTATTTCATAAATATGATGCTGAAATTAAGATTTGTCAATATTGTAAGTTCCAATAAGCATTATTTATAAAGATATTACCGAATTAAACATTTCATGTAAATAAAGGGAGGTAATTAGAAATTTATTTTGTATAAATTCTAAGTCAAATTTTCCAATAAGAAATGAATGCATATAATTTATTGATTAAAATATAATGTGCACAAATATTTGCAGTACACATTTTACATATTCCTCGATGTTTGAAAATTGTTTTATTTGCATTATTATATACATATATAATTTTTTGCAAGTGTGGTAAACAGACAGTAACAATATCAATCACAAAACATACAGGATCTTTAATCTGGATGCAAAAATTCTTATATACAAAAGTTTTATCAGATCCAACTTTAATTTCTGCCCTTTAGTCTGGCATTTTTGTAGTAAGGACAATACAAACAAGTTGGAAAAACTTCAATATAGAGCTCTGAAAATTGTTTTTAATGACTATTCATCAAGTTATGAAGATCTGCTTAAACTGACTAATATGTCTTCACTCCATATCAGTAGAATTAAACAACTCGCTATTGAAGTTTTTAAATGTCTTAACAGCATTTTCCTAAGTATGTTCAAGAACTTGTTAATGTGCGTTCATCAAATTATAATTTTAGATACCAAAAAACTTTAGATGTACCTAAAGTACGCACAACCAATTATGGTAAAAAGAGTTTTCGCTTTGAAGCATCTAAAATCTGGAATAGTTTATCTAATGATCTAAGATGTACATCTGACTTAAATGAGTTTAAACGACTAATTGAGACATGGAGTAATGACAAGTGTGCCTGCTCTATGTGCATCTAATCGTTTATGTTCTATTTTACTTGATTCCTGTTTTTTGCTTGTAAATAAATTTAGTCTTTTCCTTGAATTATGTACTATGTATCTGTATATATGTAAAACCCTGTTAATAGATATGACTATATTTTCATTGTAAATGCTCAGATTTCATTACAATGACTATATAAATTAATTGTATGTATTTTTATCTTATGGTGTCTGTTTGTTTTTGTTTTCTTTGTTTCTTATTATTATTTTCTATATTTTGTTCATGTCGGATACAAGCTTAAAGCTTATGTTTTGTACTGTTAATCATAACCGACTATAAATAAAGTTTGTCTTACTGTCTTACTGTCTTACTAGTAGGTCATTAAGACATCCCAGGTCTCTGTAAGGTAAAGTAAAAGTAATGGTGTGGAATAAATGGAACAAGAGATTTTTTTTCAGTACTTTAAATGTAACAAACATATGTGATATATTTCATTAGGGATTCTGCTGCTCAAACTGTCAAGACAATTTTGGCATATGGTTACACCTTGGAGCCTCCCACTAGCGAGCTGGGGGAAACATCTGGGCATCTGTCAGGTAAGTCCTGTCAAACTAGGTAATCTTTTCATTAAATTCTTAAGACTAAAATCTTTGATGTTGTTTATTTTTCATGTGCAGTGATATTGCCAATTTTGAAATTTTTCTTTCAAAGTCTTTGGTTTACAATATCTAACAAATTATAACATATTTAATACAGATACATTTTGTAGGTTGTTGTTTTAACAGTGATTTGATATAACATATCTTGAAGTGTTGCCATCGTATCGCATGGCGTGCTTAGTCTATAGATGTCTCTTCATATTTTTTTGGTTTATTGCCGTTATTTTGTGTAAATTATCATTTTGTATTGGTACATTTGATGTTATAAATTTAAGAACAACGACATATGATGTTGGTATAAGTGCAATGACATATGATGTTAATTTAAGTTAAATGACATAAAATTATGATGTTTTTTAACTACATTGGCAAGTATTATATCTTTTGTAAATTCCTACAAAATGTTGATAAAATGATAATATTCTGAAAATTAGATCTCTGAAAAACACACTGATTCAGCTCATTAAGGTACTGGTAAAACATTGGTTAAATGCATCTTTAAAAAATTAGACTGAGCAGGGCAAGCACTATTACATAACAGGTTTCACACCACCGCTGATTTATTTGATTTATTATCTAAGAATTTAAAATTTATTTCTTGTTAATACAAGTGATAATTAATTGGTTTAACTATAATATTATCATCTTTATCTCAAGTATAAAAATTATATTCTTAATACATTTTGTGTTTAAATATGTCAGTATTATTATGTCTAATAAATTATGCATTTTGATTAATTTGAATTAATATTACTTATAAGATATTGTAAAACCTTTGTTTAATGTTGTCTGTGTCTGTGCTATTAAATGTAATAATTTATGTAATAAATTTATTGTTAAGTTTGTTTTTGTATAACTATACTTACTAAGGTGATATGACATGGTACAAACTTTCTTTAATGCTTTATAATATAGAAATAATATGTTGAGTTTATAATTAAGGTATTCCATCCGTGTTTGATAAGATAATTGGCAAATGTTATCTACAGATAATACAGTATGCTTGGGTAGATAACAAGCCTTGCTAAATGGATAATCATACATAATGCTAAAAAAAAGGTAAAAATGATCATTGATAAAGCAACAAACCTTGTTTTAATGGATGGAATATCAAAAGAATATAATTTTATGTAAAAATGTTAGGAAATAGATTTGCATGATGTAAGGTTATGAGATTTTGTGTGTTTTATACTGGCATATAGCTGGCTATTAGCATATTAGTAAGCTGTAGTAGTATAGAAACGCTATTTTGCTACTATATATATGTATATGCATATATTTGATATATACAGGTGAACATGTTATAGATTGTTACAATCATGGTTGATATGGAGAAGAAAGTAGACCCCCTATGTAGATTTACCAGGTCATAAGTCATATGTTACAGTAAAAAATCAGTAAGGGAGGTTGATAACTACCTTAAACATTTAGGCTGCTAGCGGTGAAGGTTAAATGATTTTTTTAAATGGATTTTTAGTGCATTAAGGCCTTTGATATGTAAACATTTTTGGCTTGCCCTAAAATTGTCTCACTTACTGTTTTCTTTTGGACATTTGTTTATTCATTTATGTTTGATATTTGGTAAAACATCAAATAATCTTGTGGGTGAAAGGATTATCAAAAAGTGGAGAATTTCTTTTCAATTTTTTTTTTAAAACAAAAATGTTACCATTAAAAACCAACTCCAGAGCTATCCAAATTGATATACATGTAATATGTTTTGCTCTGTATATTATCATTGACATGACATTGTAGTCTATCTTTCAATTCAATAAGTGATAACAAGGGATGGAGGAATATGGGCTTATGACCTGGTATGTGTTCTCATTTTTTGTCTTGCTTAAAATATAAGAAGTATTTTTCATTTTTTTCAAGGAAGCAAACTAGAAAACCATTTGGTTATCCATGGCTTAGCTAAAGGTAGGCTTAACTCCTATATTATTTTATAATTTTATTATTTTTTTTAACAAATTTATTAATTATTGAGATTTTTATATATTATATAATATTTTTTAACAAATTACAAACCAATTTTCATTTTATTTTAACTATGCAGTAACTCGCTTCTCTCAGAAATTTTGTATAAATAAGAATCATATACATTTGTATTGGTGAGTTGTTGAATTAATTGTCCGTCTTCAATTTTCATATCAGCTTTTTTTGATTAATTTACATATTTTTTCAATTTACTTCAAAACATAAATTTTTTCATATTGGTAAATGAGTACCAATTTTTGGAGAGAAAAAAAAACAAACAAAATTTTGTTAAAATGTTATTAAATCTCGTACATTTTGAGATCTTTTTAATTGATATTGTGTTAAGATAAAGACAGCATTCGTTTTGATGCCTGCTGGATTTGCAGTTTTTGATTTATCATTTTGTGTAGTAAAACAGAACTATATGCATTGAGTGAGAATGAACTACTTTTTTCTTGATAACCCCTATCATACATTTATTTCTAGTTTTACCCCAACCTTCATCTTTTGCATTATAACATACATGTGAAAACACAAGATCCTAACTTATTTCATTAAGTTTCATATTTGATAACTTAGATAACATGACCTTTTTAGTGTTTGAATATTTACATTTAGATTTATAATTAAACTTTCTTTCTACAGCATTTTTACAAAATCCAAGGTCATACACTGGGAAGAGACATATTTTGTGTAAAATCTTTTTTTTGTGCTTTTGTGCAAAAGTCATGACTTCTTTCATCAATTAATAAAATAAAGAAAATTAAAAGATTTTAAAAAAATAACCCACTGTTTTAAAGGCTTAATTTTATCAATGAGAAGATTATCTTTCAAATGAAAATATTTTTTTTTCACGTTTTAGTAAATTTTGGTCAACCATTACCATGTTACCATTACCATTCTATGATACATCCTTTACAAAATGTTGACAGCATTCAGGGTATTTCTTCTTTATTGTCTTGATAAATTTCATTCCATAGCATTTACACAGTCCAGTGTGATAATTCAGCTGATTTTGACATATTGCTTTACGCAGAATGTGTGTATGCATGGTGGAATTTTTAACACTACTTGTTACTATAAATAGTTGTGTATTAAATTATGTTGTTACTCCTATCAGCTGACAAGACAAGAGAAGAAATCCTGAAGAAAACGCGTACATACAGAGCACAGCTTAACAATGCTGTGAATACTGGGAAATGGTGAGCTTTACATTTCATTGGAAATTTGCATAAACTAATCTAACTTTGCATATTTTCTAATCAATCAATCGTCAGTAGGGAGGAAATAATCTATCATTGTCACTTTACATTAAAAAAAAGCTTATAGACCTATTGACATGGGATCGAGAATGCATGCTTTTATAGCATATTTCTGATCATAGTTTAGAATTAAAGTTTAAAAAAACACATTTTCTTGTATCTGAACAGATTTCATGCTTAGAGATAATATACATGTGTAATATTATATATTCCATTAAGTGATGAATTACAATTTACATGTATAATTATATGCAAAAATATCCACCATGCTAGAATTGTATTGGTATTTGGTTTTATCGAGAGTTTTTGATTGGTACTAGTCATAATTTGTACTTGATTACAGGTACTATGAGGTAGAGGTCATGACCCCTGGGTATGTCAAGGTCGGCTGGGCACAGGAGACAGCAGATCCCTCCACTGAAATCGGTCTGGATGGTCGCTCATTTGCTTTTGATGGACTCTGTGTATGTATATAGAAACTGTTCTAGTGCTCACATTGTGATGAAAACACACCTATGTCACACATTGAGTCATGTCAACTTGTATATCTGCACATCTGACAAAACTCTTTTGTGTTAGATTTGTTGATAAATAATAGCTTTTTATTATATTAGAACTCCTTGGTAACAAAATGAAATGCCAACTTCCTTAAGGTGTTTTTTGTTATTGGAAATAAAAAAATCTAAAAAAAAAATCTCATTTGTGGTAAGAAGAATTAAAATTTAAAGCCAGTATTATTTGAAAGTTAATATTCTTATAGCATAGGACACTGACATTGTTATGATTGTCCCAAAACAGTTAAAAAATACACAGTAAAACTGATGCCAGCTCATTTATTAGTACATCTATGGATGTTGTCCCTTCAAATTTGAGTAAAACTGCATTGTATTATACAGTATACCACTATGTGAATTTTGAAAATGATTATCATTTTTGGTCCCAACAATGACCATATATTTTTTAGGACTGAGTGTATTTTTTCAAAAAATCTTCTAGAATTTTCTTTTCAATACATATAATCAATTATTTTTCACTTAATTATATACATGTATGTGAAATGAATGTACATGTATATATGAGTGAATTGTTGTTCAAATCAGGGTCGTAAATGGAACATGGGTGCTGAGTTTTATGGAAAGACCTGGCAGACGGGAGATGTTGTTGGATGTATGCTTGATCTTCATGACAAAACAATTAGTAAGATTTCCAATTATCTACTACTAGAAAAGTCATAAAAAACCTTTATTATTGTTTTTATGTTTATGTTCCTAAAAAATTTCTTTTTTTTTCTTTTTTTCTTCTTGAGTTTAATATGGGAAAAAATATCAATTTTTAAAATACAATGTAGTAGTTGTTACATAATCATAAAAAATATTACATATTAACAGAGGATATGCAAATTATTTTGCTTGTAACTATAGTTTTCTAATTACTTGGCTAAATGCTGGACACATGATAAAATTAATTCATGAAAATTTTACTTAAATGTATGGCATTTCAACTAAATATACATATATGTGAATTTAAAGTAAACTGAATTATGTGAATTTGTCCAAATGTAACTGAAATTTAAAGTAGACTGCATTATGTTAATTATACCCCCGCACAACAAAGTTGTAAGGGGGGTATACTGGAATCAGCTTGTCCGGCCGTCCGGCTGTCCGTCCGGCTGTCCGTCGGTTTTTTCTTGTCCGCCCAATAACTTAAGATTCCTTTGACCCTTAGTCTTCATATTTGGCATGGAGGTTAGTCATGATTAGTAGATGACCCTTATTGATTTTGAGGTCACTTGGTCAAAGGTCAAGGTCACAGGGGCCTTGACTTCAAAAAGCTTGTCCGCCCAATAACTTAAGATTCCTTTGACCTACAGTGGTCATATTTGGCATGGAGGTTAGTCATGATTAGTAGATGACCCCTATTGATTTTGAGGTCACCAGGTCAAAGGTCAAGGTCACAGGGGCCTTGACTTCAAAAAGCTTGTCCGCCCAATAACTTAAGAATCCTTTGACCCACAGTCTTCATATCTGGAATGGGGGTTAGATGACCCCTCTAAATTTTGATGTCACTGGATCAAAGGTCAAGGTCACAGGGACCTTGACATTAAACAGCTTGTCTGCCCAAAAACCTAAAAATCCTTTGACCCACAGTTTTCTTATTTGACATGTAGGTTGGTCATGATGAGTAGATGACCCCTATTGATTTTGAGGTCACCAGGTCAAAGGTCAAGGTCACAGGGGCCTTGACTTCAAAAAGCTTGTCCGCCCAATAACTTAAGATTCCTTTGACCCATAGTCTTCATATTTGGCATTGAGGTTAGTCATGATTAGTAGATGACCCCTATTGACTTTGAGGTCACCAGGTCAAAGGTCAAGGTCACAGGGGCCTTGACTTCAAAAAGCTTGTCCGCCCAATAACTTAAGATTCCTTTGACCCCCAGTCTTCATATTTGGCATGGAGGCTAGTCATGATAAGTAGATGACCCCTATTTACTTTGAGGTTACCAGATCAAAGGTCAAGGTCACAGGGGCTTTGACTTCAAAAAGCTTGTCCGCCCAATAACTTAAGATTCCTTTGACCCACAGTCTTCATATTTGGCATGGAGGTTAGTCATGATTAGTAGATAACCCCTATTGATTTTGAGGTCACCAGGTCAAAGGTCAAGGTCACAGGGGCCTTGACTTCAAAAAGCTTGTCCGCCCAATAACTTAAGATTCCTTTGACCCACAGTCTTCATATTTGGCATGGATGTTGATCATGATTAGTAGATGACCCCTTTTGATTTTGAGGTCACTGGATCAAAGGTCAAGGTCATAGGGACTTTGACTTCAAAAAGTTTGTCCACCCATTAACTTAAGATTCCTTTGACCCACAGTCTTCATATTTGGCATGGATGTTGATCATGACTATAAGGTGACCTCTATTGATTTTAAGGTCAAAAGTCAAGGTCACAGGGACCTTGACAAAAAAAAGAAGCTTTTCTTATCAATTGCTAAAGAATGTCCTGTCTGCAATGTATTGATTTTGACATTTTCACATTTGAAGCATGTAGAAGACATAACTTAGCAATGCACTGGCTTATTAACCTCAGATTTGGCAGGGAGGTTGTCCTTGAGCTCTAAATGGCCACTGTTGATTCTGACAAAGTGGTATGCGGGGGTATTCACGCCATGATAGTGGCAGTTCTAGTTTGTCTAAATGTCAGTGTATTTTAACTAAATATATATTTTCATGTATATTTTAGCATTTTCACTGAATGGAGAGTTAATGATGGACTCCCTGGGTCAGGAGATAGCGTTCAGGAACATTGAGGTAGATGTGGCATATGTTCCCGCCATGACTGTAGGAGCATTCCAACAAATCAAGTTTAACTTTGGTCAAGATGTAAACACACTGAAATACTTCACATGTTGTGGTCTACAAGAGGGCTATGAACCAATATGTGTGTAAGTGACAAAATTTATTGGTGAAGTGTTCAATACAAATGGCATTAATAGATATTTAAAACAATTTCTTACAAGTTTTTAAAACAATTTATGTCTCACAAAATTCTGGATTAGAATGATGAAACCTCATATGTTTATTTTCTTTCATTAATAAGGGGCTACATTTACCATTACTTACTTTTGAAATAAATTAGGCTTTATATGTTACAGCATGTTAACGTTATTATTTCACAAATAAGTATTTTTAGTGTCAAGAAAAAACTAGCCTATGTTAGTAGAAACATTATGATGTTACATAAGTTTAATGTGTATTCACTGTTTGTCTTATGTTTATACAGGAATATGACTCGCCATATGACACTATGGTACACAAGAGATCAGCCTCAATTCCAGACTGTCACTAACTCACATTCAAGTGTAACTGTTGCTAGGATACCTGGAGGGTAAACATTCTTTTTGCTTTTATATGTTAGAATACTGATGTAAAGATCTTCTAGTGTGTAGCTTTTTTCCCGAGTTTTCAATATAATTTATCAAGTTTTATAACATGCTGCAGAAGACAGGGTTTTCATTTTAATCTGAGGCAACAGATGTGCAAACGATAACAGTCAATTTGATCAAAGGCGACATTATTATCTACAGGCTGAAAATTTTAACAGGATTTCAACCAATGAAATGGATTGCCAATCTGTTATTAATGAAAACCCTGAGATGACTTTGAATGTGTTGGGACATTTACTACTTACTTTTTGTTGTATCAGTCTTACAAGAGAATTTGATAATTGTATTTTGGATACTTGAATGTTTTTATCATCAAAGAAAAAAGAGGGTGACCTATAATTAAAACTCTTGATATAATTGCTTGATTTCTTTGCTGTATTTTTACACCAGAAAAAGTTGAAAAGAAAATCATAAGATTTGACATTTTACAAAATTTTAGTCAAGTGAACATTTTTTTCATATTTTTATCTATAAAGTCATAACATTTGATAAATTTTCAGTAAAAACTATATAAAAGTGTAATTGTTATATTTTACAGAATAAATGTAGCACCTTGCCTGAAGGTAACATCAAAAACTTTTGGAACATTAGAAGATGTTAAACTGGAATACTTACGTCTTAGTCTACCAGTCAAATGCAAAGATGAATTTATTCCAAGGTAAAAATTTGAATATGTTATTAACGTCCTAACTCTCTTTATGTTATGTGAACAGAAATATTTTCACTCTGTCTAAAGTTTTATGTTTGGAATTATATGGGAGAGGTGGAGTCCACCAGGGGACTCCACTGAGGTTTAAACGCTTAAAAAACATAACATTTGAATTTCTTACATAAATGAGCTGGGGCACTTTAAACAGAAATAATTATATGCAAAGATAGTTAAGAAATATACTTTGAAATAAATTGAAAATCGTATTTTTATGCTTTTCTTAGCCGGTTTTAAGTGAAAAGCATTTAAACGCTTTTCATTTTGGGTCATTTTTTTACAATTTGAATAATTATTCTGGAAAAACGAAGTGTGGGAATGATCTGAAATTTTGCACATAGATTAGTGGTCTAAACCTACATCAAATGGTACATTTATCTAGAAAAAATATTTTCAGTCCCGTCATGTCAAAAAAACTCAGTGGAGTCCCTTTAAGGCTTACAGATCTTGGGGTCAAACCCTTATAAAGGAAAATCTGTGTTCTCATTTAGCATGAGGATTGGCAAGTTCCTGGAAGAATACTTAAGATTAATTCAATAGGTCCGATCAAGTTTGAAAAAAATATATTGAAACTAAAATTACAAGAATGTGTGACAAATGCTGCAAAGGTACTGTTGATTTTAGTGTCACATACTAAAACAGTGATCCGACTGAAAGTTTTGTTTCACATGAAAAAGAAGAGAAATAATGTGAATCATCAGTTTAAAAAATGAAATGTTTGCATATAGCATGACATAAAACCTTGCCCTCCACTGTCCTGCTGTCTGTCCCTTCACTTATAAAACAATGGAATGTTTGGGAATCCACGTTCTATGGACTCATTTCCGGTTATGTTATAATTTGAGGAGCGATTGATTCTAAATTATTTAAAAAACAGCATACTTTCCATCAACAATTTTAAATTCAATTTTTAATTGACCTTTATTTTTAAACATTTTATTCTTTAATCCTGAAATTTAAATCATAAAATCAGCATGTACAATGTTAATTAGTTATTAACATTGATACTGGCAGGAATATCAGTGCCCACATGGCAATGGAGAGACGAATGAACCTTGAGAATATCCGCCGACATACAATGGACATCGAAGAGGAACAAGATGGTGGTACAGATGGTGGGACAGAGAATTACAGCGACGCCAACATGAGTGATGCTTCAATTGAGAGAGGCAGTAAAGTTATAGCTGGTATGTATGTTATATATAATATACTGATAGTAATGTGTGTATTAAAATATTTGCATAGAAAATAACTGATATATGAACATTATAATTCTGATATGTATAAGGGTGGATACAAAATCTTCAAAATGAAATTTATTTGAGTCACTGAAATATTTTTAATTAAGAATGCTAAGATTAATAATAAAAAATCAAGATTTGTTCTAAAAAAATATGCAAATTTTTGTGGCAACTAGTCTTGTATATGGCAACACAAGAAATTGTGTTTGGAAAAAAATGCATGTGAGCCACCCTTGTATATTTCTAGTGTGCAGTGATAATAATATATTGAAGTGATTTTGGAGAAAACTGAAACAAATTTTAATAATTTAAATTGACTTGATAATACAGAGACTATTTTGAATAAATATTAGTAAGAAATAACCTTTGTAGCATTTGTAATATTCAATTTTATATCCTAATACTAGCTCTTTTTTATTTATTACTTTAGTTTCTGCATCTGGTGCTATTTCTAATTGTAGTGTTGACTGAAACTTTACATTGTATTTCATTACTTTCTTGATAAAGCTAAAACTAAGAGAGTTAGATTAGTGTTAACTGGATTATCTCATTCTCTTGGTAAGAGATGTAATAAATGGACACAGTAATTATAACATATACAAAACATTCACAGGTTAAGGATGGTTTATTATAGGGCATGTATTAATTAACATGAAATTTTACTAACTAACTAATCAGCTCTTATAAAATTGCATGTATACTGGTTAGAGAGAAAATCTTGACACAAAGATATGACTCACATTTTGTTTATTGAATCGCTCTAACATTATTTCCCAACAGTCAATCATATAGTTATCACCTGTGAATAATAAAAGTAGGATGGGAGCTGATGATATAGAATTTAATAACCTTTTAATAGGGGCCCCATTACCTTTTTCTATGTTAGTTAATAATTTTTGCAATTGTGCGTAAAATCATCTATCTTTATTTAGATGAATCAAAATTGTAAATATACATAACGTACATGTGAACTTTTTTCAATGATCAAGTGGGAGATTTTTCTTCAAAAAGAGGGAGATTTTAGAATTTGCAATAAACAAAGAAGGAAGTTCTGACATCAAAAATAGGTAGATTTCTTTAATTTATGATTTCTTTAATTTCCTTAATTTGTGAATATACCCCTTATTTTAAGAAAAATCTTTGAAAATATGGCTGAAAAAAGTGGGAGTCTCCCGCCTAAAGTGGGAGACTTAACATGTATGAGTCATAAAGATAATTAAGATTTTGGAAAAAATATGAAGAAGCGTCAATTTATCTCTAACCAGTATAGTATATTTTTTAGGTTAATTATTTTTATCACGAAAAAAAAAATGATTGATAAAAAAAAATTGAATTAGCTACATTCTATAGCAAGCAAAGTTTTAAGATGACAAAAAAATATAAAATAAAAGAATAAGATACTAATTGTTATACTAGAATGTTTTTGTAGAGATTTCTCTTATTTCACTTATTTTCCAGTCAGCTAGATTAATGCCTTTTTCAGACAATTGCATTTTACATTAATTTTGTGACTTATAAATTTGTTTTCAATTTTTTTTTCCAGAATTTTCAGTGCATTTTTTATGTAAACACTTGATTTTCTTTAAGATGGCAGATGAAATTCTTTCATTAATAAGATTTTTTTCTCATGCTTTTAATTCAATAATTGTTTCAAATGAATGTTAGAATGTCACATTCAGCTTGTGCTTTATTTAACTTTGAACTCTGGCTAATATTATATTTAATCTGGAAATGGTTCATTATATATTTAACTAAGAAATTTTATTCTCTATTATTATGTAATCTGGAATTACTGGCTTGTAAGCATGTTGCATGAAAGACCCTATCTCTTACTCTAGATGCATTACGACGCCTTGTAAACAATGCAAGTAACCATGATTACAGTCCAGCGCATGATAACACAACTACTACCACCTCTACTAACAAAGACTTGAAAACCTCACCTTCATCTTCCACTCCTAAAGATAAAAAATCTAGAAATAAAGAAAATAAAATCAGTGATGTTCCGCTGTCTAAGGCTTCTCCAAGCAGCAAAGGGTCACACACGGGTAATTCTACGTCTGGGACAAGGTCCTCAAAATCAAGTAGTAAGTTCGATTGTTTTTGAAATAATGTTTTAATATTTTATTTCTAACTTTTTCTCTCCTGTGCCTTGTAAAAGCATTGTTTGATATACAAATTTTTCAAAAACTTTTCTCGCTTGTAAGTTTATTGTATGATAGATATGTAGAATCAATTTGAATTTTTTTTTTAAATACAGCATCCTAATTGTGGATAAATTGTTACTTTATTCTTGCTTATCTGTATTACTATATTTGTCATTTAAGAAAGAAAATAATTTACACTGTTAAATGATGGGCTTACAGCTAAGCCATTAGATGATTGAAAAACTGTAATTGTCAAAAATTTCTTAATGTTTAGTATATGAAAACAAAGAGATGATGTTCATTATCAGAGGCTTGGGTAATGCCCTTCCATGTACACATTCGTTATAGGGATATAAAGTATATTATTGTTTAACAATTGCATGAAAAAAATCACCTACTAATTTAATTAATTTAAAAGGCTAACATCATATTACAATTTCTGTTATAACAAACATTATAATATGGAAAAAAAACTAAGTTCATTGTTTTAAATGTTTTGTATTTCGATAATTTTTATAAAATTCTACTTTTATCGTACATTTTCTTGCTTACTCAGCTTATAATACTAAAGTCTTGTGTTGTGACAAGTTATTAACAACTATGGCACTTGTTTTAGAATATTTCTTTCACTTGTTTTTTATTGGATAATGTCTGGTTCCCATGTTGTGTTGTACATTGCTGTCTATTTTCATGTGTGTTTCCCTGCTTCCAGATGATGACGACCTCTCTCTGGCAGGTTGGTACCTGTTCTATACCTACATTAGTTATCCCATTGATCAAGTCTTACACAATATATACACACAATGTATGAAATAATTATTTAACATTGAACAAATAAGACTGTTACAGTCATACAATAATAGTTAACCTTTACCTACTAACTATCTGAAATAAACTTGTCTATCTTTCAGTCTGGACAAAACCATTCATCCTTTTTTTTCCCAAAAAATTTCAAATTATGTACTGACAGACTAGCCCAAAAAATTTCAAATTATGTACTGACAGACTAGCCCAAAAAATTTCAAATTATGTACTGACAGACTAGCGAACAGTGCAGGCCATGATCTGATGGCACAGGTGTGCTGGCTAATCTGGGACATTTTGCAAAATCTTCAATAATTATAAAAATATTCAAAGTAAGACTTTTCAATGCACAAACTCTCTCAAAAATATTTTTTGTTTTTAATTTCAATTGAGAACATATAATATTTTTCGAAGTCAATAATTTGCAAACATTATGATGTTATAAAAACTGCATTTAAGGATATTATTTACGTTCAGGAAATAAAGGCTTGATCAATGGGATTTTAATAATTCCCAGCATGTGACTATATATGTACTAATAATGTTTTTTTACCACAGCTTAATCAAGTTAGAAAGTTAAAATAGTTTCTTAGATGAGAAATATATACAAGTAGTTTATTACAATAGAGAGAATTGTTGGTAGACCTTTGTTGCTGTATTATGACTAGGTTAAACTGAGTCTTCATTCTGTATTATAAGTGTAATCATAAGGTTTATAATTATAATATGAATATTAATGAAAAAAGTCTAATAACTGTCAGATAAGTTCTTCAGATATTTCTTGTTGCAGTCATCAATACTTATTTAGTATTTATTATATTGAAATATAATTATCACACAATTATCATTGTATTATTTACAAACACTAACAATTTTTACATACATCATTTGTAAATCAATTCTTCAGTATAAGTATGTCACAGAATTACTTTTTCAACTCTTTAAACACCGACGTTTTCAGGAATGAGTCATAGTTTTACCGATGACACCATTGACAGTCGTCGCACCAAATCAAAGACAAAATCTCTGAACCGCGGTCATTCCCTTGAAGATAATGTTCCGGATGGAGGTGGTCCTCGGTTAAAGGCAGCTGCTAGTGAGTCGATGCTTGCAGGAGATCATAATACTCTCGGTTTACCTGTAGATGGTAGAAAATCATCGTCAAAGTTATCTCTCCTTGGAGAAAAGATGAGTGACGCTGCAAGACTTTTAGCAGAAAAAGGTTCAAAGAAAAGTAAAACACCATTTACAATCTTTAAGAAGAAACCGTCAAGAGATCCGTCACCAAATGACAAGAGCAGAACAAGAAGTCAAGAATATGGAAGTCTGGATAGAAATAAAGTGGGCAGATCAGGTGCGGGACGATCACCAAACAGAACTAGTACATTACCTCTCACTCGTATCAGTGATGATGCTGATGGTAACGGAACTGTTGGAGCACCTATGATAAATATGGAAGCTCCGAGAGGCATGATCCCGTATGAATTTCAAGAATCTATGGGTAGGCGTGAATTTGGCAGTGATGGTTCTGATCCTGATTTGACTGAAACTGATCTTATGGAAATGAATGCTTGGGCAGAACATGTGGATGAATATTACTATTCAGTTAGAATATTCCCAGGCCAGGATCCAGGCCAGGTGTTTGTAGGCTGGATGACTCCTGGCTTTCACTCTATGGACAATCAATTTGATACAAAGAAAGTAAGGCACACAGTTGTGTCAGTCCTTGATGAGGAATACAGAATCAGATCAAGGTACAGTAATTTTACCCCCATTCACAAAATGCTAAGTGACACATACTTGAATCATTTTGTCAGATCTAGCCATCAGTCAAAATGCTTACATTTAAAATGATACCTTAGTGTTTTAAAACTGCTGCAAAAATTGTGTGCCTTCCAAATGTAATTATTGCATGTTCAACAGAATAAGTAAAATAAATGTTACAAAAAATGATAAAATATTTACATTTTATACCAAGATAGCAAATTACAATGATTTCAATGGGAAGAATGAAGAAAATATTCTATTTTAGATAGTGTTAATATTGTAGTCATTACGAAGTATTGTAAATATTTTAGTGTTGGCCGTAAGAACTGTTACATGGTGTGCGCAGGAGACTTGCAGCAGCGTTATGGTGGTGGGGATAGCCAGGATGTCTCCTCTAAACGAACTTCACCTGGACTTCTCATTGGCTGTACCATTGACACTGCAACAGGTGTGCTAGGGTTCTCTGTGAATGGCAAAGAAGTGGCTAACAAATTTCAGGTTTGTTTTTTTACTGCATTAGTTTGATGAAATAACACTGTAATGTTTAAATCAAGTTTGTATAAATTTCAAACCTTGTTACAGCATGAATGACATTAATTTAAGATTAATGACACAAATTTGCTTGCCAGTTTGTTAACTTATATACACTAAGTTGTAGAGTATTTTCAGGTTGAACCGGGAACCAAATTATTCCCAGCTGTTGTTTGTGAACCAACAATTAAGGAGATGCTGCAGTTTGAACTCGGCTCCACCAAGGTACGTTTTTGCACATGAAGCATTCAGGTACCTCTGTTCCTATTTATACAATACATTGTACAGAACCTCAAATACTGCATACATACCAGTGTATTAAAGTTTGATTCAAAAATGAAATCAATTAACAATGCTTTTGGGAAGTTTATCAGTATTTTTTTTTATATACCAATAAAATGTAGGCTCTCCAATTTATTTTGAATTGTTTTAAATATACACAAAGAACTAAGAAATATAAAGAGAATGTGTTTTTTTTCAGAATGCCTTGCCATTGTCAGCAGCAGTATTTAGAGGCCCAAAGAGTGTTGTTCCATCATGTCCACCGAGGTTAGATGTTCAAGCCTTGATACCAAGTTGCTGGTCAAGAGTGCCACAGAATACAACTTATGTAATGTCTCTTAAACTATCTGATACCAGAGGCTGGAGTATGCTCAATGAAAAACCAGGTATGCTGATGCTTATTTTGTACAATAATCTGCTTCAACATGGCAGTGATAAAAAGCTCATAAGTTATAGTATTTATCATGTATCTCTATATTTTGATTTAAGGGTGTCTGTGGCTGAGTGGTTATGGTCGTTGACTTCAAACCACTTGCCCTTCAAATCCCGAGAGGGATTTTCAATTCTTTCATGTGAGGAAGCTATCCAGCTAGTGTACAGAACATCATTGGTTTTACTCAGATGCCCATTCATGCCTGGAATAATGCATGGAAAGGCACCTGAGGTCTTCCTTCACCAGTAAAACTGGAAAGTCAACTTACTGACCTATACTGTTTTGGTGCAACATTAAACCCAACCAAAAAGTATATTTTGATTTACTTGTTCCACAGGTGATTTTAATTCTAGAAATTCTACACAAAAAGTTAGTAGTTTCTTTTAATGCTCCAACAATAAGACAATCACATTATTCTTAAAAGTTCCGTATTTAATGCTCATTGTACTACATTTTATTTCACAATGTAATGAACTAAATGTAGTTCTTTCATTAAAGACAATATATCATCACAGAATTTAGGACATAATTAGGTTGTAGAAATAGTTACTGGTATAAAAAATGTTATAAATGATATATGTTACATTTCAGTACCAATCATGTCTGTGTATATACCAGAAGAAGACAGGTCCATGGATATCCTTGATCTTATAGAATATCCACATCTACTCAAGTATGTATATATCAAATATTCTTGTTTGTTTGACTTCTTTCCATAAAATTTTGTTGAGTCATGTATAAATATTAACTTATAATAACTATGTTATTAATTGCTTTACTGACAAAGCTTTAATACATACCATAGAAGTAGATACTGTGATAACATGATGCAAGTATTCAAGAAATGTTTTAAAGATGCACTTGAATTTTGATATTGTATATTTCAGTTTCCATGCAGTGACATTAGAGTTGTATCAGGCTGTCTGTTCCCATGGTAACCACAATGTTGCCAATATACTGACAGGTCATGTTGACAACCTACAACTCATGTATTGTCTACAGAGTGAATGTAAGATCAACTGTTTTCTAATATTTGTCTTTTTCTATTATTTGTCTTATAAGCAATTTATTTTTATCATTGTTTATTATGTTGATAAAAAGACTAGAGGTAGTTGCCTTATTTAATAGGAAACTTCAGGCTACCTTTAAAAAATAATATATTTCTTACAAAGATTTATTTTATTGTGGTTTTTATGATTATTGTCAGCTGTTTAAGATCTTGTTTAAAAATAATACATGACATTTATTTGTAAGAAATGTAGTCAAAATGATTTGAATGTTAACCATATTCATCATAATATTAAAGAACTGTAAAGAAATTGGCAATAATCTGTTACTGGTGCTTTACATGGTACCATATGTGCTACCCATAACAATGATAATTCAAATTCAGTATAGTTTAAAGGGATATAGAGAAAATAATTCATTCAATACATGTATTTCAAATTGTTTTATAGTTGTTTTATAAGATTATACATATAATTTGAAGAAACAAATCTCTGTATTTCAGACTTGTCAGGTCCTCTGAGAGCTGGTTTCCACAACTTACTAATTGCCATGCATCTTGACTCTCACACCAGAGGAAGGTTTGTACAGTAGATAATTTTCACATAGCAATTATTACCTTCCATGGTTCCCATTTTTAGGGTCCTTCCCAATATATCATATGCTTAAGATAAGAAATTCTATTGGCTGTACCAATGTGACCAGAGCAAACCAAGTTCAGTTGGCACATTCATGCAGTCTGATCATGATCTGCACTGTCCAATATACAATCACTATATATTTTAGAATTTTCTCTAAAATGATGCATGGACTTGACCAAATTGAAAGATTAACAAGTCCATTTAAAATAGTTAATGTGATATAGGTTAAAGAGTTATAAAGCTGCATGCTTTCTTGAAGAAATGTTTATCCAATATTTTTTTATTCAGTTTAACAGGCCTTTAATTCCTTATTCCTTATTCAAAATAATTATAAATGTAGATTTTTGTAAAGATTATAACCGTACTGTTTAATTTTGTTTTTTCAGGCAATCTACAGAAAGGGAGTTTATTATTCCACTAACAAAATCCATGCAAGATTTGAGTTTGTACAGACAGTTGAGTCCTAACAGTTATAGTTTCAAGATAAAACACACCATACCAAACATGGACGCTAGTGTCTCCATTAGACCGAAACTCTGTCTCCTCAAGAAAGATATTGAAGCAAGGTATGGTATTGACTTTAACTGTATAAGAATACAATGGTTAGGGAAATCGTTTTGGAAATGTGCTATGCACAGAAGATTCTTTTTTTTTGTGTTGTAAAACTTTCATGTAAAATTCAGTTATGTTTTATGTTGTTTCACAAGTCGTATTTTAATTGAAAATTGTCATTGAATATAATTATGTAACTATGGTGATACTTTTTACAGAAAGTCTGATTTATTACTTAATTAAATACCAATCTTCCAGCACAGCATTTACGCAGTTATGTATAGCTCAAGTTTAACGTCTACATGTCTAATGACGTAATAAAAATAACCATGTAGCAATAACAATTTATATTAATCAAAGGAACTTGAAATATTATCAATAATAAGAATAAAGTTTCATTTTTTATAAAAGTTTCATTTTTTATATATCCCCTTATTATATATTCTTTTAATATAAGGGGAACAGGTCTTTTATAGAAAATCAAGATTTACAGTACATATTGATAAAATTTCAAGTTCCCGTGATTATGAATGTTACATTTGCCCTAATGAACATAAAATATGATTCTTTAACATCATTGGTTCAATTTGCTGTTATTAACCATTAAGGAATGAGACCAAGAATAGAGCAGAAACATCACCATTTTTCCCGATGGATCGTTTAAAGATGCACATGATGCAGGCTCTAACAGATGCTGTAGAGAAAGGTGCTGCACATATCAGAGATCCAATAGGTGGCAGTAATGCTAACCTCTTTGTGTAAGTAAAATAATAAATTATACATTGACAAACATGTTGTGTAAGAATTTGAATGAAATTACAAAAAAAAATTGACAAAGAAAAGTACAAGCAACATGTATAACTTGGTGTTTATAAGGTATCCTTAAAGTTTTTTTTTTTTAGCTCACCTGTCACTTTGTGACAGGGTGAGCTTTTGTGATCACTTTTCGTCCGGCGTCCGTCCGTCCGGCGTCCGGCGGTCGTCCGTAAACTTTTACTTAAAATGACATCTCCTAATAAACCACTAAGCCAATTTCATCCAAACTTCACAGGAATGTTCCTTTGGTGGTCATCTTTGAAAATTGTTCAAAGAATTTAATTCCATGCAGAACTCTGGTTGCCATGGCAACCAAAAGAAAAAAACTTTAAATGTCTTCTTCTAAAAAACCCAAAGAGCTAGAGCTTAGATATTTGGCATGAAACATCTTCTAGTAAGTGTCTACCAAGTTTGTTCAAATAAAAGCCCTGGGGTCAAAATTGGCCCCGCCCCCAGGGGGTCATTGATTTTCCCTATATGCATATAGTAAAAACTTAAAAAATCTTCTTTTAAAGAACCCAAAGACTTAGAGCTAAGATATTTAGCATGAAACATCTTCTAATGGGTGTCTACCAAGTTTGTTCAAATAAAATCCCTGGGGTCAAAATTGGCCCCGCCCCAGGGGGTCATTGATTTTTCCTATATGCATATAGTAAAAACTTAAAAATCTTTTTTTAAAGAACCCAAAGAGCTACAGCTACGATATTTAGCATGAACCATGTTCTAATGGATGTCTACCAAGTTTGTTCAAATAAAAGCCCTGGGGTCAAAACTGGCCCCGCCCCAGGGGGTCATTGATTTTCCCTATATGAATATAGTAAAAACTTAAAAATCTTCTTTTAAAGAACCCAAAGAGCTAGAGCTAAGATATTTAGCATGAAACATGTTCTAATGAATGTCTACCAAGTTTGTTCAAATGAGAGCCCTGGGGTCAAAATTGGCCCTGCCCCGGGGACATTGATTTTCCTTATACCGGTATGTGTATAGCAAAAACTTAAAAATCGTCATGGAAAAAACCCGAATAGCTAGAGTTTAGATATTAAGCATGAAACATATTCTAGCGAGTGTATGGATTCGCCCAGCTTTGAATTTGGAACAGTCCATTTAAAGTTTAAGGGATTTCAGGATATCGGAATAGATCTACTACTGTAATTTAGCTACCAACAATAGCAACAATGATTGTGTAATCTGGCCTAGCATTATATTTTGGCGAAGGCTCAGTTATCACTTTTGGTTCCACTTGAGTAAGGGTTAATGAAATTATAAAAAATCCGATTACGAATTGTGTTTATGATTTTTTTGGATAAATATCTGATATTTGAATTTTTTTGTTTTTACTTCATATCTCACAGACCATTACTGAAGACCATAGATAACCTGTTGGTGATGGGATTACTCACAGATGATGACATGCATCAGTTATTGTTCCTCATTGATCCAGAAACTTTTGATGAAGTCACTTACAGAGGTGATTATAATATAATATTAAACAAAGTAAAGGTTATATCTCTTATTTATCATGATCTTTTTTCAAGTTGTTATTTTTAGATAGTTTATTTTAGGAATTTATTGTACTCAATAATTGAAGTATATCTTTTGAAATGATAAAATTTATATTGGTAAAAATAATTATGTGCCTTTTTCATAAAGAATTGTTTATATTTTAAAAATGTTTTGCAACATTGATTTTGATGGTTATTCTGTAATGGAGAACTGGAAATGGTGTTTCAAGTTATATATCATAGAAAAATCTGAAAGTCATGAAATATATGAAATATTTTTTTTTACATAATTATAAACTATTAATAATTTGGACTGGCATTTTATGATGCATCTATCATTTCAGATAAGAAGAAAGGTAATGGACTTCTGCACATGAAGCTAGATGAACCTGTCAAACTTGAGGTATACACAATAATTATCTTCTCTATACTACATTAATACGTTCTTAATTTATAATAAACACTATATATCATAGGACCCTCTTCAAAAGGTTTAGAAAATTGACTTGATTACTACATTATATGACATGGAAGTCAAGGACCTTCAGGGTTCTGTAAAAGGTTTTTGGAAATGAACATGCTTTCTATAAGACATGGAAGACTAATGAGGGACAACAGCATAAAAAATTTATATGTTCTTCAACATGATTCATTGATATAGTTATAATATACTAGTCTATATGTAATAAGAAAAGAAATATAAACATTAGTTTGAAAAATTTAACTTACAATATAGAATTAGGAACATTGGAAAAAATTTCCCATGAACCTCCATTTTCCAAAAATTATCCTAGAATCATATTGATCTTTACCAATACTACAGGGTATAGATTGATCAAGTGTCAATTTCTTTATTTATGTAACTATCTTGATTTCATCATTAATTAACAATTTTCAGGTATGTCGCATCTTGCAGCATTTATGTGACCTCCAGCTTAGACACAGGATTGAGTCTATCATTGCTTTCTCTGGAGATTTTGTTGGTTCTTGTCAAAATGTAAGATATATTTCTCTATCGCTCTCTTTTTAAATATAAAAAAAATTACTTTTTAATTCTTAAAAAAAGTTAAAATTGTTGTGTATATGATCTGTTACATATGATGTTGCTTGTTACATACTTAAAAATAAAATATATGCAAATGTAAACCGTAAACTGTAATATTTTATTTATTACCTATTATTATGAAAGTTCATATTTTATGGTGCTGTACATTATTATGATATGAGAATATCCAAAACAATTTTAAGTATTTGCATGATTACATGATAATTATATAACATTTTAAAAATGAAAATTACCTTATATTTCAGGATCAGCTGAGACGTTATGTTGAGATTAAACAAGCAAATCTTCCTTCATCTGTTACTGCCAGGAAGACCAGAGAATTTAGATGTCCTCCTCATGAACAAGTAAAATAACTGATCTACTTATTCTATCATTTAAATGATATAAATAACAGTATTATTGTTGTTGTTGTTTTTGTTGATGAACCTCATGATAATGATAAGAATGATGGTGGCTATGTGCATCATGACAATGTTGTTATCGGTGTTGATAATGGTGATGATAATGATGTTGATGATAATGATGTTGTTCTTGTTGATGATGATGTTGTTGATGATAATGATGTTCATATTGATGATGATTTTGATGTTGTTGTTATTTATTGATGATGCTGACAATGTTGATGATGATGTTATTGAAGATGTTGTTGATAATGATGATGATGATGATGTAAAAATACCAAAGTAACAATGAGGAAAAAAACACATTAATGAAGATGATTCAGAAATGCGTTTTTAAATTTTACATTCATTTGTTAAAAGGAGAAAATTAACAGAGAATCTATTCCTCTTTCATTTATTTAACTTTTTTCTCTTGTTTGTCAACAAGTAGATCAAACTGCTATCATTATTTCAGATGAGAAACCTTCTCAGCTTCAAAAGTGATGAGGATGAACTCTTCCACAATTGCCCATGTCGGGAAGATATCCGAGAAATTCTGTGGAATTTCCATCGTAATCTGCTCAAACATTGTTCCATGCCAACAGCCATAGGTGAAGAACTAGAAAAACCTGAGGAAGTTGAGATAGAACCAGAACCTGTGTCGTTTGCTGATAAGTTGAAAGAGCTGGTTTGGAAAACTAAAGTAGAGGAAAAACAAGAATCTGGTCCAATACGTGAATCCAGAATAGGTAAATGTGTAGCTAGTTACCTCCCTTCCTTTATGCTTGGTAAAATATAAATAGTTAACAGTCAAAATATGTCATTTTTCTAGATGTACCAAACAGATGCAAATGTTAGAGTCAGTGTTACTTTTTTAGTTTGATAATGCTATTAAAAAACAGACAAGTAAATATATTCAGTTCTGAATGTTATAAGTGTCTAGAATATTGTAATTTATATATTGATAGTGGTAATGTTTTTACCCTGGTGAATTAAATGCACTATGCTAGCTGGCCTCCCCTGTTGCATTTTGCATTTTAATATTTGTTTTTTAACTTTGCAAATTTTTTTTTTGTGTATTTACATGCATATAATCTTTTCAAACTTTTAAGAGTTCAGGCAGCTAATGTGCAAACTATTGCAGAACCTTACAGCTTATTGTTTACTGTGAAAATACCCTGATTCTGCCATATGCAAATAATGCTATGCCATACCAAATAATTATAGCCATACCATACATGATAATACATGCCACGCCATACCAAATATTACCTGCTATGCCATACCAAGTAACACATACTATACCATTCCAAATGATATGTGTTATACTTAATTACACATGCCACACCATACATAATATATGCCACACCATACCAAATAATATATGCCACACCATACCAAATAATATATGCCACACTGTACCAAATAATAAATGCCGCACCGTTCAAATAATACATGCCACACCATACCAAATAATAATATATGCCACACTGTACCAAATAATATATGCCACACCATACCAAATAATACATGCCACACCATACCAAATAATATATGCCACACCATACCAAATAATATATGCCACACTGTACCAAATGATACATGCCACACCATACCAAATAATATATGCCACACTGTACCAAATAATACATGCCACACCATACCAAATAATATATGCCACACCATACCAAATAATATATGCCACACCATACCAAATACTATATGCCACACCATACCAAATAATATATGCCACACTGTACCAAATAATACATGCCACACTATACCAAATGAATACATGCCACACAGTACCAAGTAATATATGCCACACCATACCAAATAAAACATGCCACACTGAATACATGCCACACTGTACCAAATAATACATGCCACACCATACCAAATAATTAATAGCATACCATACCAAATAATACGTGCCACACTCTACCAAATAATACCTGCCATACCATATCAAATAATTCATGGCATACCATACCAAATAATACATGCCTCACCATACCAAATAATATATGCCACACCATACTAAATAATATATGCCACACTGTACCAAATAATACCTGCCATACCATATCAAATAATTCATGGCATACCATACCAAATGATACATGCCACACCATACCAAATAATACATGCCACACAGTACCAAATAAATACATGCCACACCATACCAAATGATATATGCCACACCATACCAAATAATATATGCCATACCATACCAAATGATATATGCCACACTGTACCAAAAAATACATGCCACACAGTACCAAATAATATATGCCACACCATACCAAATGATATATGCCACACCATACCAAATAATATATGCCACACCATACCAAATAATATATGCCACACTGTACCAAATAATACATGCCACACCATACCAAATAAATACATGCCACACAGTACCAAATAATATATGCCACACCCTACTAAATAAATACATGCCACACCATACCAAATGATATATGCCACACCATACCAAATAAAACATGCCACACAACTACCAAATAATATATGCCACACCATACCAAATAATATATGCCACACTGTACCAAATAATATATGCCACACCATACCAAATAATCCAGGCCACGCCATACCAAATAATATATGCCACACCATACCATAAAATACATGCTATTTCATACCAAATAAAATGACTTTGAAAAATCTTTGCCTCAAAATTAACATGCAATAATATACCTTGCATACACTATTAATTTTATCTTTTATCTTGGCCTAAGAGGATGCATTTTATTTCTTTCCTTTATTTGATAAACATATTTGCTGTTTATTGTCATAAAATGAAAGTGAAATCTATGTTTTGCCTTCTTAATTGATTTAATATTGATGCCAATAAGTAAACCAAATTATCAAAAAAATGCTCATAGACCTATGTTTTAATGTCATCAAAAACCGCAAAATTCTTTAATGGACTCTTCACACATTAATTATATCTGGAAATGAATTATAAGATATTTAAAATAATTTAAATGAATTTAAAATAATTTAAACAGGTTTTTTTTCTTTCCTAGAGAGTATCTTAACATTTATCTTATCATGGAGCCACCTCTTTTACTCTTAAAATGAAAAAGAAACACCTTTTGCTGACAGTTTTTCTTAACTTGTAGACAAAGAGAAAAACTGTGCTGTTTTTTCTCCTGTTTGAAAATACATACCACAAATGTAATTATATAATATTGAGAAGTGTGAAGTCTATAATATTATAATTATATAACATTCTGTCTTGTTCCTTTCCATCATGACTTGCAGAAAGAAGTAAGATCTACTTATATTTTCTAACATTCTCCGTGTTTTGTAACTGGATGCCTAGTGTTATAATAGCATGAATCTTTAGATAATGTACTTACATTTTTTTAAGTGGGGGGGGAGGAGGGAAGTATACTTTAAAGACTATTCTAATTTTATCTTAATCCGTTCAGATAATTTCAGCTTTTTTTTCTTTTTTGGTTGCAGATTTTTTAAAATTATTATTACTATTTTTTTTTTTTTTGCACAGTATTGGATTATTTTCACAATCAATTGTTTTGCATTGGTCAGAATTCTAGTTGCTTTATGTATACTATATTACATATATAAACCAGGGCCTCGGGATTTATGTATACTATATTACATATATAAACCAGGGCCCCCGGGCTTTATGTATACTATATTACATACATAAACCAGGGCCCTGAGATTTTGACTAAACAGTGTGTAGGTATTTGTTTCAGTGCTAATCTTGTGCATAAATTATGAAATTAAGACTGTGTTAAATATACATGTATATATTTTGGCAGAGTAAGCACCTTTTAACATTATATGTTAGCAAGCCTGAACAGTCATATAATTATGGGTCGATGACAACTCTAGTTTTAAGAATAATTTTATAGATACACCAGATGGTTATTGCATGATATAAAAGGACTGGAATTATGTTGGATATTTTAACCATTAACCAGCTGAATTTCTTAAATGGTTTTATCGGGTTTTCCCTTTTTTTACCCCCGCACAACAAAGTTGTAAGGTGGGTATACTGGAATCAGCTTGTCCGTCCGGACGTCTCCCCGTCCGGACGTCTCCCCGTCCGGACGTCGGTTTTTCCTTGTCGGCCCAATAACTTGAGATTCCTTTGGCCCACAGTCTTCATATTTGGCATGGAGGTAAGTCATGATTAGTAGGTGACCCCTAATGATTTTGGGGTCACTGGGTCAAAGGTCAAGGTCACAGGGGCCTTAACTTTAAAAAGCTAGTCCACCCAATAACTTGCGATTCCTTTGGCCCACAGTCTTCATATTTGGCATGTAGGTTAGTCATGATTAGTAGATGACCCCTATTGATTTTGAGGTCACTGGGTCAAAGGTCAAGGTCACAGGGACCTTGACTTAGAAAAGCTTGTCTGCCCAATAACTTGAGATTCCTTTGACCCACAATCTTCATATTTGGCATGTAGGTTAGTCATGATTAGTAGATGACTCCTATTGATTTTGAGGTCACTGGGTCAAAGGTTAAGGTCACAGGGGCCTTGACTAAAAAAAGCTTGTCTGCCCAATAACTTGAGATTCCTTTGACCCACAGTCTTCATATTTGGCATGGAGGCTAGTCATGATTAGTAAATGACCCCTATTGATTTTGAGGTCACTGGGTCAAAGGTCAAGGTCACAGGGGCCTTGACTAAAAAAACTTGATTTTAAAATTTTCACATTTGAAGCATGGAGAATACATATCTTAGCAATGCACTGGCTTAGATTTGGCAGGGTGGTTGTCCTTGAGTTCTAAATGGCCACTGTTGATTCTGTCAAACTGGTATGCGGGGGTATTCACGCCATGACAGTGGCAGTTCTTTTTTTGAATCTCCTAACATTAGTTGAAATAAGATGAATATTTGAAATTCCTTCGCCAACAGTATAGATAGAGTCTTGTTAGACAGCATATAAAGTAAGTGTAGGTTTGCCAGACTATAATACTAGTGTGGCATAGGTGAATCACTTTCAGTTCAGTAGGATAGAGGTTTAAATGTGACAAAATTGCAAAGCATGACAATTACAACAAAATCATTAATAAATATTTCATGTGAAAAAGGAGATATGTATTTGTAGCAATAGCATATTGTATGACATAATTATGTGTAGTTAAATATTTCATTTTGCATCTTGTTATTGTTGAATGACTTTAAGTGGGATTCTGTAAAGTATTTGGTGATGGTGTCTATTTTTTAGTTTTAGGTAAAATTGGAAATCATGAGGTTTTTTTGCTCTCCTAGTTAAGAACAAGTTTTAAAGACATAATTTTCTAATATTATAATTTTATGTGAAGTGATTGACAATGGGCTTATGGTAAATGCATCAAATGTTTTTGATAATTTGTATATTTTGCATTCATTTGCAGATGATCATTATTTCTATTAAGAAATATGGTTAATATTTATAGTGATCTTAGCCAATGAGTTATCTTCCTTTATCAGTGATATTAACATTTAAGTTTCCTGCTTGGAAAATTTATCTAAATTATGTGCTTCGCAGTAGTTGTGTTCAGTATGACTTTGTAATTTTGAAGTTTATTTATTACTAATTTACTATAATTTGAGCCACGTCATGACAAAACCAACGTAATGCGTTTGCGACCAGCATGTATCCAGACCAGCCTGTGCAATCCGGGCAGTCTGATCAGGATCCATGCTGTTCACTATCAGTTTCTCTATTTGTAATAGAGTTTGTTAACGAACAGCATGGATCCTGATCAGCCTACGTGGATGCGCAGGCTTGTCTGGATCCATGCTGGTCGCAAACCCATTATGTTGGTTTTGTCATGACGCGTCTCATGTCTCTGTGAAAATAGATCATGGACATTGTGTCATTGTATCACTGCTGATACAGAAATCATGTGAGATTAGTAGTAGGTGATAGTGAGGGGAAAGTGGTAATTACTGGTTATTTATCCTAGAAAGATGGTTAGATGGACTAAGTGCCGGGGTATAACAAAAATGTGTTACAATTGTAACAAAAACCATACAAACAAAACTACATGAACAGGTTTAAGAAAACTTATCAATGAATTTAAGGACAAAATGTACCAAGATACACATGTATTTATTTTAGTAGAACTAGACTACACTGGACACAACTACAATGTATATAATTATATTTACATGCTTTGCATTATTTTCAGCTTATTTATATAATATCAGTAGCTATAATGCAGAGTGTGAAGCTTTTCTAAGTTATAAAACTTTAAATTACTAATGCTTTTACAATTGTTTAATTTTTATGTAGTGCAGGTCAGAGAGCTCTATCTTGTACAGGTATTTCTTAAAACAAGATGTGGTTAGTGGTTAGTTGTTTTAGGCCATTCAGAAGAAAATCTCAGCTCTAATTGAATCAAAGGAAAATGCTTTTTTGAAAGAGAAGATAGGATTAATTTAGGATGCCAAAAATAACCATAAAGCAAAGTTCATGACTGCAGCATCAAAGCATGATAATTTTAATACAGAATTTTATGAATACTTGTGTTTTATGAATACTTTTGTTACAAATCATTTGAAAACATGCTATGCTTAACCAGTAATGATCGACATTAAGTTAACAGTCTTAAGATATAGGTCACAGTTAAGTGTAAAACAGTTATACTAGTACCTCTTTGTATGTTGATTTTGATGACAGTATAAATTTTGTTTGATTCAGATTCTCTGCAGAAGCTCATACAGAAAACAATGGTAATGTGGGCCGAGGAATCGTTTATTACCTCCCCTGACCTGGTGCGAGAAATGTTCAGTCTTCTTCATCGCCAATACAACGGCATAGGAGAGGTAGATAGTTTTAAAGAAAAGTAAAAAGATTCAAGACTTAAGTAATAATTTACATGTTATGTGCGATTTATTATTTATTACCATATTAATACTGTGTGACTAATGCAGTAAGGGTTGATTTTGCATATTTTGAGCTCCTTCTGGTGATGTACGTGTATTGTAAGAGCCATGATATGCAATGCGTGAATTACTTTCGTTGTTCACTCCACAATGTTTTACTTTTGAATTTTCATGAAAATTAACAGGAAACTGGAGGCACGATGCATTAATGAATGTTAGACATATGTTAGTCATGGAATATGCTGAATGGTCATTATCATATGATATACATTGTATATGCTGCATCAGTATTGCATAAACATTTGAGCCGCGTCACGACAAAACCAACATAATGGGTTTGCGACCAGCATGCATCCAGACCAGCCTGTTCGCTTACAAACTCTATAGCAAGTAGAGAAACTGACAGCGAACAGCATGGATCCTGATCAGACTGTGCGGATGCGCAGGCTGGTCTGGATCCATGCTGGTCGCAAACGCACTATGTTGGTTTTGTCATGACGCGGCTCATTTATATATTTCTAGTTACTGGAAGGTTTAGAGAAGGCATATGTGATCAGTAGTTCTAGTGAAGATGACATCAATAATCTGTTGAAGGCTCTAGGAAACATCCGCTCACTGTTACTGGTACAAGCAGGACCTGATGAAGAGGAACTTATGAAGAACAGTCTCAAGTATGTTTTCTTTTAATACTCTAAAATGTACGAGTGTGATTTGTGTATAATATTACCTTTGTTTAAAGTCCCCACAGATAAAATTAAATGGGAAACTTACTTCAGAAGTCTGTATGGTTGCAAGGTGACAAAACGTAAGTTAAAAAACTACAATGGTTAGTTGTATACATATATATATGTTACATTTCCTCACAGCTCAAGACTGTTTTATCTGCTTTATTTGTTATAAAAATACTGAAAAAGAATAGCAAATGTTAAATACAAAACAGTACCAAAGAAGATATGTTATTATTGTTTTTCTACCTACAGGGACTTGATGGATAACAAGGTATTCTTCCAGCATCCTGATTTAATGAGAGCCCTGTGTCTACATGAGACTGTCATGCAACTCATGGTGAACACACTCAACAAGGCCCAGCAACAACAGTCAGCTGCTGGTGGCGATCTTAACGTCAGTAACCAACGGAGACAGTCAACAGTGCCCCCTGGTGCCATGGACAGCGGTCTAGGAGAATCTAGCAAGGTAGTAAATATTGTAATAAATATACAAATGTAGTTACCAATATATAAAAAAACAACATATTTTTAAATAAATCAAAATTGATATTCAGACTTCATAAAACCTTTCATCATAAAATTCATTACATTATTCTGTCATTTCAATATCTGAACACATGTAAATGAGATGCTTGTGTAGATATTAACCACAATCTTACTGACTTGATCCACTTGCAGTCTGGTATTATCCATTTCATGGAATTCAATATCAAAAAATGCTTTGGAGTTAAAATTTATAGATAAAGTTATGTGTGGCTGCAAAAAGTATGCAATTTGCCTAGACTGTATACAGAGGAATAATAGGTCTTAATTTGTTGCATCTAGCACTTACAGAGTTAATGCATTCTTTTGAGAACAAAACCGTCGATACACACAATATAAAGTTGAGTTGTGTTAAGTTGAGTTGAAACACACAAAAAATATTTTGGAAAAAAAGTAACTGATTAGATTGAATTATTCCTGAATTGAATTTAATTAAAAAAAACTGAAGTGAAGTAAATGGATTTAGATTAAGTATTTTAATTTGAAATTTACTTTGAAGCATAATTTTGGACACCATATTTTTTTATTGCACATTTATTTATATAAATAATTTTATAAGACACCAGTGTTCTAGATGTGTTAAATCATTTTCTTTAAATTCTCAGTTCATCCGCTGTGAGCTTTTCTTACAGGCAGGGCTTTCTTTTGATCTGGCTGAACTCTTCATTTTTGTAAATCCATATCGCAAAGAATTTGTGGCCTTGTAATATTAAATTGTTAGGTTTTATAATTGCTATGCCAAATTCATTTTAAACCTGCTTAATTTTGATCATCACTTTTTAATGTATCCTCACAATTATGTAGCTTTCACTGTTTTTCTTTTTTTTTCTATGTTATTATGTTAGAATTGTTCAAGCACATGTTCTTTTTTTAAAGTAAAAGAATATATGATATTAGGAAACATATTGACAATAAGATTATATTGTCAGCTCTGTTAAGACATTGTTCTAAATGTGCAACAAGTAGTGACAGTGTTAAACTTAAACTATATTTTCACAAGAGTTATATATATATATGGCACATGTACTAATTAACATGGTTATATATGATGTGTGTTTGTATGTGTTATACAGTCATACAGGCACTAATGGGCTTATAAGCTTTAACCTGTAGCTTTATTGTCATTTAACCTCTACTAACTAACCGTCTGCCTCAATATGACCTGCTGTTTTCATCCTTTAAATGAAGGGTATCTGAAAACTGTACGAATTTCATTGTACAGTATGAATGTCATTTTACAATACAAATTTCATTTTACGAAAGTTATATATGTGATCATAATCATTTCAAAAAGTAAAGATTTGTTATATATCATATATATGTTTATGAATTACTATATTACATGTAAAAAATAAGTTCTTCATCTTGTGAAAGCTTACACTTAAGGATTTGATAAGTAAGCATGGGTCTATCAAAAACTCAATGGTAAGATTCTGGAAGATTCTGCAAAAGTGGCGCCACCTATCTCTGTTTTCTTATTATCTCCCCCTTGTTGTAATAAAACTGATATTTTTTTGTACAAATTTAGTTTTGCTAGATTTTTTTATTATAAATTTGGTCAGACTTACCTCCCTTGAATCCTTGCTCAGTCATTGTTTTTGCTTGAGTGAGCTATTACATATATTTACATATATATTTAAGTAGATTTTTTTTTGTAGTAATTCTTTCATTATATTTGTTTAATTCATATCTTTCATTCATTAATGAAGTTTTGTATTTGGACAAGCCATGTACATGTTTAATTTCTTTTAACCTAATTTATATTTCAAGATTGATGACTGTCTTATTTAGTTGTCTATTATTTGTCTGTGGTCTTTGTAATAATGTTTATGAAAGCAGCTTCAGTTTTTATTGGATTGTACCAAACTTGCATAAAACTTGCATCAGCAGTTGTGTCAAATCAGCACAGAACCCACATCACAAGTTGACTTGAGCTCCTATTGTTATAATTGTAGCCCAAGCCTATTTTGCATTTAAGATTTGTGTCTGGAAAAACATACCCAGAACTTTTGTTACCAGTAAGTTTCAGGGCAGGACAAACTAAGTGTTATAGATTTTTGGTTTTTGTTATGACCGTAATAGGTTTTTGTAATTTTTGCTTGATCAACAGTTTCATCAATTATTTGCCTTGAACATAACTTCAACAGAACATATATGACCAGTAGCTGATTATCCTTATAAAAGTGGCCTGATCCCCCTTATAAAATTGGACTGATTCCCACTATAAAAGTGGCCTGATCCCCCTTATAAAATTGGACTGATTCCCACTATAAAAGTGGCCTTTTTAAAGATTTGAATAATAAGATCTTGGTCTCCATTAGGTTTCTATCATTGAATTTTGACTGCTGGTTTACATTTATTTGTTACAAAAATAACACTAGATTACCTTGAAAGCAATGCAGTGATATACTTTTGCATTGTAGAAACTTTTACCTTTTGTCTAGCTGGTGTTAAGGTTAGCAATATCTAAAATCATCAAAACCTCTTGTTGGTTATCAGCATTGTGTGATATTCATTTTTGTTATGCTCCCCTAAGGGTGAGCATATAGTCGCAGCTTTTTTTGTCCGTCAGCATTACCAAATAGGGATAGGGGGCCATCTAACTGTAAACAGAACAATAGAATCTATTCCTTAACAATAGAATAAGGGGCCATTGCCCTCTATTAAACAAAAGAAAATAACAATAGAAATGGCCCTTTATCCCTATTTGGTCGTCCGTCCATCTGTCCACTATTCGTGTCCAGGACATAACTTTGTAACAACAAGAGGTATCAACATGAAACTTTGTACGTAGATAGATCGAGTAGATTGAGTAAATGTGAATTGCATAAGAACCGTAACTCTGCCTTGCATTATTTTGGAGTTATTGCCCTTTGTTTATTTTTACACCTGGAACTTTGTCCGGGACATAACTCTAAAAGTATAAGAGATACGAACATGAAACTTTGTAGGCAGATATATCTCATTGTGTAGAAGTGCATTGCTGAAGAACCATAACTCTGCCTTGCCTAATTTTGGTGTTATTGCCCTTTGTTAATTTTTTTCACTGAACTTTGTCCGAGACGTAGCTCTGAAACCATGAGAAGTTTGTAGGTAGATTGATATACTTTTCTGTGTCTAAAACCTACTTGGGATGCATCACCCTGTTCAACCAGTTCTTGTTTTAATTAAATAGAATATATATTTCTAAGTGATAATTTTAATATATGTTAATGAGATTGATATGATGAAATGAAGTTTATTTCTTCATATTTTGAAAGATATGAATTAGATAGAAATGAACATGTTTTTGTTAGTTGTCATTTTTTGGCATTGAACTATGGCATGTTTTGTAGCAATATAAAATTTTATAATTCATTTTTTATGATTTTATTAGCTCTTTTTATGAGTGAATTTTTATTTTGTAATTGATTTTAGTATAAAATGCATGGATATTTTCTTTGAAATTTTAAAATTGAATTTTTTTAGGCAAACTGCATGCGTTTAAAATGCCATGTACAGAATGTTTATTGCATTTTTTTTATTGGTGTATAAAACATTATTATATATTATGTATATGAACCTATAACTCACTTTTTATACACATAAATTTTTTAACATTTTAATAGTATAGCATTATGTAGCCATTTTTTGTTGACATTCTAACATTGAACTTTTTCATATGCTTAGACTTGACCAATTTGTTTAAAAGCTTTTTTTTTTTCATTCTATGAAAATGTGTTACCATTGTGATAGAACTCGTCACTTAGTTACTGTGTTATATCAAATTCAGGATGCGGCAGCTGAGATGGTTGTAATGTGCTGTAGATTCTTGTGTTATTTCTGCCGAACCAGCGGCCAGAACCAGAGAGCTATGTTTGAACATCTTAGTTATCTCCTTGACAACAGTAGTATGTTATTAGGTATGTTGTTATATTCTGAAAATCTGTTACATTGAACCTGAGATGATGAATCTAAGGCATAATAATAAATGTTCCGTGCTTTTATAGTATTTTAAGAAGTCTTGGCAACAGTTTTGAAGTTTCTGTCTCTTATTTGAATTAGTATAACATTGTGTTGACCTATCATTAGATAATTTTTTAATCTTACTCTATACTCTTTTGAATATCAATCACTAAGAAAGATTACCCACTTGCTACCTCCTTGAAAATACTAGTAATTTGAATATTTGATTTTCAATGCTTTTAATAAAGGGAAAAAAAGAAATTTCCCTTTCTTTATCAAGGTGCTGTATTTACAGCCCTTTTTTGAAGCTTTCCAGGTTATTTTATAGGAGATATAAATATTGACTATATTTATAGCTCGACCATCCCTAAGAGGGTCCTGCCCCTTGGATGTTGCCTACTCATCCCTCATGGACAACAATGAGCTGGCCCTGGCATTGAGGGAGTCCCACTTGGAGAAGATTGCCATGTATTTATCAAGATGTGGTCTACAATCTAACTCTGAACTACTAGAGAAAGGCTATCCTGATATAGGCTGGGACCCAGTGGAAGGGGAAAGATACCTGGATTTCTTCAGATTCTGTGTCTGGGTCAATGGTGAGCCAATGCTGTCAATTCTTTACAACAAAAAAATGTGCTTTATCATATTTCAAATGAACTTAGATATGATTTGCAATGATGAAAGGTTGTGTAAGAAAATCTGGTAATTTTGGTCAAAATGAACTCTCATGAAATGCAACAATTAAAATTAGTTATCACATATGAAAGTCTTATAAAACAAATTATTTATATAAATGTAATACTAGTAAATGTTTTGTTCAATCTGGTATACTCAAAATATTCTTGATCAGGGTATAATGCTAGTAGAAAATAACAATTCACAATTAATAAAAAACAAAAGTAATTTAAAACATCAATTATTTTTCGTGTGAAGGCGAGACAGTAGAAGAAAATGCCAACCTAGTTGTACGTCTGCTGATCCGACGTCCTGAATGTCTCGGTCCAGCTCTGAGAGGTGAAGGTGGAGGTCTACTGAAGGCGATGAAGGATGGTATAAAGATGTCTGAACAGATTGCTGCAGCACGTGATGGCGCCTCCTGTATGTTCCTCTCTGCCATGAATGATGATGATGATTCTGATGGGAAATATCTCTTCCAGAGGTAAAATCTTTATTATTGATTATATGTTGTCCTGCTAGTATGTTAATTATTGATCATTTGCATAAATTAACTTATGTCATGATAAGATGTGATGCTAGAAATAAAAAGGTGTTGACCAGTAGTGTTTGAAATAAAAGCCAAGAAAAATTATCTATTTTGCAGAATTCAGTATATAGCCCATTGTAAAAAGAAATATATTTTCTATGTGTGATGAATCTAGCCATTAATAATTTTATTGATAAATTATCCATAAACTATGGGCAAGCATGCCTGTAGACTGCCAAAACATTGGTATCTTCTATATGTTAGCTTTTAATATTAAATGTATTTTTGGCGATAAAGGTTTTCACTTAATCTGTTCTGTTTACAGCAAGTTTGATTTCTCCACATTACCACCGGAGGATGATGAAGACTATGTAGATATGGGCGGAGCTATCCTCAACTTTTACGCCAGTCTGGTCGACCTGCTGGGACGTTGTGCACCAGACACGGAATCAATCAAGGCTGGTCGCAGTGATGCTCTGAGAGCGAGAGCTATTCTGAGATCTCTGGTGTCCATGGAAGATCTGGAAGGAGTGCTTGGTCTTAGATTCATACTCCCAATAGGAGGGGAAGGAGATGGTGATACTAACATTTCATGAAAATATTGATATTTTGTGATATTTTTCTAACTATTTGTTCCATCCAGAAACAGTTGTTTTAATAATTTCTATGAACAATATCACATTTCTATAAGAGTTTATGTTATAAAGAGAAATTTTTTTTTTCCAAATCTCTGTTATCAGCTTTTGGTGGATGGAATGAATTTTTAATCTTTTATCATATCAGCAAAAATTTACTATTAATTCAAACCTAACATGTTTGCTATTTTGTGATGTCTGAATAAATATTGTATATAATTCATGAAGGTAGTTCAGAAATGATTCTTGCTAATTTTAGGTGCCATGCCTCCTGGACTGCTTCCACTACACAAGGCATCAATTGTCATGTTCCTTGAGAGAGTTTATGGAATTGAAGACCAGTCCACATTCTTCCGTCTGCTTGAAGATTGTATTCTGTCTGATCTTAGAGCTGCAACAACACTTGACATGGTAGTTTGTTTAAAATTTTAGTTATTTCAAATTTAAAAGAAACCATGTTTTTTTTGTAAATTTTATCTTGTATGTCTTTCTATTTGTATTTTGTTAGTGTATGAATGTTAATTTGTTGAAGCAAAGAGGTAAGAACCGTATCAGTAGGAAAGAAATTATTATACAGATACTTGTTGCTTTGTAGATGGTTATTTAAGTACAAGACAACACTTGTATTTTATATTGCAGGCTGCGTCTTCTGAGAGTGACATGACCTTGGCATTGAACCGATACCTGTGCGGCTCTGTACTTCCCTTGCTTACAAGTCACAGTCATTTCTTCATGGATGCTGACCATGTTTCTTCATTGCTTGAGTCTACATTAAACACTGTGTACAGAATGTCCAAGTGTAACTCCCTAACCAAGAACCAGAGAGAAATGGTGTCTGATTTCCTTGTTGCTTTCACCAAGTATGTAATATTCTTATTGTTGTATCGTTTAAATGTGAATTTAAGTTGTTTGTGTATATTTGCTCCAGGGTTCAATCATTATAAATTTTGTTTACCTACCTCTTGATCCAGGAATTGTGGGTTTAAGCCTTATTAGATTCAAGACCTTATCTCAACATTTTACACACAATGCTGGTTGGATTTAACAGTGGTCAGATATGCTTCAAGCTTTTTATCACAGTCAAGATTGAATAAATAATGAATATACTAATTTGATGCAGTTGACATTTCAGTTATTCACTGTTAATAGGAAAAATAAAAGCTCAGTTATAACAATGTATTCACAAAACTACTTACAAGAAAAACTTCAGGCGATATAATTTTGATTTTAAACCCAAAATGGATGTTAGCTTGTTACCTCACGGGGAAGTTTCCTATATTTAAATTCTAATTGTATTTGATTTTATAATTAACTTCAATTAACATTGACATCATAATTGATGAATTAACAATACTTATGTTTGTTTACAGTCAGCTGAGACCCCCCATGATGTCTAAACTGCTCAAGAAGATGGCAGTTGATGTTCCTGCTCTCAATGAGAATACAGTGGTACCCTTGAGGGTAAATATTATATCTTCATCTGACCTATCTCTTTACTAGTTAATTATAAACATTTCTTGAATATCAGATCATTCCTTATCTTTTTGTTCTAGTATTTGATAAATCTTATTTTAAGAGAATTTGAATACAGTTAGATATAACTTAAATATTAAGATTATAGAAGAAACACAAGCCACAATGTTTTAAATTAATCCAGTAAACTTTTTAACTAGGTTACCGTAAATGAAGGAATTTAGTTGGTGTAAATTATAATGGTTTTTGAAAAAAGGTAATTTCATTGATTAATTAATGCCTTAGCGAGCTATGAAATCTTGATTTTTAATGTTTGTTTGTTAATTGCTACAATTAATTGAGGTAATTGCTTTATAAAGCAATTAGTGAATGTAAGTTTATATTTTCCTGGTTGTATATAAACAGGTACTGACAGCATATTACGAGAGATGTGGACGTTATTACAGTCATGGTGGGTGGGGATCATTTGGTGGTGCCAGTGACGAGGAGAAAAGATTGACCATGATGCTCTTCTCAGGAATCTTTGATTCACTTTCTAAGAGGGTTTGTAGTTTGTACTTATGGTTATTATCATAGTTCACTTTTGTTTTGTCATTTCAATAATTTTTCCTAGCATTGCTGTCTTATGAGTCCTCTGTATGAATTATTCCCTTAGTTGACTTCTGTTCTAATGAAAGTCTGTGAAAACTTTTTGAATTGTTTAATGTTCCCTTGGATTGTCATCTTAATAAGAGTCCCCTGTGTATTAGATGTTTTATAAGTTGACTTCTGTTCTGTGTGAAAACATGTGAAAATGTTGATACTTTTCGTCTCTGAGCTGATAACTCTCCATAATAATCTTTTATTCTTGTGTATATCTTTAATTCATTGAAAGGCCTCATAATGATTGTTTTCATTATTACATTTGAAAAACCACAATACAAACTAGTTTTGTTTGTAAAAATCCATCAACTTTACTCTTCAAGCTTATAATTGCACTTCAGGCTTATGATCCAGAGTTGTTCTCGAAAGCACTTCCATGCTTATCAGCGATTGGCTGTGCCCTATCACCTGACTATACACTAACCAGTCATGATGACAGCTGGTTTAATAGGGCAATAGCAGAATCTGAAGGGGTATACAATCCCAGTCCAATGGACACATCAAGGTGAGCAGTCTATACATTTGTTTTAGACATTTCAGGGTGTATAACCTATACCTATAAGCAACATTATGTAAAGTAGAAAGCTAAATTTGATATGGCTGAAACGAAAAAAGTCATAAAAATTAATATTATTTCCATTTTTGCAGATATCTAGCTACATTTGATCAAACAAATTGGGGTTAATTGAAATATGTGTTCACCTAGTTACATTTGATCAAACAAATAGGGGTTAATTGAAACATGTCCACTTTTATTGTATACTGTATATCCTTTATAATTCTTATGAAATATTTAACGACAGTTCATCTTGTTTTTAGGGTGCACTTGAACCAGTCTCTAGAAACTGCCAGCCTTAAATTTGCTGAACATTTCCATGACAACTGGGCTTTGAAGAAGGTAACTCAAGTTGTAAATTATTGGTACATAGTAATGAATTGGTAATAATTGAAAAATATAATAATGTAACATTCTGTAGTATGCCATTGTATCTGTACAATTGTACAACTTATATGTTTCATGGAAACATAAATTATGTATAACATTGACTATATAATGAATCAGAAGAAGCATAAAATATATGGGGGAAAACAAGACATAAATTACAATATAATGTTTGAAATATTTTTCTGCAATTAACAGCATGATGAAGGATGGGTGTTTGGTAACAACTTTGATGATGACAGGAAGTTACATCCGGTGCTGAAACCTTACAACCTTCTTGGAGAAAGGGTAAAGTTGCCTGACATAGTCTTTTATTCCTTTTACATCATCTTAAGTTTCTAGAATTAAAATAGTTGTCTGAACATTTATGATGATTATAATATGAGATGTAAACTTTTACAATTTCATTCATCAAAGTAGGTTAAGATTTAATTTACCAATGTGATTTCCTTGGCTGTAACAGTATTGCAAAGGATTGAAGGTTTTGTCAGTAATATGAAAAAAAACAACAACAAAAACATTCAAGTAGTTAATAGGTGTAAAAGCTGTTTCCTTTCTTAGAAATAACAAGACGTTTGTTGAGAGTTTATTAGTGTATATCTTTTGAAATGTTAAACATTTTATATCTTGTATGTTGTTACAGGAGAAAGGAAAGTACCTACAGCCAGTGTTAGACTCTATGAGAACTATTATTGCCTGGGGATGGTCCCTAGAACAAGATCAGGCCAGGCTCACAGCTAACAGAGAAAGCATGAAGAGAAGAACCTCAAAGGATGCTGTAAGCTTTCCTCTTGAATAGATTTCCTCTTCAATATTTAATCTCAAAATTTTACATTACGATACTTGGTATTTGAGTTAAACTTAGTTTAAAAGTTTTTATTTTAAAGATATATTTTCAAAAGCTCAATCTACACACAGTCTGAAACTTGTTATCAACAGTTACTATCCAAAGGAGATTGTAATACTGTTGGCTCACTTTTAAGGATTGAAATAATTTTGAAAATTATTATGAAAATTAACGAGTATGTATTTTTTTTGATAACAGTATGACCATGGATACAGTCCGCGACCTTATGACCTCAGGAATATGACCTTGACCCGTGAAATGCAAACATTAGCTGAGAAATTGGCTGAGAATTCACATGACTTGTGGGCAAAGAGGAAAAAAATGGAACTTGAAGAAATTGGTTTGTAGAATTTTCTTTTCCAAATTTTATACTGCAGTCTGCTAGATACTAAGTTAAAGTATATGAAGTTGGTTTCAAAAATCATGAAATGGTAGAAATATAAATGTCATAACTTGTGCTACCATCTGTATAGTAGATACATAAAATCTAAGTTAAGATTATCAATCAGTATTGAAAACTTGTATCATAGTTTGGAGACCTTTCTGTTGAAAATGTGTCAGGGTTAAATCGTATACATATACATGCACAGTGCGTTAACTTGAGTGCGGGTATTAGTTACCCGCACTCCAGAGCATGCCCATTGATTGGCTCATTTTTGCTGGGGTTTACATATTGTGACGGCAGAGAAAGGGAAAGCGACAGAAATATCATATTCAGATGTTCGTTCATTGGTTCATTTTTGCCGAAGTTTCATATTGTGACAACAGGGAACGTGTTTTTATGTTTGACTATGATACAAAAGAGAAAGAACACCAAAACACTCGGTAATCTGATTAATACTCGGGGGCTACGCCCCCTCGTACAAAACAGATAACCTCGTGTTTCGGTGCTCTTTCTATTACTTAATTCAGTTTTAAATTATAAAACAATGATTTAAACAGGTGTGAGGCTACAACACCAGGTCAAGTTTAAAATCACACCCGGTCAAGTTTTATGATTTTATTTGCAATTTGAGTAAAATAATACTTTTCATCAGGTATCAAAGTTTTAAATTGAGTATTTTTCTCTAAACATAATTATGAAAAAATCATATTTTTCTCTAAACATAATTATGAAAAAATCATCTACCATAATTAAAGACAATGTGTGCAAAAAAAGTCCTACAAAGGAGGGTAAATGCTGTTAACCACACTAGACTATAACAAAAGTGTAGATTAATTGAGAACCCAGATAATCTTTTGTCTTTCATGGTTATATCAGGTGGCGGTGTACATCCACAACTTGTACCATATGATGTCCTCACTGAGAAAGAGAAGAAAAAAGACAGAGAACATGCACAAGAACTTCTTAAATTCCTACAATTTCTTGGATTTAGGATACACAGGTAAGAATTTCAACTATAACCTCTACAACTTATAAGCATTTTACTTGTTTTGTATTGAATTTCTTTTTCAGAAAACAGAGGATTATTAAATTATAACTAAAACAAATAATGATGGGCCTGGTGATTTTGTAACAGAATTTTATCATTTCTAGAAATGGACTAACTGCTTTACTAGCTAATCTTACTAACTTAACAGAACTATTTTACCTACTGCTTTAATTTCTTACATGTTGTTAGCATTATCTAAATACTAATAACTAATAATATATGAAACAAATCATGTTACCCCTGGCATAAGTTATGTTTCGTTTTACATGATACTTGTTGATTAACGGTCATTGACATTTGAAACACAATGTTTTCACTTCAATAGTTTTTATTTCATTCTTACCAGAATATACCCTTACAATATTAAAACATTTCACTGAAAAGTAACCCTTAACCTGCTGAATTTATATAATGAATCTGCTGTGCTTTTAATTGAGTTTATTCAAAGCTTCAGGTATTTCAATACCAAAATAGGGGCGTCTGTGGCCGAGTGGTTAAGGTCGTTGACTTCAACCCACTTGCCCCTCACCACTGTGGGTTCGAATCCCGACGGACTTTGGATTTCTCATGTGAGGAAGCTATCCATCGTGCCTAAAATAATGCAAGGAAGGGCACCTGAGGTCTTCCTCCATCAGTAAAGCTGGAACGTCACCATATGACCTATATTGTGTCAATGTGACGTAAAATCCAAAACAAACAAACAATACGAAAATACAAAAACTAAGCCACAAACAGTATAGAGTCTGGTCAGACAGCACAGCCATGCAGGCTGGCCTGGCTTGATGCTGCTTGTAAGGGTTAATCTGACCTTACCATATACTTGTGGCAAAGGCTAATCACTTTTGGTTCCAGTAGGTTAAAGGCTTAATTGAGATATCACTGTTAAGTTGTAACATGTGCCAGTTTCAAGTTAGCTTTTGGAGGGTTGATTGTTTTACTTAAGTCTTTTGACAGTCAATTTTGTCATTAGTGATCAAAACGACATTAACATTAGCATAATTATTAACACCAATAACTGTAATTGTTTTGTAATAACTACCAGTATGATGAATGATGTTGGCTTAACCAAGCTTGTAGAGGTTTTATAGATTAAATTTAATTGTTTTAGCTTGCTTATTTCAAACAAAAAATCGGGCTATTATGATCACTGGGGTGTCACCATTGCAGTCGTGTAAAAACATAAATGTAGCCCATTATTCAAATATTTTAAAGGGTATCAACATGGAATACTTGCTTGTCATGACAAGATGTAGTACTAGTATTAGACATGGGGCATAATTCTGAAAGATATATTTTTAGAGTTATGCCCCTTTTTAACTTAAAATTTTAACAGATTTGCATTAAAACCACATAAGGTGCTGTGCTCTTGTATTCAATAAAGGCAACCATTCTGCTATATAGATGTCATTTTTCAGAGTGTGAGCTTGTATTTTAACCATGCATAAATTCTAATGCTTTTTTTCTTCTCCAATTGTGCAATCCCTGCAGAGATCTTTACAGTTTCTGTTTTAGCTTTGAATGTTTGTTATTGACAAGGGCTTTATATATTATTTGTTTTATTCTGCATTGTTGCTTTTCAAAACCTATTATTTTTGCATACTTTGCTCTCAGTGTTAAGTAAGTGTGCAATTATTTCCTTTTAGTGTTGTGAGACATGTCTACATTGTAAATAAATTTGTATAACAGGTGCACTAAATGATTTATGTTATATGTTGAAGAATTATTATAGCCCCCTGATGAAATAAAATATAAATATTATCAATCCGCTCATTCAATTTGTTTAATGACTTTACTGAAATGTTCTACGTGATTCACTTGATTGATTATGTAAGCATGCAACATTTACAATATGAAAGTACTTCTACTGCATGTTAAAGGAACTCCACTGAGGTTTTGTTATCTTTAGGGACTGAAAAAAGTTGTTCGATATTTATATTCCATTTGATGTAGATCTAGACTAATTACCAGTACTTGTGGAAATATAATTCAGATCATTTGCTCACTTCTATTTTTCCAGAAAAATATATTTTTAAAATGAAAAATGACCCCAAAATAAAAAGCATTTAAAAGCTTACCACTCGGATCGAGCTAATAATTGCATAAAATGCAATTCCATTCTAAATATATTATTTGATAATCTTTTGCATATCTGTCCATTTTATGTGTCTCAGTTGATCAAGATAAGAAGTTCAAATTTTATGTTGCTTGGGTTTATTACTTCAATAAGTAAGACAGTAAGACAAACTTTATTTATAGTCGGTTATGGTTAACAGTACAAAAACATAAGCTTTAAGCTTGTATCCGACATGAACAAAATATAGAAAATAATAATAAGAAACAAAGAAACAAAAATAAACAGACACCATAAGATAATAATACATACAATTAATTCATATAGTCATTGTAATTAGATCTGAGCATTTACAATGAAAATACAGTCATATCTATTGAAGGTAGTAAAACAGGGTTTTACATATATACAGGTACATAGTACATAATTCAAGGAAAAGATAACTAAATTTATTTACAAGCAAAAAACAGGAATCAAGTAATATAGAAGATAAACTTGAAAAAAGATTAGATGCACATATAGCAGGCACACTTGTCATTACTCCATGTTTCAATTAGTCGTTTAAACTCATTTAAGTCAGATGTACATCTGAGATCATTAGATAAACTATTCCAGATTTTAGATGCTTCAAAGCGAAAACTCTTTTTACCATAATTGGTTGTGCGTACTTTAGTTACATCTAATGTATTTTGGTATCTAAAATTATAATTTGATGAACACACATTAACAAGTTCTTGAACATACTTAGGAGAAATGCTGTTAAGACATTTAAAGACTTCAATAGCGAGTTGTTTAATTCTACTTACATGGAGTAATGACATATTGGTCAGTTTAAGCAGATCTTCATAAGTTGATGAATAGTCATTAAAAACAATTTTCAGGGCTCCTACTTCAGTGGAGTCCCTTTAATAAATGCATGTTAATTATTTAAGAGGCATGGTGAATACTCATAAATGTGCTGCATCCAGAGCTTTAGATACTAAAAAAGTTTAAAAGACTTTAATGAAGTTTTGCAGAAATCAAATGTATAGTTTGTGTGTTTATTATTGTTATTCATTTTTTCGCACAGAAATGTTAGGTTACCGTATTTAAAGTTTAAAGATACATTATAAGGAATAAACAGTCTATGCACATACTTCAATACATTTTTTTTACCTGTTTGTTATTATTTGTTTGAATAAACATTCTGAATTAAAGCACTATGTAATTACAAAATTTTGAAAATTGACATGGGATATAATCATATTATTTGTTATAACTTATTGTTTTGTATTGTTGATGGTTCTTACAGTGGTGAGATTGTCAATATCATTTGCGTTAATGTTTTAATTGTTATTTAATTTGCTGTTTATGGTATGTATAATGGTGTTATTATTTTCTTTTCTACCTCCCCTTCACTTTAACTTGTGTTTGTTTCACTCTAACCTTCCTACCCATCCCTTACCCACTCTGCAGCGGTGACCTCAACCTGGAGAAGAACCAACGTAAGAAATCTGCTTCTAGACCGACTAAGGATTCCGAGGGTGAGAGCGGGGTGAACGTGACGGCAATGGAGAAGAGGTTTGCGTACAGTTTGTTAGAGAAGCTCCTAGAATACTTTGATAAAGCATCTCTCAGTATGACACAAACACGACCCAGCTCAAAATACTCTAGGCGGGGAAGCTATGCTACAGCTACAGAAGATGTGAAATTCTTTGGAAAGGTGACTGCTTTAGAATTGTTTAATTTCTATTAAATTTTCTCAAAAATATTTCTTTACAAAGATTTTTGCTGGTAAAATTATAAAGTGTATTGAGCCTAAGGTGTACCAGTCAGCTGTAATACATTGTATGGAAATTTTGTTGTCAAGCATCTGCATGCCACCAGAAAAGCCAAAATATTTCAAGAAAATCAACGTTAAGAAAAACATACAAAGATTTTTTAAAAAGTAAAGATTTTCAAGATTCAAGTAATAAATTATGTGTGATTTATTACTGATTTTCTAGTATTTGTCACCAAATTTCTACCCTGTTACTATTGCAGTAAGGGCTATTTTTGCATATTTTGACCACTTTTTGGTTATACATATGGATTTTAAGCATGTAAATTAATAACTCTAATCACTTCACAATGCTTTTATTTTAAAATACATTTTCAAAATTTTCATGAAAATAAGCTTACTCACCTTTTAGATAACCATGTGTACCTTTTATTGGAATTGAATAATTATTAAGAAAGTGATAAATTGTTCTTATTGATCTAGCTATACATGTCTTTATTGATATATCATTATTATTATTCATATGTTAGGTTGTGTTACCATTTGTTGAGAAATATTTCCGTGCACATAGAGAGTATTTTGTTGGAGGTCCAAATGCTCCCAACACTAGCTCCATGGCTTCTGTGAAGGAGAAAGAAATGACAGCTAGGTATGTACAAGCTATAGTACTCTCACATTTATTTTGTAAATTTATAAAATTTTGTCAAAATTTTATGGTTCAATATGTTTCCCTGATTTCAGAGAGCTATAATTATGACCTTTGTGTATTGTAGGGTCCTTAATCACTAAACAAACATTTATAGATTAAGAATATACATGGAGGTGTAAAAGTTTGATAGAATCATATTTTCATAATTTAACATACCTTAATTCTTACAATTTTATGAATTTACATATATTCATATAAAATATGCTAACAATTAATAGAAGATATGCTAACAAATACATTTTATTATTGTGTTACCTAACATAAAGAAATTAAATGTAAGAGATTTTATTTTTACATGATGCACATTGATATGAATGTATATCAAAATCCCCTTGATCATAATCCCCTTGGTTGAAAAATGACATAGTGATCGAAATCCCCTCAACAGAAATGACCGGGTGTTCATAATCCCCTTGATGGATAGTCAAAATCCCCTTGGCAAAAATGATGGGGTGGTCAAAATCCCCTCAACTTGTGAAAAACAACCCCCTTTACTCAATATTCTTTTTCCTTTGATCTTTTGTCACTCCAGCTAAACTATTGTGTTACATAAAGAAATGTTGCAAACAGCAGTTACATTGAGTAGAGGAAAGAGTATGGAGTATACTTTAGCAATATAATACAGGTTATTTTTAAATACTCCAATGTTGTCATTTTCATGTTAATATAAATATAAAACCAGACATAATATTTCACTCTTATTTATTTTCTGACAGCACATTTTACATATGTTAGCACATTCACAGAATTTACATAGCACCGACATTATTTTATTCTGATAATCTGTCCCAGAGCACCCAAGAAGTCTTCAGGGATTTAATGCCACTTGCGTAACTGTGAGCACAAACTTTCCAGTCTCTGCTGGTGAGCTTTAGTGGCCTTCTTCACTCGTTTCTGTAGAAGTTCACCACGATTGACATCTCAGAATTTCAGCTGCCACCAATTTTTGCATCCTTTTCAACACATTGCACAACTGTCCAAAGTGAAGGATTTGAATGTCCAACAAGGTGCTTAAACCCATTGTTCCAAGATTCACACTGGTTATTTGTTCTATCCTGGTCAGTCATTGTGGCACTGTGCACATTCCAAATTGGTGGAGGAAATCTTGGAGAGGAGCGTCGGAACCTCATATTTCCATTAGCAGTGATGACTGCGCGAAAGGATCCATTTACATAGTTGGAGTCAAAATACTCAACCAGACACTGTAGATGATCTGGGGCCTGTTCACGTAGTAACGTCAAGCCTTCTTGATTGTTTGTTACATATAACTATAATTGCAATGATTAATTATAATCGAATATCATTTATTTGTTTGTATTTTACAATTTTCTCAGCAATAATAAACATCAATAAAGGGTGTCATTAAATTAACTGGCTGTGAACAACATACACCTTTTAATTGTTTGTATGCTTTTCTCGTTTTTTTTTTCAAGCAATTCTTGAAAGCAGTTGTTTTTAAATTCATTGAAACTAAAAAGAAAAATAAGAAAAGAAATTTCCCAACCATTTCACATTAAAATTTGAGGGGATTTTTTTTGACTAACCCGCCACTGAAAAAAAAGGGGGAGGGAAAATAAGACCCCCCCACCCCTTTAAATTTTTGCCAAGGGGATTATGATAACCCTGTCATTTCTGTTGAGGGGGATTTCGATTTCAACTAATGGTCGTTTTATGCAACCAAAAGGGGATTATGATCAAGGGGAATTTTTGAGGCGTCTCCCCATTGATATACCAAGTACTGGGTAATGATTAAAATTTATTTTATTGTAGTTTGTTCTCCAAGTTGACCTTCACCTTGCGTACAAAATTGATGGCATTTGGTCATGATGTGAACATTTCTGTAAGATGTCTACAAGTTCTCATTCAAGCTGTTGATGCCAGGTTTGTACTCTCTTTTAATCTCTAACTGTATGCCATATTAAACACACTGATTGATAAGTGCTTATAGTTAGAGTGTTTGATGTCAAAATTTATTTTTTAAATATACATGGTTTTTTCCCTTTGTTAAAAAAAAAAAACCCTTTTTAAAAAATTTAAAAAATCGGGGTGACAGAAAATTTTAAACTAATTCAGTATTTTCCCTTTAAAAATCTCTGCACTATATATGTACCTATACTTTTAATATGAAAAAGATTGAAACCTAAATCTGAGATTTTATCAGCTTTCAGATCATACTTGAATCTATTCAAAACTTGCCTTTAATTCCTTTTAATAATATTGAACAGTTTTCAGTTAGTTTCATGCATGCTATTTTGAAATTACTTTACCTTTCTATAATTGTAATATTTTCTATGGACAGAACTGTGGTAAAGAACAGTCCAGAGATTGTGAGATCTTCTCTTCTACCATTTTTCAACAACGCAGCAGACGACCTTGCCAATCTTGTTGATAATCTTCAGAAAGGTCGCTTCAGTCACGTTAAGGGCACAATCACACGTGGTGCCACCAGTCTGAACTACGTACACATGGTGCTTCTACCTGTACTGTCCTCACTGTTTGACCATATTGGCAGGAACAAGTTTGGACCGGATCTGATTGGTAAAAATCTGTTATCATGTAACTATCTAACACACAAGCTTAATCAGTCCCTAAAGTTTTGGGGGGTTTAACTCCTCTTTATCAAGAAGCTTGCTGTTTATATTTACGATTCTTATATTTAATCTACTTTTTAGTCATTTATGTATAAATACAGGAAATAATGTCTGTCTATAGTTGATTTTAAACAATGTAAATTACATGCATTTTGTATATTGATTTTTATAAGAGATTGAATAATATGTAAGGTTTATTGGTTTTATGTTAGAATGAATATTTAAGACTCATTTAACTAAATAAGGCTGAATGCTTCCGTCCCCCCCCACTTCAAAAAGAGTTGTTTTATTTTGAATATGGTACAAGAATTAAAGTTAATAAAACCTTGGTGTTTTAACCCAGACAGCAAATTTCTAATGATTGTCGAAAATGATAACTTATATTACAGATCATATCTCAGCTTGTGAAAAAAATTACTTTCTTTCAACAAGATTTGTTTTTTAATATGTTATATTATAGAATGAATACTTCTTTAACTGTCCAGGTAAATACAAATCACCCGAGTCAGGTGGTAAGGAAATAGTTATACCTCACTTGTTGTTTTTTTTTCACCATCACATTTTCATTGCTCGGTATAAAACATTTTCTGTAAAATGGTTTTACTGATAATACAGCGTGTTGGGAATTTTTCCGATATAAGTCTTCTGATGGCTAAGTATGGTATATATAGATTAAAGCCATGGTAATGGTTAAGGAAGATACCTCTACCAATGTGATCTTTTAGCTTGTCAGCTTAACCATTCTTTGTAACAAAAACCAATAGAAATTTAACTAATTGGGATACAAATATATTTTAGTTTGAATTGTGGTTGGAAGCTATAATCTAAATAGAAAACATTCTTGAGTGGTTTTCCTGGAACCCAACCCTAGTAACTAAGCAATACTATGAACAAGTGAAAAAGGTTTCTTGCTCAAGGAAACAATGGTTTGCCCCCACCACCTAACATGGTTTGAACCCACAATGGCCCAGAAGCCCTTAGATTACTTAGTTCAAAGTGTTACGCGGCCACGTATTTATTGTTGAAGATCTTATATATAATTTATTACATTTTAATCAAATTTTGAAAAGGCAAATATTCAAAGCAAGACTTTAAATAGGTTTCCCCTGAATTAATAAAGTCCAAATATTTAGTTATTGGGTGGGACTATGCAGTTATATTGAAGTGATTGCTAATCTCCATTTGGTTCACCGTTCAACATTTCAACTGGCTTTTTTGGAAAGCCCTGTTTTTTTTAACCTGTGATAACGTTATCATGGATTTCTTTAACCCAGTTACGAAATGTGACATGTCAATATATGAAAAAAAAATCTTAGTAAATGTTTTCATTTCTGTTGACATTATTTTGTTATGAGTCCTTATATTTTTAAATTAATTAAATAAACCAGTTCTGTTTTGAATTTTGACCCTTCCTTGAAATCAAATTAACTCCGGAAATACTTAAACATTTCTCTATATCATTTATTTTATGTAATCTAAATACGTATTATTTCAATGCAATTGTAATGGTAAGTGATTTTATTGATATAAATGATTCTTAATTCTTGTTTTGCAAGTGAGCTATATAATTTCAAATTTATGACATAATATGTTACTAAGCAACTTGGTTTTTCTTATTTTACAGTACAAGACATCCAGATGGCGTGCTACAGAATTCTTAATTCTCTCTATATCCTGGGAACCAGTAGTTCAAAGTTCATGAACAGGTATTTTATTAAGGTGTCTTTAAAATCTTTAATTCTTTAAGATCATACAAAAATCATACAAAAAATAATTAATAAAATAGGAAGTAAATAAATTCTGGTAAAAGATTTTCTTATACCTATTTTTATTTGTTTCTTGGTGACTTGGTTATTTTAGAATAATAGTTTGCCTAAAATATACTGAAATTTAAGATTGGTATCTTGTTATATTTTATATATATAATTTGTGTTGTCTCACCATACTTTTAGAGAACAGTTTCTAAAATCAAAGTATTTTTACTGTTCAAAACAGGGTCTTTCAAAAAGAATGGTCTGGAAATGCGCTATGTAAACCCTTCTTGCTACTATTAAACATGTCTCGGTATAACTCAGTATAGTTTGCTATACGCAAATTATGCAAGTGTTCAAGAAAAGGGCTAAGTTAAATACAAGAGCAAAAATGATAATTCTAACAACATGATGTTCTTTAAAAATCTTTTAACTTATGGAAAAAGGATAAATATTTCAGAAAATAATGTTTTTAAAGCCATATCTGTTGAAAAACATAGATTGCTTGTTTAAAATATTTGCCCATAAATGGCGCCATTTTGAAAATGCACCAAATTAAACATCAAATATTTGTAAATAACATTGTAAAATATTATTAAATTTTTACATCATACAATTAAATAACATTTTTCCTCTGTAAAGTCAATTTCTATTTTCTCATTGAACAATTCATCTATTAGAAAAGCTTATGAAATTCGACCTATTTTCAAATATGAGCAATAGATATTTACCTTGACACCGGAAACAAATAATTCCTAATTTAATTGCAAATCTATAAAATTGTTACTTTTCAAAGTAAAAACTGATAATGTAATGAAGCCAGGATTAGTTTTCATTAATATTTTTATTGATTTATAAAATTTATGATGCTAGGTTAACAAACGAGATTAAATTACATAGAAAGATGGAGGGATTTCCAGCTACTTCCTTTGAGCAAGTTTGATTTTTATATAGATCATATAATAATAACTGGAAGAGTATATTATGTATATCCTAGAGAATGTAGCAAGATTAATATTAAATATTCTTTAAAGGCCCATTATGCCCCAGAAATGGATTTATTTTTATTTTTCAGAAGCTTTTTACCTTTGGTGCCCTGTTATAGTTTAATTGCTCAACCATCTGAACCATCTTTTTGCTTTTCATTGCCTTTTGGCAATTTGTAGAGTTACAATGATTTAGTATTTTGTATGGAAGTCAGAATATTGCTTTGTTTACATTTTGCTATTTTTATAACAAATAATATCAAATTCAGCCCTAAGTGATAAGCATGTCACATGCTCTAGAAACATTATTTAAATGTTATAAAACTCATGAGTACCCTTTCTGAAATGATTTTTTTTTCATTTCTGAGGCATAATGTGCCCTTAAGAATATTGTTGTTGACATTTTGAGACAGGGATTGTAATTAACTACAAGTAGTGATTTATCTGAAACAGCAGACAATTTAAGACAATGTCATGTTAATTTTGTTTTAGAAAAAAATAAATAAATTAAAAAAAAAATGAAAAAAATAAATAAATGGAAAGCAATATACTCTGTTTTAAGACTAAATTTTTATGTTTGTCTGTTTATGTATTGATTCATGAATAAGTTTTTGAATGAATGAATACATTATCTCTAAGTTTAGGTTAATAAATTATGGTACAAAACATCATGCATACCTGGGTCAGTGTCTTAATATTATAAGAACCTTACACTGGCTACCTGTACAGACCGGAATATCTAGCTCGAGGGTAACTGTTAACGGTGGTAATGAGGTTATGCCGAGTTTTCCACTAAACAGTTACCTGAGAGCTAAGATATTCCGTCTTTCAACCGACAGCCAGTGTTTGATTCTTTTTCTTGCATATTTACATATCAATTATATTCAGAACAGAAATTATGAAAACTGATATTTCTGTCTGATATGCAAAAAAGGTGCTAGATTAATAATGTTTCTAGGTTGTAGCGATGAATTGACTTATTACCAAAAAGCAAAATCAAAACACATTTTTATTCAATGCTTCATTGAATTGTCTTTGCATAATGGGCGCTTATGGATAGTGGTTGGGTGCCAGCTTCTCACTTCTTTATAGTCTTTTCCAAAATTAAATAAGCTAACAATGTTTAAACCAAATCTTAAAATATAATACAAGTTTTTTAACCACAAAAGCTTAAGGCAAAAAAAAAGAAAAATTATAGAAAACTGAAGATTTGAAATTAGAATAAAAATTCTTTAAAGGGAAATTTTTAAAGTGCCCTTTCCCTTAATATTGAAATATTAGTTATAAAATTTTTAAAAATTATTTTTTAATTTTAAATAGCTTCGAGCAATTTTAATATACACCAATGCTATCAGATTTTAAAAGTATCAGATTTTACCACTATATAAACTAAGAACAATTTAGACTTATACTTCTTACTCTGCTTATTTGCAGGGAGACCATTGCTTCTGAACTATCCAGGTATCTAGCTTGCAGAACTATACTTCTGTTTTAGCATGCCACCTGCTTTATTTCTTTAGTTGCACTATATATTTTGTTAAGTCAATGCAGTCTGGCCAAATTTGATCTAAAGATTGTATGAAATAATGTACGAAAATGACATAATGATATACAATAGAAATTAAACAATAATCATTTATCTTTGATTTTATGCATTTTTTACAGAAAGTTACCCCCCCCCTTTTCCACCCTCAAAATTAAAATTCATTAGATGTTTTTGTTGATTTAAAACTCAGGAATAAATGGTCTGCACTTGACCAGGATTTATTTAAATTTTATTTGTTGAAAAATCAAACCTAAAGTTTGCAGTTTTGCATTTTTTGCTTGCCAAGATGTTAACATAGTGCATACTTAAGCAAAGAGGAAGATGCAGTTTAGATTGAACATCTAAGCTAAGAAGTTTTTAAAAGTAATTACAATGTAATTGATTGACACTGTATGCCATTTTATTTTGTCTTAAATTTTGATACTAATTATTTAGCTTTAATATTTTATTAAATTTATGCTCTGATTCTTTTACTTCCAAAAATATTCGAATTCTTCACTAGTGTTCAATTTACTATCATGCACATTCTTTAGTTTATCAGATTTTCTTATTGTTTTTTGTCCATATTGAAGTTAAATGCTTTTTGACACTTGTATTTACTTATAATTTTCCACAAATTGAGTTTGGTTTGCTTTTTTAATCTCTATGCATGTCATTACTATCATTATTTCTGTAAGAATTATATTGCTGAATTGATTAAAAATACATTTGAAATTTAATAATTGATGATGTTACTTAACTTAAAGAAACAGTTATGTAAAGCTGTATGCCTGCAGATGAGCAAATACAAAATAAAAAAAATAAAACTTAAGAAAAATGTATTTGGAAAAGAAAAAAAATTCAAGAAACAAGTAGCAATTGAAATGATATGTCTGATTTTTGACTGATTTTGCAGTATTTATCACTATATTTCTACTATGTGACTAACACAGTGAGGGCAATTTTTGCATATTTTAATCTCTTCGTAAGTAATTTACGTGGATTGTGCCATTTGCAATGTGTAAATTTCTTTCTTTTGTTCACTTCACAATATTTTACTGTTAATTACATTTTCAAAATTTTCATGAAAATTAGCATGAAATTGGTGGCATGCTGCTTTATAAGTACTATTTTCTTTTTCCTATTTGAAGAAATTAAAGATTTTATCATAATGGTTTTCTTTTATAGTGAAATTTAATTGGAGACTTTTGATTTACTTATATTTTTATAGTTAATAACAAATCTTAAGATTTTTATTCAGAATGAATAGTATTAGAAAATAGAAAATACATACCTAGGATAAAAATAATTATTGAATAAAAATTATATAATTAATTTTCAACAGGCATAGACCAGCACTGGGAGAATGTTTGAGCTCATTTGCTGGTTGTTTCCCAGTAGCGTTCCTGGAACCCGGCCTCAACAAGTACAACAAATACTCTATTCTGTTCGGTCTGGAAGGCAAAATCTCCGAACACTCACTTGAAGCCCAAGGTAATATTTTCAGTATAGTTTATTTCCTCAAAGTAAGTCCTAACCCTTGTCAAAACTTGTATTCAAAGACTTGCTCTATTACTGCTACCTGGAATTTGGAACTGTTAAATGTTATCTTAAGAGGTTTTGATATAAAACTAGAAATATGTCGTTATATTCCACTGTATAAGCACTACATAAATTCACATCATGATGATAAGATTAATAGTCTTAGAAAATTTCATGGTTGTAGTAGTTATACTTTTGGAAAACTTAAAATTGTGAAATTTTGTGAAACTTAAAACCGTGACAGTTTACGCAATACGTTGGTTTTGTTGTGACGCGGCTCATATGTAATAGTCTATTTCTTGCTATTAACTATGATCAATATTATCATCAACAGAGGTGATGGACCTGTTAGCGGACACATTACCTCCCCTTGAGAAGATCCGTGATGAGATTGATCATCTAGCTGAATCTGGAGGAAAATATGTGGAGGCGCCACATGTCATTGAGGTTACCTTACCTATGCTCTGCAGGTATAAATATCTTATTATGTTATAGTATCTATAATTAACCAACAAAAGATGAAACTTAAGCAGTAGTTTCACATTTTGTAAGCTTATAGATACAAATTTATTTGATAAAAAGCTTACAGTACCTGAACAGTAATTTGATTTTATTACAAGTACTTATATATTTTTATTTTATTTTTAATTTACTCATACTAGCATTTTGTTGTTTTAATAATAATATTGTGGTTTTTTTTTCTATATTATAGCTACCTGCCATACTGGCTTCAAAATGGACCTGCAATTCAAGGGTATACTTTAACTTATATTTTGAACATTTTTTTGGAACATTTCTTTTATATTAATAAATAATTATCATAGAATCAAGAAATCCTAAACATGTGTTTTCCCAAATTAATTAAAATTAACTAAATATTTATTTATTTTTGTACCTGTGACATGATGACATTGGCTTTTGATAGTTTAGTAAACAGGAAATAGCTAATTGTGTTTTATTTGTTGTAAATAAAATTACTTCTTATTAACAAAATTTTGCTCATTAAATTCTATAAACAGGTAATTTTCTGGAGTAAGAAAAATTATCCAGTTAATAGTTTATTTTGTAGAGTTTGATTACACAATGTACATTCTTATTTCCCATCTATATATTTATTGTTATACACTACTGTAAAACAATTGTTTCAGGAACCACCCATGTACAACAGTGACTGTAGATTTAATGAACACTGTGTTAGGCAACGTCCTCAGGTTGATCTACAATAATATAGGAGCTGAAGATGCCCCATGGATGAACAGGATTGCTTGTAAGTTATAGTGATTCTATTTTTTGATTTTAATGTTTTATTTGATTTCACAACTGTAAATCCATATTCATAATTTATGTAAAGTAATCTACAATTTATGTATCTTTATTCTTTGTGTTGAGTAAGCTAAAATTTATGTATAATTTATTCTTTATTTTAAATAACTTACAATTTATGTAACAGCCTATCGTGAGTTTTATCAGCCCACTTTAAGCTTGTACAGTTTGACTATCTAATCAACAAAGTTTTTATGTTGTTTTCAGTTTAAATTTTGATATTATTATAGATCATTATACAATGAATCTATTATTAGTAAAAATCTTTTAAAGCTAAAAATAACTATTCAGTACATGATCATGATATGTAATTTGTTATCATATTCTTGTGACATTTTCATGTTTACAGCGAGAGTACAGCCAATTATTGGCAGTTCCCATCCTGACATGATATCAGATCATTTCCTGCCAATAGCGAAGAAGATTCGAGACAATGCCATGATTGTAGAACAGAAAGAGAAACAGCTTGCCTTGAGTAAAATGCATCAACAACATTTAGATGATGATTCTGATATGGAAGCTGATGTCCAACTGGTCAGTCTTTGATATATTTTTTATTTCTTCAAAATATGATTTTTTTTATTTGAGAATATTGTGGCATTTTACTTTAAAGTAATGTTAAGTGACAATGATGAGTTAATAAATAAATAAATGAAAAGAATGAAATTAATAAATAAATTTTGAGTTATAATAAACTTTTGGTCACTGTGGCATAAACATTTACATTCCAGGGAATGTTTTTTTTTTTTTAGAAATAAAAGTTTAACATTGTATTTATCATTTTTGTTTTGTCAGAATTGATATTAACAAGTAAGACATATGTATAATGTTTTATATCATACATAATTATATGAAAACATATTTAATGTTGTAGGCTTTTGGTATTCTGGTACGAGACATCTACGCCTTTTACCCATTGCTCATCAAGTATGTAGACCTACACAGATCCACTTGGCTAAAGAACCCTACCAGTGCAGCAGAGGCTTTGTTCACCTTGATAGCTGATATCTTCCTGCTCTGGTCCAAATCTATTGTAAGTTTAACTTGGTAACAAGATGATTATAGTCCAATTAGAATTTTAAGTAACACTTGATGATAAAGGAAAGCTGAAGGTCTTTGTCATTAACTTTTATGCATCTGCTTACTCGAAAAAGGTAGAAGAGTTCCAAGTTAGGCCTGAACCCACAAGTACTGGATTAAGATCCAGGTACCTTAAATCTTAAGCAGCCACTCCTCCTTTTGAATATCTATAGTGCTTCTTTACACCATTGAAACAATGATATGTCAAAGGTGAAGATACTGGCTTGATTATTTGTTAACAAGATATAGATTATGGTTTTTGACTGTCCTAAAGAATCCACTTTTAATATATTATACCAACATATAAGATATGAGTTTGTTTGCTGTACTAGTATGGTAACTGTATTGTATTTAACATTACATTAATTTTGTATATTTCCAGTTGTATAAGAGGGAGGAGCAGAATTTTGTGTTATCCAATGAGATTGACAACATGGCTTTGATCATGCCCAGTCAGACTAAACCAGTAAATGTTGCTCTGATCGACCCTGCCACTGAGACCAAGGCTCCAATGGGTAAATCTCTTCTTCTGTGTCATCATAAATATGTAGTACAAGCTGGTTAATTAAACCCCTTACTTTCCTTTGGTATTTATTATGTCAGTCAAGGTGATTATGATACGAAAAGAAGACAGACTCAAGGTTCATACAGCTACACTTGTTTAATTACATAAAAGGAGATCTATTTTATGTTTATAATATGCGTTGGTATAATTGAAACAAAGTTTTTACCTGGCTTCTTTCAAATACATTTTAAAACTGATAAAATCCATCCTGATTTCGCCTACCAAAGCCTGGACCATCAAGATAAATTTAGACCAAACTATCAAGAGTTATAAAAATTTACCATTAAGATGTATATAGATTTAACCACCAAGAGTTTTCTTGCATAGCAGACTGGCGTTTCCGTGTGTTTTACCCATGCCGGAAATTTCATCTGGCATGGGGGTGCCAGATGAGTCGCGTGCTGTACAATGGCACGCTTAGAATGACGTCATTTTACCGTTATGAATGAAGTTGCAATTTCATGCGCTGTTGTAAGAAAATAGTTACGGCTGTAATGATATAAATATGTTGAAATTAAAGATAAAGAATTTAAAATATAATGGAATATTGTAGAATATGCAAGAAAAAATATCTGACATGTTAGCGGTTCGGATCGGAATATCCGTCCCTCGGTAACCCGCCCATTGGCGGTAACTCGGCCAGCCTCGTTACCGATATTATTTATAAAGGTCATCAAGGTTTATATAAATTTTACCATCAAGGTGCATATTGATTTAATTAAACCCTTTACTTTCCCTTTGGTATTTATTATGTCAGTCAAGGTGATTATGATACGAAAAGAAGACAGACTCAAGGTTCATACAGCTACACTTGTTTAATTACATAAAAGGAGATCTATTTTATGTTTATAATATGCGTTGGTATAATTGAAACAAAGTTTTTACCTGGCTTCTTACAAATACATTTTTAAACTGATAAAATACATCCTGATTTTGCCTACCAAAGCCTGGACCATCAAGATGAATTTAGACCAAACTATCAAGAGTTATAAAATTTTACGCATTAAGATGTATATAGATTTAAACCGCCAAGAGTTTTCTTGCATAGCAGACTGGCGTTTCCGTGTGTTTTACCCATGCCGGAAATTTCATCTGGCATGGGGGTGCCAGATGAGTCGCGTGCTGTACAATGGCACGCTTAGAATGTGACGTCTTTTACCGTTCATGAATGGAAGTTGCATTTTCGAACGCTGTTGTAAAATGTTTACGGTGTAATGATAATACATGTTGGAATTAAGATCAAATAATTTAAGAATAATGGAATATTGTAGATATGTAATTTTAAATATCTACATGTTACCGGTTCAGGATCGGAAAATCCTCCTCGTAACCGCATGGCGGTCACCTGGGACAAATTCCGGTCGAACCGCTTACATATGACAGATATTATTTATAAAGGTCATCAAGGTTTATATAATTTTTACCATCAAGGTGTATATAGATTTAATGATCAAGGTTTATTGAAATTCTTATCATCATGATTTATATTAAATTGAACTATCAAGGTTTATATGAATTGGACCATCAAGGTTTATATAAATTTTGATTATAAAAGTTTATATGAATTTTAACCATCAAGGTTATATAGATTTAACCATCAAAGTTTATGTCTCCTTGCCACTGGTTCTTTTCGTATGGGGGTTGCGTTCATTGAACGCCGCCTTTCTTTGTTGATCTTATTTATCATATTTTATATAAATTTGACCATCAATGTTCACATAAACTTCAGTCATGAAGGTTTCATCAAATTTGATAATGGAATTTCACCCTCAAGTTTTATATAAGTTATTGATGATTATCATCAATTTATTTTTTGTTACAGGAGGAAAGAAACGTGAGAAGAAAAGATTAGAGCCTCACAACAGTTTGAATGTTGCCTGTCTGAAACGCTTACTTCCCATTGGTCTAAGTTTCTTCAGTGGGCGGGAACAAGAACTTCTTCAGATGGTCAAACAGAAACTTATTGGTGTAAGTTGATCATATATTCATCAGACTTTCGTGAACATGCATGAATGTCATGTCACAGTGAAATCTTTATTAAGTTCAAAACTTTCTAATTTTGTGCCTACATTTTTCATGTCTTTATATTTGTATGCATGTATATATGTTAATCATGAGAAAAATGTAGTTTAAGTGAAAATAAACGTTCTTCTTCATGATTGTAACCTTCCATGGGTAGGTGTTAATGTAATTAGATTTGCTACTAAATGGTTGTGATGCAACAGGTATATATTTGTTTATTGCAGGACCATGATGCAGATCTGGAAGACTTTTTGATAAAAACACTTGAGGCAGAAGAAGGGGTAAGTTTTACATAATCAAAGTTCAACAATTTTGATTATTAACTTTTTCAGTGGTTTGGAATGATAAGTGCAGAGGATTATAAACGTGCTGTTTTAAATATCCATTGTATAATGGTCAAGTAGTAAAAACAGATGAAATGATGATAATAATGTTTACATATTTTCTTCATTTGCTATTAATTGATTTCAGGATATAGTAAACTTATAAAGCACACTGCATTGTTAAGTAATATGAGTGAAACAATTAACATGAAACAATTTTAAGTTGAATGTATTAAACTATAAGGCCTCGGTTTGATTACTCAGAATTTGTAGAATAAATACTAGTAAATGTTAAAACATAATGTTCACTCCTTCAGCCCATAGATGACAAGATCAAATGGCAGAAGGTTTTGTACCACAAAATTGGTTCTGGAACAAGCTCGAACCTGGATCAGCAGAGGGTCATAGACCGTATTATATCCATGGCCAAGGTTATGCATGGGCTTCACATGGTAAGAAACATACCTGTGTCTGCAATCTGTCTATAATATTTAGAGCTTAACTTTTTATATTAATATAGTAACTGTATTGTGTTTGGCCATTAAACAGTAGATAGGGGAGGGTGCAGGAGGTGTAAACATTTTGATGCATCAATGATGTTTGAACTTTAAATATAATATTTTTTTATAAAGTTTGCTTCTATATATAACAGTCTAATTGAAATCAAGTGTGTACTTTTAGATGAGCATAATAAACTTGTATATAATCAAAATTTCAAATTTTACTAACATGTAATGTGTAAAGTATTTGTTATGTACAGTTATAGTTCAATGCATATTGTTGCATATCTGGCTGTCAGATTTGGCTTATTTTGTGTTACGACATAGCACTTACATGATTCTTTAAACTAGAACTGCTTCATACCTTTATATTGTCTGTTAAAGTAAACAATGTTATATGCATGCACTTACACTTTGATATACAGTTATGTCCATTTATTTACGCACAATTTGTACTGAATTTAAATAAAAGTGCTATTTTAATGATGTATATTTTAGATTTTTGAAATTTTTTGAGTTATGTTTACAATAATTTAAACAATATTTTGAAGAATGAGAAGCCACAGAAGGTATATTAGTTCTGCTTTAAACCGTGACTGATTTGTCACCATCATCTGTTGATTGTGCTTTTTGGTGTGATGAACACCGCCACATGGTTGATCAATTCATGCAATCCTGCCCATTTGTCTGTTTGTCCATCTGTCTTAATCGGACATGCCTATTAATACATGTCTAGGAAAATATTCCAATATATACAATAAGTCTTGATTAGCATATAAATGACAAAAATCTATAACCTTGTCAAGGTCATTTTTGAGGTTGGAAGGTTAAAACTTACTTGTCTTGAACAAAAATCCACAGATTTATAATTATCAAATGGTTTTATGTTTACATTCTTTTAATATAAAAATGAGTAACCTGTTATACCAATCACTTTATAAATAAAGGCCAAGGTTATTCTGACAAGGTCAACTGTCAAAATTAAAACCAGGACAAGGTCATACATAAAAGGTCAAATATCAAAACTAGAATTCTACATGATTGTGACCTGCAGGCATCTAGTATAAAATTAACATCATTGTTATTACTAAAAAAGACTTTCAATTGTTGATTACTAACCAATAATGTCAGTCAAAATGGTGTTCAAATTGAGCTACATTCCTAACATTATTATACTCAAAGATCTGCACTACTTGAAAGAAAAGAAATGAAATGCTGAAACATATTTATGTCAGAAGACTTTATTTTTTTTTATTTGAATATAATTTTAAAAGTTAAACAAAATGTATATTTTTAATGGCATTTTCCAATTTACAAAATCAGTTTTTTATTACCTTTTTTGCTAATTTATTAATGGTGAATTTTATGTTACAATCAAATATAATTGAGCTGTGCCATGACAAAACCAACATTATGCGTTTGCAACGAGCAGTCTGATCAGGATCTATGCTGTTCACTTTCAGTTTCACTACTTGCAGTAGGGTTTTAAACGAACAGCAAGGATCCTGATCAGACTTCGCTGATGCGCAGGCTGGTCTGGATCCATGCTGGTCGCAAAAGCGTAATGTTGATTTTGTCACAATGTTGGTTTTGTCTCAAACCCACTATGTTGGTTTTGTCATGGCACGGCGCATAATTATGTTCTAATTCAAAATGATTAATGTTACTATACTATGCTTTAACCAGGCATATTTTTTTTGACTTTGAGTATATCACAGATGTTGATTGCTATTGTTACATGTTGTTATGTTTTGTTTGTCAGTTTGATATATTAGAATCGCAGTTCGAATCATGGCAAATGAATAAAAAGGGCAAAAAAGTAAGTTGTATCTCCCTGAACAAAGGTTTGTAACATCCTCCACTGCATTTATAATTATGATATCCCACCTCAATGTATTCATCCTTAAAATCCAATTCATACCAGACTACTCATTGTTTTACCCATTTTTTTTCTGAAGAATGCCAAACTGAAACAATTAGCATTGTTTCGTTTACTGTATTTGTCTTTTTTCTATGGGTCAATCATTAGAGTGTCCTAAGTAGGGTAATTAACAATGTTATTTTTAGATAAACTCCAATAAAGTAAAAGAAATGGTATTTTTTATTTGTGTCAAAAGTTAAAATATATATACAGATGTAAAAATTATTGTGTGTTTGTTTATGTGTCCATTCTTAGTGTGATTGAAACATAAATGCACTTTTTACTTACATTCATATCAGCTTAACTGTGTCTGTATAAATAAAACATTTGAGCTGCGCCATGACAAAACCAACATCATGCATTTGCTACCAGCATGGATCCAGCCCAGCCTGCGCATCCGCACAGTCTGATCAGGATCCATGCTGTTCGCTTACAAACCCAATAACAAGTAGAGAAACTGATAGCGAACAGCATGGATCCTGATCAGACTGCGTGGATGCACAGGCTTGTCTGGATTCATGTTGGCCGCAAACGCACTATGTTGGTTTTGTCATGGCGCAGCTCATTTTGTTTCAGTGCGAGCACTTTTTGAGTTGTCCTCAAATGTCACAAAAACAAATTCATTTTGACTGGTTGTGTAATACACAAAATAGTGTGTGTCTAATATCTTCATGTGTGCATGTTTTTGTATAACACAGAAATATTCATTTATGAAAATCTTGTAATTAATTGAATTAGTCCTAAAAATGTTTCAAATTAATCAATTTCCAAAGGCATGTAAGCAATATGTTTTATTATTTGCTTCTAAAACTGATTTTTAAGGAAATTTGTTTACCTAAACATTAGGAAACATTCAGTTTTATAATGCATGAGATGGGAATGAGGGTTTTAGTCCCCTACCGGTTTAACCGGAGGGGACTTTAGGTTTACCCTCCGTCCGTCTGTCCGTCTGTCTGTCTGTCCGTCTGTCTGTCCGTCTGTCTGTCTGTCTGTCTGTCAGTCCGTCAGTCCGTCCGTCCACAAAACTGGATCCCGCGATAACGCAAAAAGTACTGAAAATATTTTTATGAAACTTGATATATGGATAGATGGCAGTATGGAGATTATGCACGTCTTTTTTTTTTCTTCCTATGTTGAAAATTCTGGTTGCTATGGCAACAAATAGTCTGAAAAATATGGCAAATTTAACACATAAACTGGATCCAGTGATAACTCAAAAAGTACTGAAAATTTTTTATGAAACTTGAAATATGGGTAGATGGCAGTCTGGAGATTATGCACATCTTTTTCTTTGCTTCCTATGTTGAAAATTCTGGTTGCTATGGCAACAAATAGCCTGAATTTCAAGATTTCCGATTTAAATTTTTCAGCTTTTTCACTATATGTTCTTTATTTCTTAAGGTGTTTACTTCAAACTTTAAATTTAAGTTTCTGGTCATCAACCACATCATATGTGACAAGGTTTATAACTCTAGCACAAAAAAATATCAGTATTACCTCCCTTGAACTTAGATTTTTTAGGGGAAAAAATGTTGTCTTTTTTTAAATAAACTTCTTTATTTCCTAATGTATCTACTTCAAACTTCATATATATGTTTCTTATTATCACTCGACATTTTTGAGAAGGTTAAATACTCTAGCAAGACTATTCCAGAATTATGTCCCCCTTTAAACTTAGATTTTTTTAAATATTAACAAATAGTCTGAAAATATGGCAAATTTAAACACATAAACTGGATCAGTGATAACTCAAAAAGTACTGAAAATATTTTTATGAAACTTGAAATATGGGTAGATGGCAGTCTGGAGATTATGCACATCTTTTTTCTTTTCTTCCTATGTTGAAAATTCTGGTTGCTATGGCAACAAATAGCCTGAATTTCAAGATTTCTGATTTAAAATTTTTCAGCTTTTTCACTATATGTTCTTTATTTCTTAAGGTGTTTACTTCAAACTTTAAATATAAGTTTCTGGTCATCAACCACATCATATGTGACAAGGTTTATAACTCTAGCACAAAAAATATCAGTATTACCTCCCTTGAACTTAGAATTTTTTAGGGGAAAAATGTTGTCTTTTTTAAATAACTTCTTTATTTCCTAATGTATCTACTTCAAACTTCATATATATGTTTCTTATTATCACTCGACATTTTTTGAGAAGGTTAAATACTCTAGCAAGACTATTTCCAGAATTATGTCCCCTTTAACTTAGATTTTTTTCGAGAAACTGGTATTTTCACTCCAACTTCTTCATTCCTTATAGGATTTACTTTAAAATCCCACATCGTAATAATATGACAAGGTTGTATAAACATAATTTCCTTACTAAGCATGGAAACTTAACACATTACTGTGATATAGACAAACTTATTTTATTATGTTTTGTGGTTGATATTTTCAAATACAGACTTCATCCTCAAATTCATTATAAATGGCAATACACAGGAGTGTATGACAATTAAAGAACTTTTTGAGGGACCGGTAGGGGACTACTGTATTGCCCACAATACTATCAAATGCTTGTTGATGGAGTTGTCTGTTGCTTACTAGTAACTATTTATGTTTGTAGAGCTTGTAAAATAATTGTATTTTATCCAGTCCCTTAAACTGCTGAAACTTTAATTGATAATACTCTGCAGTCAGTATAGTGCCCGATAAGCCTGCATATCTGTAAAGTCTGGCTGACTTAACATTTATGTCTTGGTATCCCCAAAATTGATAATGGACAGACCCAAAAATGGAAGCTGGGCAAGTCCATTTGAAAAACTCAGCAGGTTAAGGTTTAAACTGCTACTGAAACATATCCACTGATTACTGATGATAGTATTGGTAGGAATCATGGGATTGTCATTGACTATTTACAGGTAGAACATCCGGCTGCCCATCACAAGAATGTTTGGCGTAAAGTTGTATCCACACAGAGGAAGAGAGCTGTCATGGCTTGCTTTAGAATGATTCCACTCCATAACTTACCCAAGTAAGATCATTTATTTATCAGAATCATTAATTATCATGATCTACAAAAACATGCTATTCAGCATTAGTTATAGAAATGTACAGTTTGCAGCACAAGAGGGCTACAATTTTATCTTTTGCTAAAATATTGATACCCCTTTTGATCATAAAAAAAGTCTTACATATCAGTAAATTAATGTTATGCTTGAAATCACACATTTTTATTCCAATTTAACAAGTATGCAGTCTTCATTATACGGAACTTGATTTCATCTTATGCCTTAGATTTGCTCATTTTGTGTTACTAAATTTATATCTCTGTATTTATATTTACAGACATAGAGCAATCAACTTGTTTTTGAAGTGTTACAGATTTCAATGGTTAGACAACGAGGAATATGAGAAAAAGATACTTATTGATGATCTCACTGTAAGTTTGACATATTGTGCATTGCTATTTTAACCATTTATCTCTGAAATTTGTGCATCAAACTGAATATTGGAAATAGTCAAGACAGTCTTTCTCTTAATTTGTAGTAAATGATTTTAAAACAGTCCCATTCAGAATTTCCAATTTGTATTGAGGAATGCCAAAATGAAAGAATGAATTGATACGAATACATAGACATTTTGTTCCAACTTCTGAAATGTTATCTTAACTTGGTAGCTTGGTGCCATTTTCCTCTGACTTTACTATTAGTTTGATAATCTAAGACTAGAGCAAGGTAATGGCTATTGTATACATATATCATGCCAGTTAACACTGATTGGAGCAATGACAATAGACATCCAGCCTTATTGATCATTGAGAGTTAATCTGTGATGGAGTAAAAATACAACTATGTTGCCAGATTTTTACTGCTATGTTGTTCAGACATTTATATTAAACATCTTTGTTGTAAGATATTTATCATCTGATTATTAGATATATTTATCGTTATATTTGCTATACAGAGGTCAGATGAGTCGGAAGAAGAAGCTGCGGAGAAGAAAGAAGAGGAAGAAGAGAAGCCTGACCCACTTAAACAGCTGATCACTTGTCTGTCACGTGCCGCAACCAAAGAGCAACAGAGTAGCATGCCAGAAGATCCTATCTATATATCATATGCTCAGATCATGAGTCAGGTATAAATATGATCCTATCTATATATCATATGCTCAGATCATGAGTCAGGTACTAATATGATCCTATCTTTATATCATATGCTCAGATCATGAGTCAGGTATGAATATGATCCTATCTATATATCATATGCTCAAATCATGAGTCAGGTATGAATATGATCCTATCTATATATCATATGCTCAGATCATGAGTCAGGTATGAATATGATCCTATCTATATATCATACCGGTATGCTCAGATCATGAGTCAGGTATGAATATGATCCTATCTATATATCATATGCTCAGATCATATATCAGGTATCTGTATATCATCTGCTCAGATCATATATCAGGTATCTGTATATCATCTGCTCAGATCATATATCAGGTATCTGTATATCATCTGCTCAGATCATATATCAGGTATCTGTATATCATCTGCTCAGATCATATATCAGGTATCTGTATATCATTTGCTCAGATCATATATCATGTTCTGAATATTATATGCTCAGATCAGGTATCTGTATATTATATGCTCAGATCATATATCAGGTATCTGTATATCATCTGCTCAGATCATATATCAGGTATCTGTATATCATCTGCTCAGATCATATATCAGGTATCTGTATATCATCTCAGATCATATATCAGGTATCTGTATATCATCTGCTCAGATCATATATCAGGTATCTGTATATCATCTGCTCAGATCATATATCAGGTATCTGTATATCATCTGCTCAGATCATATATCAGGTATCTGTATATCATCTGCTCAGATCATATATCAGGTATCTGTATATTATATGCTCAGATCATGAGTCAGGTACAAATACGCCAAGTGTTGTTATATTCACTCAAACCACTGTAAATGTCCTGAATGAGGTCTTAACTGAAAATGAAATCCTGCCAGTGTATGTGAGCATTTTAAATTTCAAATCTATCAACTGAAATATTTGACTGTTTTTCACAGTAAATTGTGATGTTCTTTTGCAAGATATTGGTACTTAATAGAGAAACACAAAAAAATGTTAATTAAGGTTTATATTTCTACTTATTAGTATAAATGTATATAGTTCTTAGAATATCTTTGTCATGATATAATACAGACAAACAGTGATGTTTGATGTAATTATTTTCTTCATTTACCTTTGTCTTATAGAGTTGTAGTGGTGCGGATGATGATGACGATGATGATGGTGGGGATGAAGATGGCCCTGGCTCATCTTTCCAGGTAAATTTCCTGGCATTATCAATTTGCCTTTTCTCATGTGTATTTTAGTTTCAAAAACATTTCAACTTTATAGATAAGAGTTTTTTTTACAGTACTCGCCCTTTTTCATATTAAATGTTAGAAGTTCTATTTGTCAATAAATGTTGTTCTTTTTCATACAATGTTTAGTTTTATAGACAGAAATCTGATGTGCTTTACAATGAAGACTTTTGAGAAAGGGTCTTTTCATTTTGTTAACATTATAACTTTTGTTTCAATTTGGTTGAAACAGTTATGTTAAGATTTGAAATCAGAAATTTGAACCTTTTTCCTACAAAGTGAATTTTTTAATATGCAATGTAACTTGTATTTGAAATGGGAAGTGATGATTATTGTTACTGGAAAAGATTTTAATAGGTCCAGCCAACAGCATTGAGACAGGAAAGACTAGAAAGTGAAGTCTCAGGTCTGGGTTAAAACTTGAGGAATTGGCAGGGCAATATTGTCCATTGTTATAGGAAGGCTTATTTTTTAGTATTAAAAAATTGACTTTTGGATCGCTTTTCGTGACCATTCATGCTCTGCAGTAAATTAATTTATATTAAATATGAGATTGGCTAGACATAAACATTAGCCTTTTCATCCAAATCTTCATCAGGTAAATGTTTCCCTTTTGTCGTTAACCAGTTTGAAAAATGTCAAAGTTAATTTTAATTACATGCAGAAGTCTAGGATTGTAATATATGAATCAAAACATTGAAATGTGTAAAAACTTTCAATCATTATATCTTTCTTTTTTTAATATAACTCATATATTTTCTTAATTGCTTAGATCATTTGGCATTGAATACATCTTCTACATAGTGTTTCTTAAGTTTGCTTGCCAGAATTATATAAGCCTGTATATTTGGCCGTCTACAGTGAGGTCATTTATTTTGCCTCATTGCATCATCATGGAAAAAGCTAAATTGAATCATTATTTCATAAATAAACCAACTAATATATGTCCTAGAGCTTAAGTGATATATGCAGGAAAAATGTTTTCTGATGTGGAGCTTGCTTAAATTAAATGTATCAAAATAAATTATTGACTGTGATTTACAAAATTACCTCATGAAGCAATGTTGGCTGGTCAAATTTGTACTTATATGCACATTGTAAAAATGTTAATTAAGTTTTATCTTTTTTAAAGAATAAAACTTTGTGCTAATATTGACATAAACATGTTTGAATAAGATGTTTATTTCCAAAAATGATTTGCTTCATAGATTATAATGCCCTGGGCTTCAAATTGGTACTGCCAAGGGGGCTCTCTTATCGTGATAATTTTCCCTTATAATGCATAGTTAGTCAAAACAATTCTTGTTTGAAATTTGATTTATAAAGAGTTTTATAAATAATGACTAAATATTTATTTAGGCATGAACATTATGACTATATTGTCTACAAGTTTAGTTCATACAGTAAAAGCTGGGCGTCAAAATTGAGCCTTTCCCAGGGTGTTCATTTTTGTAACTTATTGTTTAGTAAAACTTTAAAAAATCTTCTTTTTAAAAAGCCCAATGAGCTAAGCTTAGATGTTTAGCATGAAACATGTTCTAATAAGTGTCTACCAAGTTTGTGCAAATAAAAGCCCTTGGGTTAAAATTGGCCCTGCAACATTGTGGGGGGCCTATATACAGGTGAGCGACCTCAGGGCCATCAAGGCCCTCTTGTTTTATATTAAAAATTACTTTTATGAAAATTGTTAAGTATTGAAACACAATTAATGCATTCTAGCAAAAAAGAAAATTAATTTATAATAAATGATTAGAGAATTGGCATGAGACCATAATATTATGTCTTTTGTCAAAGTTTCATAGGGATAAATTATTCACCTGTGTTATACTGTTAACCAGGTGAAAATCAACAGTGTAATTTTAATTACTCAAAGTTAGAATTGAATAATTATAATAAAATCACAAAATTAACAGTGTGTTTAAAACTTTCACATCCATATTTTATTTGCTTTCTTTGTTTTTATTTTATACTTTTTCATGTATTTTCTTTTCTTTTGCTTTATTTACCATTTGTTTTGCAAGTTTTTGATATACTTTTACATACGTGTTTGCTTTAATTTGCTTGCAGCAATGTAATTTCATATCAATTTATTATTTTTGTCCGTTCTACAGTTTGCACCTTGTACATTTTTATTGCAATTCATCTGCATTTTCACATCATTTGGCAAAGAAAGGCGCCTGAAATTGTTACATTCAATGTAAATTTAACATAAATCATCAACCACAACTAATATTATTTTTACACAAAGCCGGTTGATAGTAGCATATCATTTTTGCCAGGAAAGATGTTTTCTGATGTGGAGCTATGCTTATCATTAAAAAATGATAATCAGTCAAATTAAATGTTCGTGATTGGACAGTTTGAAATTTGAACACATAATTAACCAATCAAATGAAAGCAATGTTGGACTGGTTCCAAATTTGTAATTATTAATACTTTGTGATGATTATGTATGAAGGCTTATAGTTTTATTTGATTGTGAAAAATAAATTTGTCTTCACATGCAGTAAACATTTATTGAAATAAAGAATGTTTAATTTTGGGATGATTTTAATCCAATAAAGTGATTGCTTGCTTGATTACTATTTGCTCAGCTTCACTTGGATATTCTCAAGGTAGCTAACTCTGTAATCCGCTTGATGAATATGTTCCCCTTAATAGAGCTATAGTTAGTGCAAACTCATATGTCATGTGTCTTGAATTTTAATGATTTAAATAAAAAGAAGTTTTATAAATAATGCACTAAATATATTTACATTTAGCCCCCTGGAATCATAAATGACTATCTTTTGCCACAAGTATAGAGCCATACCAGTCTACACAGCTGTGCAGTCTATCCAGGCTCTAAACTGTTGGTATACTTCAACTTTTGTATTTTGATTCTGGAATCCCTTAAACTTTGAATGGACTGTTCCAAACTCAAAGATGGACACATCCATTACACAAATTTAGCAGGTTACAGGTAAAAGTAGTACTGTAACAATTATTCTTATGCCCCTTGTGTTTTGCATTGCTGTAGTAGAATTGCTTTCAATGAAAAAGGTAAAATTATTTCAGCATTGATAAGGGAATAGTTTGTCAGATGACATTGACATGTGAGTTTGTTAATTAGATTTATCATTCTAGTTAGGTAAATATTGTCTCTAGTTAAATTGTAAAGATTAAAAAGATCTGGTAATTCTATGTAAAGAAGAAGTCAACATTGTCTGATATGTCTGTTATTTTCTATGTGAGATATAACTACATGTAGTAAGTTAATATAGAAAAATGGATTAGTAACTATATAATTATTCTTTAATTGCATATCTTCTATGCAATACAGCTAGTTGAATTACATGTTTGTTATGTCTGGAGCTTGTACTAAAAACCATAAGTAAAATTGCTATAAGTTCATAAATTGGTTGTTAAAATTTTGACTACAAGTGGTTTAGTTAAACAATTTATCTTGTCTGACAAGGTTCCAGGTAAAATAAAAATGTTCTGCATAGCTAAGATGAGATTTCGCATGTGGCACTGCAAACAAAAGAAGTAACCCTTTAAGTGCTTGAACCGAAAGCGTTAAGCCTTTGTCACCAGTATAGAGCCAGGTCAGCCTGTACATCTGTGCAATCTGACCAGACTCTACTGTTGGCTGACAAACTTTAAATATTCAAATTGATATCCCTAAAATTGATAATGGACAGTCCCATAAACGGAAGTTGGACAAGTCCATTTAAAGTATTAAGCATGTTAAGTAATTTTGGAAATAGAGTGTTTTATTCTACAATCAAATAAGAAATCACATAACTTTTTTACAAGTGCCAAATTGAATCTTACGCAGGTATAAAATTGTTACAGAAAGAAACTATGAAGCTATTGGAATTTTATTACATAAAAGTATATAAAACCCTAATACAAAAGTATTGATTAAATTATATGTTTAAGTGTGTAATTGAGGGAATTAGAAATGTGTTTGTTGTATGTATAATGGTTGTACATCCAGCTGGTATAAGTAAATGTTGTATGTGATCTCCAGATATTGTACATGTATGGTCGTTAGATCAGAGCAGTATCATAGACAAAATATAGTACAAAATTAAAATGTTGGCAAAAAATGGAAAAAAAAAATTGGTTGTCATAATTAAATCATACCATTTGTTTTTCAAACATTTTTCATACTTTTTTTCACTATCCAAACATAATTGTAGATTAAAATTTTCATGAACTGAAATTAAATTACCAAGAAGATGTGAAATGCATATTTAACATTTGATTATTATGTGTTAAAACAAAATGTAATCATTTTTTTAATGCTAAAATTTAAATTTATATTCTCTTAAACATAAACATAATATGCTGGTATTAGTACTTCACTTGACCATTTTTGTCATTGAATATATTTAATGAGTTTGATAAACAAGTAAGTCATTATAAATCCCAATAACACCAGTGCCACAATCATGTAATAAAGAAATGTATATATTATAAATGTATGGTGTACTTTCAGGAACAAGAGATGGAGAAACAACAGCTATTGTCAGAGCAAGCTCGGCTGGCAGACAGAGGGGCGGCAGAAATGGTTCTCCTTTATATAAGTGCTAGCAGAGGTAGGAATCCCATAAGAGCAGGCACTGTTGTCTAGTGCTAACAGTGTCTGCCTACATATACAGGGGTTACACAAGTTCAATCCCCTACTACTCCAAATATAATTACTAAGATGTCTTTAAGTAGATAACTGGTGCTTTACAGATATTGCAAAATAAATTTGTTTTTTTTCGCTAGAATGGAGTAATTTCTTTAACCTATTCACTCTATTTACTCAGAAAAATAGAATTACTAACTGTTGTCTGGACTGAGAAGCCTGTATTGACCTGATCTTTCTTTTAAATGACCTTGAATAAATATATCAAATATGCATGACTCCCAACCATGACTCCTCTTTATTTCTATTTTAGTTTCAATACTAGTAAAACATTGTTGAACTCTATTGTATTCCTTATATTCTTTGAAATTTCTGTAAAATGTTGCTTAGTTTGAGACATATTTTTAAGAAAATGCTTCATTATGAATGAAAATATTATATATTTAATATTCTTTTTGTTATATTTTAGGTTGTGTAGGTCCTATGATATCTGACACTATAGAAGCAGGTATTTCTCTGCTTAGAGGAGGTAACATTGATGTACAAAAGGTATTTCATATATTTTATATTCATTTATAATGTTAAATATAATAGTTTTGAGAGCATTACCATAGTTTATTTTATATTGCACAATTCAATGTGTAGATGTATTATCTCACCATTACATATATACAAGTATATATCTGAGCAAAACATCTGAATGAAAAAGTTAAACTACACATTTTTTTATATATAGGCAAGAAAAGTTGTTTCTATTCCAATTTTTATAATTATGCTGATAGTTGCTCTCTTTTCTGTTAAGTTGCTCTCTTTTCTGTTATATGCTGGTAGCTGATTTATATTCCAACTGTTACATGCTAATAGTTGATTTCTTTTACAATTGTTATATGTTGATATAATGAAAAAACTTATGTAAATAAGTTAAACAAAAGTCATTGGAGAAGTAACTTTCATAATGTCATTATTCTTATATGACATGACATTGTTCAATGTTTTAGTAACATGAATATGATAGTTATCATTTAAGTACAATGCTAGTTATCATTTAAGTACATGTCCTTTTGTATTATAGAGAATGTTGAAACATCTAAAAGACAAGAAAGATGTAGGATTCTTTACCTCAGTTGCTGGGCTTATGCAGCAGTGCAGGCAAGTTTTCACATAAAAAAAAACAACAACAACATTGTTTTGTATGGAAACATTAAATTTAGGTCTATGTTCATTTGTGTTCTTTATTGATTTTTGATTTTCAATTTACTGTGAATAAATAACATCAGGTAATCTAGTGTTGGAATGAAAATTATTAACCTTTTAAATATTTGCTGCAGAGCTTTATTGAGCTTTCTTTCTGTGTTAATGGATGCAAAAGTTAGCAAACTATAATATGATAATTCGGGCAGTCCTGATATGTATAGGAGAGATTAATCAGCTAGTGATTATTTGTTTGCTGATGCCTGTCATGATACAGGTTCAAACTTACAGTAATATAAACAAAACCAATTACTATTGATTGTCTTTATATCCATGTTATAGTGTGCTGGACCTGGATGCATTTGAGAGAACCAACAAGGCTGAAGGTCTGGGTATGAGCCCTGACTCGTCACCAGGAGAGAAGAACCTCCATGATGCCGAGTTTATCTGTAAACTCTTCAGGTTCCTACAGTTGCTCTGTGAAGGTCACAATCTTGGTAAGTTACTCCCCAATCATTCTACTATTTTGTGTCAAATAAAACATATCCTGATGAATATAATATATTACCCCTCACTATTTATGTAATGTAAAGGCCAATGGGAAGTATTCTTACTGTTGATTCAAGTGTACCATTGACTAAAATTTTTGTACTGCTACTCTTTCTCTGTAAAAATCTGATGAATAAAAACATAGAAACAGTATCCAAATGAAGTTTTTGTTCAGGGTAAAAAATAAATAACAAAGGTTGGCGAGAGAAAACCTATTTGTTTGTTATATAATGTTAATATCACTGAAGATTACATGTTCTGTCAGCAAAATATTTAGCATGTTTGTCAAAACTCTTATTGATAATCCCACATTTTCTTATTCATTATATTCAGTTTTATACTTACAGTAATTTTATGTTTAATTCAGAGTTCCAGAATTATTTACGTACCCAGGCTGGTAACAACACCACAGTGAATATTGTTATCAGCACTGTAGACTACCTGCTTAGATTACAGGTAAACTTTAAATAATGTCAATTTTAATTTGTTTCTTATAATTCTTTATAGTCTTATAGATTTCACTGTACTGTAGCATTCTGAAATGATTTAACTTACATGATAAATTCATTATTAAACATGTGGTCAAGCATTTTTATATCAATTTCTGTGTCATTTGAAGTGTTTCTTATAAATTTGATTTGTTAGCTATACTATAGAATTTTTTTAAGAATCATGGTAAAATAGCCTTTGTTATAGTAGTAAACCAGCATTAAATATCTATAATTAAAATTCACAATATCTGTAATGGAAATACACAATATCTGTAATGGAAATACACAATGTATGTAATGGAAATACACAATGTATGTACAAAAGTTTTCCATAATAGTTTAAAAAATAAAATTACAGGAATCAATAATGGACTTTTACTGGCATTACTCTGGTAAAGACACTATAGATGCTGCTGGCAAGGAGAACTTCTGTCGTGCTATCATGGTCTCCAAACAAGTCTTGGCCTCACTAACTGAATATGTACAGGTATGGTTAACATGACATCATTTGTATTACACCTTTTGATATGTGTGTAGGATAATTGAGCCTTGTGGTAGAAGGTAGGATTGTGATTTCATCTTATATTAGTGGAATAATTAGTTTTTTCAAAAAATAACTTTGATATCATGAAACTTGTAAGTCAAATAATTCCACAAGTGCAAAATTTATTATTCAACACAAAATCAGTGATTTTGCAAAATGCATTTATACACTTTTTATACATGCCTAGAAGAAGGCAAATTACTCAAAACATTACTAATCAAAAGTTATTATTTTATGAACCCTCTGTGTCAAAAATGTGCTTTTCGAGATTATGTTAGTTGGTTTGTTCACTCTTATTATGTTACTATTTTAGGGTCCTTGCTCCCAGAATCAGCTGACATTGGCACACAGTAGGTTGTGGGATGCTGTGGGAGGTTTCCTATATATCTTTGCTCACATGCAAGAGAAACTTTCTAGGGTAATAACATGTATTTGTCTATACTTTAAAAACTTACCATTCATGTATGCTTTTACTAGTTCTTTATATTGTTCTCCTTATATCTTTCTTACAGATACCGGTACTTAGATACACAAATCATATACATGTAGATTAATAATATTTGAATTAATAATGTTTGCATTTTTGTCAAGAGAAATATTACGGTGTCATTTGCGATAGGAATAATGTACACAAACATTTAAATGTTTTGTATTTAGTCAGTGTTTTACAAGTTGTTACACTGAATTCCCTTACCTTTCTAAATATGAATAATGGACATGCTACGTGTAGACTGGACTGGCTCTATTGAAGTGGCATAATCTTAACATTTACACTGTTAACAAAGGTTTAAGATTATTATATTTGTATACACTAGGATGCAGACCAGTTAGAGTTACTGAGAGAGTTTATGAAACTACAAAAAGAGATGATGATTATGTTACTCTCCATGTTAGAAGGTAGGTTTTCTTCTTTATATTGTGTTATATATACTTCATCTGTACATACATTTTGTTTTTAGAGCATAGGTTATGGTGTGACTTTAATTGAATTAAAGCCATGCAAGAACGAAGTCATACATTTAGTCAAAAGGGCAACAACGTTTTGTTTTGAGACCTGACTGACCCATTCCATGTTAATTATCTAGTCCATCATTTTGTTTGGGCAAAAGCATTGATTTTAAACAACATTTCAAAATATGTACTGACTGAATAGCAGACGTGCTGGCTGATCTTGGTCTGCACTGTAAAGTCATTTGCCTTTCCCAGGCTTATAGAGCTAATCAAGTGATATTATATTATCAATTTTAAGTTTATTATAGGAATAAGCAAGAAATCAGTCAACATATATGTACATGATAATTTTGATTTGAAATATTTCAGGTAATGTAATGAATGGACCCATTGGTAAACAGATGGTAGATACATTGGTAGAATCATCCAGCAATGTTGAGGTAAGCAAAGCTGTTCTGGTTTTTGAACGACCCATGTTGATTTTTTTTTTTTTATAAAAAAACAACACTTTTTTAATAATCAGGGTCTCAATAATGTGTCACTATCCAAATTATGAATTCACTGAAAATGGTCTTTTTCATCAATTTTTTTTTCACTTATTATTTTGATATATTAAGTTTACAATATATTAATTTGAACTCATACTTTTTAATTGAATTTAAAGTTTATGCCTGGTTATGTTCACAAGACTTTATAAAATGGACAAAAATGTCACTTACATATTTTTTATCAACATAACCCAGGATGAACATAGTTTCTTGTTTTCAGATGATCTTGAAGTTCTTTGATATTTTCCTGAAAATGAAAGACCTTACAACATCAGAAGCTTTCCTGGTATGTATATGTATTCTATTTTTTGTGTATGTTTATATGTTACTTGGCAACATTGAAAAAGTAGTTTTTAAGATTTAATAACTGCTCAATAAAAGTTATTGTAATCAATTGTTTAGGAAACCTTTTTAGCTCACCTGTCACAAAGTGACAGGGTGAGCTTTTGTGATCGCTTTTCGTCCGGCGTCCGTCCGTCCGTCCGTCGTCCGTAAACTTTTACTTTAAATGACATCTCCTCATAAACCACTAAGCCAATTTCATCCAAACTTCACAGGAATGTTCCTTTGGTGGTCACCTTTAAAAATTGTTCAAAGAATTTAATTCCATGCAGAACTCTGGTTGCCATGGCAACCGAAAGAAAAAACTTTAAATATCTTCTTTTAAAAAACCATAAGAGCTAGAGCTTAGATATTTGGCATGAAACATCTTCTAGTGAGTGTCTACCAAGTTTGTTCAAATAAAAGCCCTTGGGTCAAAATTGGCCCCGCCCCGGGGGGTCATTGATTTTCCCTATATGCATATAGTAAAAACTGAAAAATATTCTTTTAAAGAACCCAAAGAGCTAGAGCTAAGATATTTAGCATGAAACATGTTCTAATGGGTGTCTACCAAGTTTGTTCAAATAAAAGCCCTGGGGTCAAAATTGGCCCCGCCCCGGGGGGTCATTGATTTTCCCTATATGCATATAGTAAAAACTTAAAAAATCTTCTTTTAAAGAACTCAAAGAGCTATGGCTAAGATATTGAGCATCAAACATGTTCTAATAGGTGTCTACCAAGTTTGTTCAAATAAAAGCCCTGGGGTCAAAATTGGCTCCGCCCCAGGGGGTCATTGATTTTCCCTATATGCATAGAGTAAAAACTTAAAAAATCTTCTTTTAAAGAACCAAAAGAGTTAGAGCTAAGATATTTAGCATGAAACATGTTCTTATAAGTGTCTACCAAGTTTGTTCAAATAAAAGCCCTGGGGTCAAAATTGGCCCCGCCCGGGGGGGTCATTGATTTTCCCTATATGCATATAGTAAAACTTAAAAAATTTTCTTTTAAAGAACTCAAAGAGCTATGGCTAAGATATTTAGCATCAAACATGTTCTAATAGGTGTCTACCAAGTTTGTTCAAATAAAAGCCCTGGGGTCAAAATTGGCACCGCCCCGGGGGTCATTGATTTTCCTTATATGTGTATAGCAAAAACTTAAAAAATCTTCTTTGAAAAAACCCAATTAGCCAGAGTTAAGATATTAAGCATGAAACATCTTTTAGTGAGTGTCTACAAAGTTTGTTCAAATAAAAGACCTGGGGTCAAAATTGGCCCCGCCCGGGGGGTCATTGATTTTTCTTTATATGTGTATAGCAAAAACTTAAATCTTCTTTGAAAAAAACCCAAATAGCTAGAGTTTAGATATTAAGCATGAAAACATCTTCTAATAAGTGTCTACAAAGTTTGTTCAAATAAAAGCCCTGGGGTCAAAACTGGCCTGGCCCCAGGGGTGTCATTGTTTTTTTAACTATATGTGTATAGTTAAAAACTTTAAAAAAAATCTTCTTTTAAAAAAGCCCAATGAGCTAGAGCTTAGATGTTTAGCATGAAACATCTTTTTATGGGTGTCTACCCAAGTTTGTGCAAATAAAAGCCCTTGGGTTAAAATTTGGCCCTGCAACGTTGGAAGGGGGGGGGTTTGGGGGGGCCTATATACAGGTGAGCGACCTCAGGGCCATCATGGCCCTCTTGTTAAAATACTTCATTAGCTTCCTAACTTATAGTAAAGGTGTATTTTGATAATAGTATTATGCCTGTAACATGCAAATGGATTTTTATAATATTTACAGAATTAAGGAACCTTAATTATTATATTGTGTCAGGAAAGAAAGATGAATTCCTGATAGTTATCACTTGAAATTATGATTGTTTTAATCAGTTTAACATTTCAGAGATTTGTTGTTATTGGAAAGGGTTACAAATAGTTTCATGTTACCAAAATGACAAAATGTTTGTATTTCAGATGTAGACAGAGGGGTCATTTAGATTTTAAATATATTTTTATCATAAATACTGTGAAATCATTGGCAAAATATCTAATTTTATTTTGGCATTATCAAGAATATGGTACATGTATTTGAGTATATTTTGTCTTTAGAACAACATTTTTATTTAGTTATCAAAAATTATTAATATTTTGATATACCCTATCATATTTTACTATATTACAAAAATATGCAAAAGTATTTACAAAATTCAGAATTTGCCAAAAAAGTTTTAGGTTATTTTGATTTCACAGTAAATTTTCAGATTGGCAGATTAATGATAATAATTACTGATATATAATTATTAAACATAATATTTCAACCCTGTTTACTGCTGCTATCTAGGAATTTGACACTAACAAGGATGGTTATATATCAGCAAAAGAGTTTCGCCGAGCCATGGAGGCCCAAAAGATGTATTCACGGTCGGTGTACACAGAAAACATAAATACATTATATGCCTCTGCCTTTGTAGTGTAGTCACATTTAGCACATTATCACGCACTTGTGTATGCTTAAAGCTACATGCCTCCAGATGAGTCCAACTATTTCAATAAAATCAAACTTAAGAAAAATGTGCTAAAAGTAAGGAAAAGTAAAAAGTTTCAAGATTTAAGTAATATTTTACATATAATGTGCGATTAATGACTGTTTTTTCAGTATGTACATCTATATTTCTACTGCGTTACTAACGCAGTAAAGGCTATTTACTTTTTGGTAATTTACTTGGTTTGTAAGTGCCATTGATAATGTGAAAAATTGCTTCCTTTTGGTTAATTCACAATATTACACATTCAAATATTTTTTACATTTTCAAAATTTTCATGAAAATTAGCATGAATCTGGAGGTTTGCTGCTTTAAAATATAAAAACAACAGTGTTCACGCATTGATGTATTATATTGTTAATTTGTTGTCGTGGTAACTTCTATTGAGAGGTCGTTTGTCTGTAATGAAATGTAAAAAAACATGTAATGTCAATTTTGTAATTAACATATGCTTGAACATTGTCGTGAAGCTGTATTATGATAATGTAAACAAAATTATGTACTGCCTCATTTAGAAAAAAAAATGTGAATTTTCATTTTGGTATTAATTTCATATGCTATATTTTTGAAAAATATGCTTCTGTTACAGAATATGAAGGGAAATAATTTATATTTATTTGAAACAAAATCGTCAAGTTTTACATTTTTAAAGAGAAAAATGAGGCAGTATATAATATGTATCTTTTATTGTCAGTTTTATCAGCTTGCTCTGCTATTCTAAGCTTTTGGTGGAGGATAGAGTATACAGCCAAATTTATCTAGCTTTATCATAGCCGTGTAATGGCAGCTGCTTTATGCTGTGTTAAATGACATGTAAACATGCTGTGCTTCTATGCAGTACACAATGCTTATGCGTCATATGCAGTGCTTATGTGTAAACAATGATATTATCTTCTTCTGCTCATTTTCTTCTGAAATAAGTCTTGCCAGAAAATGAACGTTTGAGTCAGCCCGAGATATGACATTAAATTATGACTTTTATACACATAATTTGATAAATTTTGATTAAATGATTCTTTACACTTTTTGATATCACAACAATGACCTTGAAGGAAACATTTTTGTGTAATTTGCCTATCAAAATGATTATGTAAAAGAGCCTGCTGCATATACATACTTGTGTAACAAAACTAACATATTGTATACTGTATAATGACTGTATAAATATGCATCTGTCTGAATGCCAAATATGTAAAACTCACTACACGTGTATGTTGTATAATTTTATGTATCACATATGTGTATTCATAAATCTCTAACAGGAATTTGACTCAAATGGTGATGGTTGTATTTCTACTAAAGAGTTTAGAAATGCTCTACAGTCCCAAAAAAATGTCTTCACGCAGTAAGTCAAACTCCCTCGATGCCAAAATTAATACGACTGAAAACATGTGACCGTTTTGCTGTACTGTCTCTAATTACCTGAAGTGTTCCTTATGTGTCATTAATGTCCTTGATGTTTGTGTTTAATTCAAAATTAAAAAGTTTGAAAAGGTTATCAAAACAAGAAACCAATGATCTCTGGTGTATTGAAGAAAAATTTTATACAAGAATATTTTCTCATCTTTTGATGCTGTTGAGAACTTTTTACTTTAATTGGCTAAGAATTTCTTTACATAGATTTATGGAAACTTTTTTGTTTAGGGAACAGGACTTTGCTTCCTATGAGTATCTTTTTCCAAATTTGCTAAGTAAAAATCAGTAAAATTTTATTTTGATTATACATGTACTGAAATTAAAGTCTATTTTCTGAGGTATTGTCTATTTCTCTATAGCTTTATCTGTTGTTACTTGCACCTCTCTTAAAATTTTCTTTTGCCTCCTCAAAATGTCTGTTTGTGCTGCCCTCTAATTGTTCTCTGTTGTTTTTTTTTTGGTCTTTTTTCTTGTTACTGATGTCCAGTTTTTTAAGCCCGTTGGAATTTATCATTAATATCTCTTTTCTTGTTCTTCTCTATTTTTCATTTTCTGACATTATTGCTGCATCTTTCTGTGTCATGTTCTGTTTCAATTATTTACAAGAAAAGCGCGTTTAAAATTCTGCAAGCATTCTTTATATATTTATACTTTCTTCATTTCAGCATTTTTGCATGATTTTCTTTCTCATTTCATATTCTTATATATTTTTTTCTTTATATTTTTGTTTTCGTCATTTTTTCAATCACCCATTTATTTTTTTTTCACACATTCACAAAACAGGATGGTGGCAGACAGAGAGAATTTTTATTTTCTTAACCAAACATTTATTAACAAATTTTAAATGAGAACTTCATTTTCTGTTAGGAATTTGACACAAATAAAGATGGTTGTATTTCTCACAAAGAGTTCAAACATGCCCTTGATACTCAAAAACTCTACACAACGTAAGTTTTAACATCTCAAATCCCTTCATCATGCCAATAACTGCTTACAAACTTTACAAATATCAGTTCACATGTCTGTATTTTGACATTTACAGAGTCTAATATTTGTAAACTAAACAAAAAGAAAAAAGAAATGTTGATCAAATGTACATGTACGGGAATCTCACAAAGAAAATGTCTTACAATGAATTATCAAGATGGCTAAAAATGTAAAAAATTTCAAATTAATTTGGCAGCATTCAGTTTTACAAATTTTGAAAATCATCATTTGAATACCTTGGCACTCTCAGAGTAAAGCTTTATAAGATAGGTATATTTATAATTTCTAGGAAATATTCAGGAATATCATAAGTCACATAGTTTAAGTCATGATGAAAGGTCTTTGGGTTGTGTTCTTCATTTACTAGCTTCTGAAATCACCAAAGCTGTATATATACATATTTCTAGCGCTGGTTTTGATAAATAGCTAGCTGTAGAATTGGCTTTCAATCAAATACTTTGCAATATTGTTTTGCTTTTACTCAGCACAATTTTCTATCACTGCCCAGTACTAACGCCTTTTTCTTTCCGCTCTTTTTTTTTTTGCTTTTTGCAAGCCAGTTCCACAATAATTGGTTTGGTTTCATTTGCATATGTTTCTAGCTCTTTCCGTTCCATCTTCACTTATGTTCTTTTTCTTTGCATGTGTTTTCTGCCTTTGGAATTCTTTATTTATATTATTGTTATTCTATATTTTTCTTTTTGAATTATGTTAAAAAGCAAACATTAGATAACTCCCTGTACATCTTTCAAGAATAGTAGATTTCATTTTCAAAAAAAAATATAGTACCCTTCCCACAATTGTTCATAGTTGTGAATGAGTTCAGAGAAATCTTTTATAACCTGATGTTTCCATCAATATGAGGAAAATAACATATAGTTTTGAATAAACAGTACCCCATTACATTTGACAAAAAATATTTTATGCATGTTATGCTAACTGAATGAAAGAATGTGAAGAATAATTTTAATCTACATTAACAATATATGCATTGTGAATATAATAATTTCATAACTAATATTTAAATGTTTTAGCAAAACTTCAAATAAAACAGGCTCAGCAGTAGTCTTCAATACCAGCCTTTATCTCAAATTATTATCTCTTCCAAATGATAGCATTTTGTCTTGTACTGTAGCAAAAATATAACTTTAAGAAAGGTACCTTTATTCAAGATATTTTAATACAGATGCATGCATATAAGTACATGACATGTAATGATAATTCTCAGAATAGTTTTTCTTATTATCTCTCTTAAATGTTTTTAAATAGAGGCTTTTTAAAACACAAAATTACCAGTTATTTGAATTAAGATAAATTTCTATGAAATTTAGAACAAACATGATACAGGTACATGATACTATGTTAACAGAGAAAGTTTCAGGTAAGGAACTATCATTTGTTTGTTTACAATGTGAATGTAACCATGGTAACTGTATATATTATATAGGGAGGAGATAGAGTACATCATGATGTGTGTGGATGCCAATCAAGATGGTAAAGTTGACTTTAATGAGTTCACAGACAGGTTCCATAACCCTGCCAAGGATATCGGTTTCACCATGGCTGTACTGCTGACCAACTTGTCCGAACATATGCCAAATGACCCCAGGTAATGTGTGATTCATTTTTACTTCATTAAAGGCACATAGAATAAAAAAACAATGTTAGTTAACAACAGGAGTATTGTGTTAAGCGGTCACATCATTTTGGCACATACTGTTTGAAATCATTCAAGTATTAATTTCTATTGATTGACTATTTACATCTCATGGATAAAAGACAAAGAGTTTTAGTTTTTGTTTTCACAACCATTAGAGTCATGAAATGATTTTAAAGAATTTAAAATGCATTGTTTAATGGGTGTCTTGTATAGAAAACAACAACAAAAGAATTAATGGTAAATGTTGTGATTTGTATTGTACAGATTGGAAAGGTTCTTGGAGAAGGCCCGTTGTGTATTGGACTACTTCCAGCCATATTTGGGCAGGATTGAGATTATGGGCGGAGCTAACAGGATAGAAAGGGTCTATTTTGAGATCAAACAGTCACACATTGATCAATGGGAGAAACCTCAGATCAAGGTAAAATATTCCTATCATTTGTTGATCAAAATGTTATAAAAAAATGAATTAAATTTTTAAAAAAACTAGATAAAACCATAACATACAGTCTATGATGGCTTTAGGAAAAAATTTTGCAGCTGCATTTCAGCCGATAACTTTATTTATTGTAAAGGACAAGCAAATGCTTGCAAACAGAAGTACTGTATTATGTTGTTAACTTATTCCAGGAATCTAAGAGATCATTCTTACACAGTGTAGTGAATGAAGGAGGTGATAAAGAGAAACTTGAGAGTTTTGTGAATTTCTGTGAGGACACCATCTTTGAGGTAATTACTGGTTGTCCACTTGAATAGGCTAGAAGCTATAATGTCAGGTCTATGCCTCTAGTATACATGTATGAAGCCTGAAAAGGCGTAAAATGAAACAAACAAACAAACCAGAAGTGGTGTGTAATTTGAGCATATTGCATTATTTCCCAACATTATATAGTTCGACCTCTGTTAACTAAATGTGTGAAACAATTAGAGTACCAGCAACAGCCTTTATCAATGTTGGGAACAATTGGAAGTATAACTGTGGAGTATGGTATTTGGGTAATCAATGCAATGTTAACCCTTTCGCTGCCAGAGGGTTAATTATTTATTGATCACCTATTTGCCAGAAGGGTTTCTAAGAAATTACTATATTATTAATTAATATAATTATCATTATTTGTTATTAGTATTATAATAATTATTTATGTTTCCAAATATGCTAGTATATAATAATTATTGTCGATGGTATTATTATCTATATATTTATTATTATTATTATAATTATTATTATTATTATTATTATAGAAACGGCAAAAGCCGTCCATATGGCAAATATGCCGAAAATAATAGGGACGGCATATGCCGTTCCTATGGCAGTGAAAGGGTTAACAATGTTTTAGATGTAATAAATTATGTATTAAATTTTGAAAAATCAATGAGTGTTGTTAAAAGACACTAAAATCAAAATCAAATTATATGTAACTTTGAAGAAAAATATTATTTAAATGTCAGTGCATCTTTTTCTTCACAAATATTTTTTTACATTGATAAAGTTCCAACAAAGATGGTCATTTTGTATGAAAAAAAGATTGAATGTTTATTAATATATTTTCTTGTTTATATTACAGATGCAGCATGCCACAAGTATTAGTGCTGAGGAACAACGTATTGCTGCCCTCAGGAGTGGTAACCTTGGAGACTCAAGAGGAGGGTAAATGATTTTGTTAATATTTTAATAATATGAGACAAGGATCTGTCACCTGTGTTTATGGATGCACCAACACAATTTAGGTCTTGTAGTTAAGTAAAGAATTGCAGCTTTCATGTTAATATTTTAGCTGCTAATGTTTTGGTTTGGTTTTAGCTTTATTAAATGCTCTTTATTCTTTGTAGCAAACAAAAATGCATGAAACATTTTGGTAGTCTATTACAGACACGTCTCATCAAACCAAATAATTTATTTATTCCAGTGTTCTTGAACCAGTGAAAATGGGATACAATTTTGTGAAGGAAGGATTTGGATCATTCTTGTCGCTGTTTACGATGTCCAATTTACGCACATCGTACAGGACCTTCCGCAAGATGACTTACTGGCAATTGTTTGTAGCTTTCATTAAGCTCAACTTCAAAATTGCCTTCATGTTACTGACTGTCCTCTTCCATATTGTTTGGTAAGATATTGATTCTTATTGTCGGGGCATACTGTATTTTTGTTAATCTTTTTCTTTGAGAACGGTAGAAATGTTACTTCTGATTGTGGTATTTAAATTCCTTATGCTTTTTTAAATGCTTTTTTTCTATTAATTACAATGTTTTGTCGAGAGTTGTTTTAGATAGCATTATCAAACTGCTTCAAGTACATTAAGTTTTTATTGTACTATGCAGGTGAAATATATAACTTTATGTTTATGTTTTTTTATGATGGTGAAATATAACTTTCACTTCAGCTCTTTGCAGCTTTTACTAGTTTAAATGATATGGAAATTTGAAATTGTTTCAGAAGGGGATTAGAGTTTAAAGATATTGTTATTCATTTAAATCTTTTAATAAGTTAATTTATTTTATGCTTTTCAGTGGATTACTGATTTATCCGTGAAAATTATATTTGGTAATTTCACAGTGAAAATTATCAAAATATAATTTCACTTTTTTCAATGACGAAACTACTTTTTAGCTCGACTTTTCTATGAAAAGGGGAGCTATCCTACTCGCCCCGGCGTCGGCGTCGGCGTCACACCTTGGTTAAGTTTTTCGTACCACCCCACTTTATTTCAGAAGTATTACAAGTATGGCTTTGAAACTTACCATACTTGTTCACCATCATAACCTCCATCTACAGACAAGAGTACATAACTCTGTCAAGGTTTTTGACAGAATTATGGCCCTTTTTTGACTTAGAAAGTGTATTGAGCTTGGTTAAGTTTTTTGTACCACCTCACTTTATTTCAAAACCATTGGAGGTATTGCTTTGAAACTGACCATACTTGTTTACCATCACGACCTTCATCAACAGACAAGAGGACATAACTCTGTCAAGGTTTTTGACAGAATTATGCCCCTTTTTGACTTAGAAAATACATTGAATATGGGTAAAATCCACTTATTGCCTTAACCCTTTGAGATATTGCTTTGAAACTTTTAATGCTATTTCACATCATTACCCCCATCTGTACGCAAGAGAAGGTAACTCTGTCAAGGATTTGTTTTAAAAATTAAGGCCTTTTATCGACTTAGAATCTTGGTTAAGTTTTTAGTACTAAATATCTTAATGCTCATGGCCATTGTTCACTTTAAAAATACAGAGATTCTTGTATTGCCTTTTACTGCAAAAACTTTTTTTATTGGCAAGCAATAAAAAAGTCGAGCGCGCTGTCTTACGGACAGCTCTTGTTTAAGATTTTCCCCATGTGGTACCTCAATTTTATTTTTGTTGACAATACTGACAATGTCAGGCTGTTTAAAGAAAAAGCAAAGCTGAAATTGATAAATACCTTAAACGTCAAAAGTAATAAAAAGAAGAAAACTTACTTCTATTCATTCAAATTCCAATCACCAAATTTCGTCTCTAAATTTTTTGTTTTCATTTTTTACAGTCTGAAAAATACAATTCCTTCCACATGCAAACTGCTTTGATGACATTTGGGCATATTAAAGTATCCTACGAGTAATAACTGCCGTATGCTTTATGAAAATTGAAAAGCAATGACAGCTACAGCTCGTAGAACAATTAAACCACCCAGCGTTCCGAGCAAGTTCCAAGTCTTCCATTTTTCATAGCTGCTTTTTTTCATGTTTTCACATCTGTCAACACTTATTTTTTGTCTGTTTCAAATCCTCAAATATGTTTTCTTTCTTTTAAAAAAGGTGTAATGACTAACAATTCCAAATGATATCCCTCTGAATCAAACACAATTATTTTCCTCCCGTGAAATACACAACTTTAAAAAAATGGCTGCCGCTTACATTTAACAAAGCCAGGTCTAATATAAATTCGCAGTAAGTAAACAGAAATATGGATGGATGGTTGGAATTTTCTCCTACACGAATTGTTTGTTTTTATTATTAAAAACAAGCGATCATTCATATTTTTTTTAACAAAATAATTAATATCACTGTCATTTTAATGTTGATTGTCGGACTTATTTTTCAGCTCAAGACTTCTTGTTTTTAATGAGAAATTCGCACGAAATGGGCTCTCAATGGGGAAACAGATTTTAATATTTATGTTAATATTATGGAAATTTCGTTTAAACTTGTTTTTTTAGCATAAAATAAAAAGAAAATTTGTTTGTTTGTTGTGTAAGATGTAATTTTGTTTCATCTCGTGAACTTTAAAAACAGTATTCTCACTCGTGGCTACGCCACTCGTGAGAATACTGTTTTTAAAGCCCACTCGATGAAATAAAATTTCATCTTACACACAAACAAACAAATATCCTCTATATAAAAAAAAAAATACCTGCAATGTTCACAGAGATATTTTCATTGTGACATCACAATTTTTTTCTTACAGGACACTTTGTAGATTTGTAATAAATATGATGATGGGTGAGCGTGACGAGGGCGATGTTGGCGAAGTTCCTGTTGGGCCCCTGGCCCTGCCTGGCCCGTCAACACCTGGAGAAATAAAGAAACCTCTAGTAGCCCCGATGGAGATAGAAACCGCTGATCCCGTTGTCAATATAGCTTTCGGAGTGGCCATAACAAAAGAAGAAAAGGAAGAGGGCGCAACGTAATAATTTTGTTTCTTTTTTGAATGGAAAAAAAACACAAACTTTCAAACAAAAATGATAGGGAGTATGAATTGTGTATGTGTGAAAATGCTGATTAAAGAGTTCGTCTGTCAGTTGTTCATGTTCTAGTAACTTAAATATGAGTTTTAATCTGTGAAATCAATATTCTTCATAGTACTTACACTGTAAGTGATAGGTTGTGGCTTTGTTGCCTGGTGGTAAACCCAAGAAACATATGTTGGAGTCTTACGTTGGTCATGAAAATATTATTTCCTCATAGATATCAAAAAGGCGATTCAAATCGGTGTGAAATAAACAAATGTACATTGTACTTAAACGACATAAACAAATGAAGTACAAAATTTTTTAGATACATGTAGGATTACATAAAATGTATCTTAACCATAATAACATAAAAAATGATTAATGTTTATTGATGTAATGATTATATATTTGTATTTTTACAGGATCTCGCTTGCGGACGCTAAACCACCAATGTCGACCCAGTCTAGCATGGATATGAGTGATGATTTAGCAACACAAGATTATGTAGACCAGTCTACAACCTCTAACACTCAACCTGCTACAATCATGGTAAGCATTTCTGATTATAAAAAATAATATGCATAAAAACAGGCTCTGTATAGAAATGTAAAATTGAAAAACCAAAACATTTACACAAAATTATTGCTAAACGGATAAAACTCTTCTGGTTGGAGAGATAACTCCGACACTAAATCACATATTTTTTGCAATATCTTAATTATCTTCCTGTATATTTTAAACAGTGAACCACCTGAACAAAGTTCAGTTCAAAGACTTTACATTACACTACAAAAAATACGTATGAAAATGGAAACTGGTACTTCTTTTAGGTCCTGAATGAAGTATACAAAACATGGTCTTTTTACACCACAACAATAGATAAAGTCGACACTTAAACTTTTAAGTAAAAAATGAAAGGAAAATCAACATCAATAATTTATTTTAACATATTATATAATTTATCTATTTTTTGTTGATATAAAAACAATTTTTCAAAAATCTTTCCCAAGTCAGTGGCCTGTGGTCAATACATTTCTAACTGCCTTATTCTAACTTAGGAAAATATAACATTTTGAAGCAGTTTTTGCCTACGAAAAGTTTAGGTTATTTGAAAAACATTAAAAAGTTTACCAAATAATAAAAAATCATCACATTCTGTTCTGCTCCTATATTACTAGGTGACCATGTGCTTGTTTGTTGAAAAACAAAGTTTTAACAATTTTATTTATCAAGTGTCAGGGTTATCTATGCATCTAAGTTATCTCTTTAACCAGTACATAAAATTGCAAAATAATATTTTTTTCCGGAACATTTTATTCCTTTTACTAAATTTTCATAAGATATAGATTTATATACTTTAAATGCATTTAATGACATATTTGACATATTGACATTTTTCAATACAATAGTTTGATTCCTTTCAACTGAGATTGACTGTTATTATATGAACATTAACTTGAAGAAAAAACAATAATTCAGTATCTGAAAAATGTAAACTTAAGGAGAGGACTGCCATGAGCTATTGTAGCTCTTGGTCCTATTCCTTTTTGCTTAAATTGTAAATTATTAACATGTATATGTACCTTGAATAAGAATATGTTTAAACCAAAAATGTAAACTTTTTCCAGATTGTGCAAGCGATTTAGGTCCTTGTGTTTTTAACAAGTGGTTGTATAATGTCTTTTGTTTCATATGCCGTATTATGATGACTGACATTTATTAAATGTCAAAGTCATCATAATAAAAATAATTTAATGTTTGAAAAGAGATCAAGAGATAGACATGTCACTTGCTACATACCCTTAAAATGTTGTAAAATTTTAATTTTATTCCACAAATGTATTATGAAAGTATATATATATATTTTACTTACAGGGAGACAAGAGGCCATTAGAGCCAGAACCTATCAAACAAACTACATATGGTCCACAACAAATGTAAGTTTATTAAGTTTATAACCTCCGTTATGTTACAATTTATTTAAACCTTAGCCTTTTAGCCCCCAAATTATCCATGTGACCAGTGCAGGCCAAGATATGCCAGCACTCCATGCCATCTGTCTAATCGTGGTTTGTACTGTTCGCTATTCAGTAAGTATTTATTTTGGAATTTTTCCTTAAAAATGAAAAACAATCATGGTTTTAATGAAAAATTAAAAAATGGGCAAGTCTATTTAAGATATTTAGTACAGTAATTGTTAAGATTTTGTGTACAGCTACATTGCTTAAAAAAACAAATTTTAAAGGGAATTTAAATTATTTTGGTATTAAGAATATGTCATATTTATGTATTTCAGTGGACCAGCAGTTGCACCAACCAGTGGTCAGTCTGGTACAGAATCAGAAGATGACCTACCATATGAAACCAAGAGTTTTGACTATGGAAAATACATATTGGTATGTTATAATCATTGTTACCCCCCTTTGATAAACCATATGTAGGGGATTATACATGTATATTTATATTATAATATTGGTAATAAATAATTGTATATGTAACATGTGTACAATTCTTAAGTGCTCACAACTTGCTATTATCTGCCACTAAAAATACAGCTGTTGTAAATGCATTTATAGAAACTGAAACAGATTTTTCTGCAACCTTTTTCTGCTTGTTATCTGTATTCAAAATTACATACAGTTGTGTTTTTGTTTGTTTTGCTTAATTTAAATGATTTATTAGTAGCAACTTATTTGATATTTACAGTAAGTTATTTTCTCTGTATTATATAGATATGTAAATATCTGTTTTCACACAAAATAGCACTAGAAACAGAAATTATACAGCTGACCTCCTAAATTTGTTATTTAGAGGTCAAAAATACATATTCAAAACTAATAGTCCATTGATAAACTAAATTTAGCAGGATATGGTTTAAAGAACTATTTTTTTGTTTATTTTTTAGTTAGTCTGGCTTACTGTTAATTTTTTGCCACTTTACATATTCATTGTTTACAGTTAGATAGATTATAATTCTGTTACTTTAATTAACTCTTAGCCTGCTGGCAGTAACAAATTTGGCCCATGGATGCAGACAAAGGTCAGCTGGTACATTCATGCCATCTGATCTGTTATACGGACATCTGCCCCGAGGACATCTGCCCAAACTCTAAAAATGAATCACTATATACCCCCCTACCCTGTAAAGATGGACATTTGCCCCCAAGTTTGTTCATTTGCCAAATGTTTATTAGCAAAATGCTGTCTTGAGGTCATGTTTTGATTTATAAATGTATTTTTTACAACAATTATGTATTTATTGCTGCATTTTTATTGAAACATAAGCTTCAGACTGCCTTTGACATACATTTAGCAAATTTCCAAACTATGGGGCAAATTTACACTTCCACTGCAAGGGGGGGGGGGCATTCCAATGATGCATTTTTAGACAAGGGGGAAAATGTCCCTGATTCATCTGATCATGATCTGCACTGTTTGCTATTCAGTCAGTATATATTCTGAAAATTTTCCTAAAAATGAATAAAAAAAGTGTGCAGCTTGAAAAATGGTCAAGTCCATTTAACATATTCAGCAGGTTAAGGGTTAGGAAATACACTACAGCCTAATTATAACGCTCATGGTGGGGTCCAATGTCTCAACACCGTGTTCTACCGAGGCTTTCATTAGAACGCTCATTGCGAAATTACCGCATTACCCCACCCACCGCATATATATATAACGTTGACGATTTTTACTTACTGTTCAATGAATATCGACATTATCTTTTTCTTAATATAACGAGGCTACAGTGTATTGCTATATTTTGCACATAGAGACTTTAAGGGTTCGAATATTAAAGATGAGAAAAATGCGTCTTTTAACACTGTGTTTTTTTGTTGTATATGTTCATTATGTTATATAACCTACAATTTGTGTGCACTATAATTAAAGTAGCAGTATAGTGTTTTTTTATTTGTAGAACTACATTTGTATCTTTTGTTAGTCGCTTTAAGTGTTGTGAACTTTCTCTAATTTTCAGGTCACATTGAACAGTATAGGGGTAAAAAAACAATATTTATTCAGACAGACAGCTGCCTTTTATATTCACTGCTTCCCAAACGTGTTTTTTGTGAAACCAAGCTATTTAAATTGCGATATTTTTTCCTCGTTTTTTACACACATTTTAAAATCTTGAGGGATAAGAGTTTGAAAAAAGAGTCATGTTTTTCAGATTTTAGTCATAGAAATTCATATCTCTCTTTATTTCATGCACCATAAATTTGTTTTGTAAATTTTGCAAGAAATAAAAGCTAGTTTTTCATGATTTTTACTATCCATGCTATGTATTTGCAATTTTTTATGCCTGATTTTATACACACATAATTATTTGGTAAATGATTGGTAAAGACAAATCTCACTTAACTTAATTACCAGAAGATATTGTCTCCCTTGATTCCAACCTTATTCCTACCTACTAACAACTTTAAAATATTGGAAAATATTTAAGATTTTTGAAATAATAATATAATTATTACACGTTCTTGAATTAACGGTATTTCTAAGAATAATATACTATATAATGAGGATATTTAAGACATTATGTATTTGTTAAATTGGAAATAAAAAGCTAAATGTTGTTGATGTTTATATGCAGTCTAAAATTAAAAAATATTTACAAATTATTTCTGTTAGAACCTTCTTTGTACATATGGGAAAGCACAAAGTCTATTTGTCATATTTCTATGCTTTCGCCTGCTTGTCCTGCCATGCTAAAATTATAAAACACAATAAATACTGTCACTATGTTGTGCTCTCTTAACTTTGCCTTTTCCACTGCCACATGTAAAATTGCACAGGGTGTAAATCAGTTGTTTGTTTTTTATGAGAGTTAGTCATAAATTAAAACAAATTATCACAAAATGTAGACAGAATTGTCAAAGGAATAATGATATTTCTTTGAATGTTTTTGGGGTCATGAAAGCATATGATTATCAACGTACATTGTAAAAAAACATTACTGTTAATCTTTAAAGTTATGACTGACTCTATAAATGTTAAATGTCTGCATGTCACTTGCCTATGATAACTATTGTACATGTATGTATTTTACCAGTATCTATTGCAAAAAGTTCACCAAAATAGTTCAATATACTTGAGATAAATAACCATGTAAAGACTTCATACATGTGTACTGAAATATTTTGAAAACATACTTGTTTTTCCATACATATATTGTATTCTATTGATTGAATCTCTTTAATTCAGAATTTTATCATTGTTAACTTGTAGTTGACGAACTGAGATATTCCCCTTTTCTTTGATATCTATGAACGTATCAATATGTTATGAGAAAGTTTTAGCTGGCGTGTTTTCAAACTATTTCGAAGTACATATTTAATATTATCTTTGCATTCCAGCATTTAAGCAATGATGATTTGTTATATTTCAGAGTTTGTTTGCACGTAACTTCTACAACTTCAAGTACCTGGCTCTGTTACTGGCTTTCTTGATTAACTTCATGTTGCTCTTCTACAAGGTTAGTAATGTTTTAACAGTCACATGCCAAAAGCAGTGATTTTTTTCTTATTTAACTGGGAAGAGGCCTTAGCCTCTTGATTTTGGGAAAAATTATCGCTTATATTTCCGGGAAGAAAAACGCTGGTGTAAGTTCAGGTTTTTCGGAAAACTGCATGATTTCAAAGCAAATTTCAATTGGGAGGTGGCCTTTTATAGGCCTCAGTTACATAAGGTAAAAAAATCACTGCAAAAATTACAAGTTTCATTAAATTCTGTCCATCATGTTAAGGTAACTAGTTTCAATGCTTTGTAAGCTCTATATCAAAACATTATTTCTTCCAATCTTTCTACTGTCCAATGATTTTACTCGATAGGGAGAGAATCAGATTTGAAATTCAAGGGTCGTTGGTTTGATCCTTGGGTAAGGATAAACTTCTCTGTTACATTGATCTGAAACATTGAGTCTAACGGTCATTTGTCTCTCACTGTTGATTCAGAAACCATGTTAGTAGTTGATCACTTGTGGAGAAAGTTGTAATTACTGGTTAATTATCCAGGAAAGTTGGGTAAGTGGACTGGCCACTGAGATGTGACCAAAATGTGTTAAAATTGGCATAAAACCAAACAAACAAGTCTTTTAGGCAACCATATTGTCAGATATGTCATATTTTTATGACCCCGCCATGTAATGGCCGGGGCATATAGTGTTACCCTGTTCCGTCCTTCCGTCATTCCGTCCTTCCGTCCTTCCGTCATTCCGTCCTTCCGTCATTCCGTCATTCTGTCATTCCGTCATCATCAGTTTCCGTTCATTATCTTAGTAACGGTTGCACACATTCAACTCAAATTTGACATATGGATATGTCTTGAGAAAATACAGGTCAAGTTCGAATTTGGTCATGGTTCGATGATTTTTGGCAGAGTTATGCCCCTTTTACTTTAAAATAATATGAAATTTTCAGTTTCCGTTCATTATCTCCCCAATGGTACAACACATTCAACTCAAATTTGACATATGGATATGTCTTGAGAAAATACAGGTCAAGTTCGAATTTGGTCATGGTTCGATGATTTTTGGCAGAGTTATGCCCCTTTTACTTTAAAATAATATGAAATTTTCAGTTTCCGTTCATTATCTCCCCAATGGTACAACACATTCAACTCAAACTTGACATATGGATATGTCATGAGAAAATACAGGTCAAGTTTGAATTTGGTCATGGTTCGATGATTTTTGGCAGAGTTATGCCCCTTTTACTTTAAAATAATATGAAATTTTCAGTTTCCGTTCATTATCTCCCCAATGGTACAACACATTCAACTCAAACTTGACATATGGATATGTCATGAGAAAATACAGGTCAAGTTCGAATTTGGTCATGGTTCGATGATTTTTGGCAGAGTTATGCCCCTTTTACTTTGAAAATAATATGAAATTTTCAGTTTCCGTTCATTATCTCCCCAACGGTACAACACATTCAACTCAAATTTGACATATGGATATGTCGTGAGAAAATACAGGTCAAGTTCGAATTTGGTCATGGTTCAATGACTTTTTGGCAGAGTTATGCCCCTTTCACTTTGAAAATAATATGAAATTTTCAGTTTCTGTTTATATCTCCCCAACGGTACAACACATTCAACTCAAATTTCACATATGGATATATTTTTGGAATGCCCAGGCCAAGTTGGAATTTGGTCATGGTTCAATGATTTTTGGCAGAGTAATGCCCCTTTCACTTTGATAATAATATGAAATTTACAGTTTCTGTTCATTATCTACCCAACTACTCAAATTTGAGATATGGATATGTCAAAGGAATGCCCGTTCAAGTTTGAATTTGGTCATGGTTCGATGACTTTTTGGCAGAGTTATGTCCCTTTCACTTTGAAAATAATAAAGATACATCTTAGGAATAAGCAGTTTAAGTTTGAATTTGGTCGTGGTTCAATGATTTTGGACAAACTTATCTTTCTTGAATGTTGGAAAAATTTTGAACTTTCAGTTTCAGCACTGAAATGTATGTAGCCATTATTTTGGCTACAAATATGAAATATGCTATTTTCAAAAGGTTTAGACTGAATAATTTCAGTGCCTTGAACATTGTATGAAAATGGTTTGTGTTAACATTGAAAAGTTTTAAGGGCTTTGAACTTAAAATGAAAAAAATAATTTGTGCAAACAAATTTGGAACTAAATATTATAACATCTGAAATTTTGGCTGCATGCGGGGGCATCCGTGGCATGATGACACATTTCTAGTCATACTGTTTTTTCATAAAGAAGCTTTCTTTAAGTCATGAATAATTGCAAATTGACAGTAAGTATTAAGTACTGACAATATCTACTGCAGTAAAGATTGCTTAAGGTAATTGTTTACTCTCAAGACTTTGTCATCTTATTATAAATGATGATCGAATGTTTAATGCATTCAAGTTAAGTATATATTATTATTGATGTTTATAACTATCAGGTTTCGAGACTTACCGGAGAATTAATTGGAGATGACGGTGCACCTGATGTAGACACAGCAATGAACATGACCGAAACCGGTGGTGAAGAAGAAGAAGAGGACGTAGAAGAGCTTGTTTCGATGTCAGAATCCAGTTACTATCTTGAACACATACTTCGTTTTCTTGCCATCTGCCACTCTCTAGCCGGTTTCTCCATGTTGGTCGCATACTACTGTCTCAAAGTGCCGCTTGTTATCTTCAAACGTGAAAAAGAGATAGCACGTAAGCTCGAGTTTGACGGACTGTGGATTGCAGAACAACCAGGAGAAGATGATCTGAAATCACACTGGGATAAACTTGTGCTGAGTACATCATCCTTCCCTGATAGCTACTGGGACAAGTTTGTCAAGAAAAAGGTATCATCATGCTTTAATTGGCTATTTTTTATTTTTATTTGTTGTAAACATGTTTTGAGAACTTTTTTGGGGAAAAAAATTAATTTCAAGAAGATTGATACTTGAACTCAGAGGATGAACATTACATGCAAATATAAAAAATCATCTAGTTTTGCATTATGGTCCTTCCATTTGATGATTATGAAAATTAAGTTCAGTCTATTAAGCATAGGTATCAATGTTTAAAAGAGATATTTGTTGAGGCATTGGAACGAATATTTTCAGGTCCGAAATCGCTACGCGGAGCAATATGAATATGAAGCCATCAGTAACTTGCTGGGTATGGAGAAAAGTGACACTATCACAATAGACAAGGACGAGGGCAGTGGTGTAATTAAATAGTAAGTGTTCACATTGCAGTCAGAAATTTAGGAAATTGTCACATGTATTTAATCATAGAAATTGTGAAGTTGACTTTTAAAATTGAAACTTTTATAAGTTTTAATTAGGCTGAAAACAGGTTCCTTGTTAAATTTTACTTTGACTCTGTATACCCTGCTGAAGTCCATTGTCAGTTTAAGATATTTCAGGGTTAAGATGCAAAAATTGAGTAACCAAAAGTTTATTCAAACTAAACATATGTGCAAGCTAGTGTGACATCACATATATGCAAGCTTGTCTGCCTACATATACATAATTTATATGTGTAAGCTTGTTTGACTTTACACATATGTGACAGCTGGTCCAACTTTTCAATTTAACACGTATATGCAAGTTGCCTGCCTTTACACATAATTATGTGCAGGCTTGGCTGACTTTACAGATACATGTATGTGCAAACTTGTTTGGCATTTAACATGCAAGATGGTCTGAATTTACACGTATGTGTAAGCTTTGATGACTTTACACATATGTACAAGCTGACTAAAAATTGCTAGTATCGATAGGCAAGTAATTATTAGTACTTTATTGAAAAGGGTTATGTTTAAAATTGGAGCCATATAGATAAATTTGATATATCATTTATTAGATGTGTTTAACTCATCAATGTATTAATTTACATTTTCAGTTTAGCCTCAGTAGATTGGCAATACCAGATCTGGAAGTGGGGAGTTATCTTTACAGATAATGTAAGTTTTTAATATTCTAAATAATTCTTACATTTACATTACATTAGTTTCAAAATGAAGATAATTTAAAGATCAAGCCATTTACTAAGTAAGGTTAAGTTTTGACTGCTTTTGAATTATTTAGAACTAGAACTTTTAAGTATTAAATGACTATATTAATAGCTGATATTTCATTTTTTTTCCCGAAATACCTTAATGATGTTAACATCGAAAACTGCTTTATAGATGAAAGGTTGTAACTCATATATTTTTGACTTATATACTAAAATATACAACTTTTATTAACTTAAAACAGCTAGTACAACTAATGAATTGTTCTTACCTTTCAATACATTTTGTATACTTATACTAGTATTAATACTAGTATTAATGATTGTTTTCATATTTCAGTCATTCCTGTATATAGCATGGTACTTCACCTGGTCATGTCTGGGTAATCTGAATTACTTCTTCTTTGCTGCTCACTTACTGGACGTGGCTGTCAGTTTCAACACCCTGAGAACTATCTTACAATCTGTCACACATAATGGGAAACAGGTAGGTATCTAGTTCTTCTTGTAAATCTTTAAGATGGAACATTAAAACACGAAGTCCTTTATTGGTGTGTTCTGCACCTTACATGCAAAAGAACCAGTTGTTTCTCAAGGGCTGGAGCAATGTCTGTATCTGTTGCACAATTCTCTAAACAATGACATTATGTTAACAATCTTCTAGAGTGAGTCACCCATAAAGGTTTTCAACTATAAATAATCATATATCACTCACACACTCACACTTTATTATCTCTAAAAGTGTGAGTTATTTAATTGAACCATGATAAAGATTAATTGATAAATTATTTTTCGTTTTTTTAATTGAGAGTAAGAAAATCTTGTGTCTTCATAAATTACTAATGGAATCCAGGTTAAAGGTTCAATTAGATAGGTGAAATGTGGAAAAAGATATGGCCACCACAATGTCATATTGATTTAAATTTTTCCAAAACTGAAGAAAGGGGTGACAATTATTAACTACATTTAGAGATATTCTTGCTATATCTTATTTATCATATAAATAAACACAGATTTTCTTTTTAATTATCAAATAACCCAGGTAGTGTAAGATAAACTTTGAAAATAAAAGTCACTTGAAGCTTAACTCACCATTTCTTTTTATTAGTCCCCTACCGGTTTAACCGGAGGGGACTTTAGGTTTACCCTCCGTCCGTCTGTCCGTCTGTCTGTCCGTCCGTGTTCACGCTCTGATACTTATGTGGCTATAATTAAGCTTGTATGACATTAATGTGGCTAAAATCTTTTAAGTGGCTAACCCCATAAAAGATTTCTATAGACATCATTTTCTAACTTTAAGTGGCTTGATATCAACATTTTATTCTTCTAGCCACTCAAAAATTGGTATGTAAATTTCCATGCTATGGACGTCCAATATCAGTCCATAGCGTGGTATGTAGCATTAGCCTCCCTTAGATAATTTCGCCGATTTCGGTAATTTCGCGTCTTTCCGGTAATCATCGTGTATTTTTTTGGTGCGCATGCGCAGTAAAAAGCACATTTCTCGCCGAAATGGGAAGGAAACGTAAATTGGTGGACAAAAAGTAAGTTCACATAATGTGATGGATATCTATATTTTGTTTTACAATCACTTAATATTTTTGCTTCCAAAAGTACTTGAAATTGTGTAATGCAGTATAGATAGATACAGTCATAGTGAATTGTCACATATTTTCGCGTGGACGAATTTGCGCGGAAACATGCCTTCCATGTTTGCATTTTTTGTCCCACCATATTTCATATCGGACATCAAGCATGTACATAGATTTGATAACGGATTTCTTATTTGCTACGATAACTGGGGTGTTTTTACGTTAGTAAATCTGATGATGGAAGACTCTCATGATTTTTTTCAGATGTTTTGGGATCGTTGTCGGTAGGTGTTAAAATTATGGACAGCAGTAAAAATTTCATAAATATTTTAGAGACGAGAATATGTTTGAGATTTCAACATAATATTATTGACATGGACCTGCTGTAATTTTTTGATAATCTAGATTTAGAAAATATTTTTTCCAGCATGAATTTAGGTTATAAATTTACAGACATGGGATGTGAAATGTGCAGTTCTGAATCAAAATCATCAAAAAGGTTGGCCATTCATTGATGTTGCTGATAAAAGTATTCAGACAAATAAAAGAACTTTTGATCTCGAAAGGACCAAATATAATTTCAAACAGTCACAAAAAAAAATGAAATAAGTTAGAAAGTTGAGACCATCATCGGGAAAGCATTAAAAAAGCACAGAAAATACGTAGATCCCGCAGTTAGTTTCCCACAAGTTGCATACTTTTCTCAACTTTTTCAATGCCATTTTTCTCGACAATCTTCAATAGTAAACCTGTTATTTTGTTTGACTTTATAATAGATTAATGTTTAAAACTGTTGTGTTTTAAAATTGTTTCAATGACGAAAAATATAGATTTTAACCGTGTTAAAGTAAACTCGTGAAAACCTTCTCCAGGGAAATGGCCGCACACGTCAATTACCGTCAGTATGAAGTAATGGGTAGACCTGGTAAAATATATCTGCATGAAGTAATGCGTAGACACGGCAAAACATGTCTCTATGAAGTAAAAGGTTAATTGAACAGTATTATTTTTTAATGTGAAACAATGACATTTGACAAAAAATTCTTGGAAGGGTACTACAGGAAAAACCTTGAAATTAAATGTTTTCTTTTTTCAGCTCCTCCACAAATTTGGATAAAATACCAAAGGATGTTAGAATTACAGGTGAATCCTTTGTATGGGCAAAAGTAGGTGGTGTCCCCAAAGGTGTGCTGTGGCCAGTCATGATTAAAAAGAGGATATCAGTGTATCATTTTCATGTCTACATCAGAAGTGACAATGCCATGTAAGTTTAGTACAATTAATTTTTGCATTTATGTATAGATTCTACAGAATGTTTGAGAGGATTTTTTTTTTTTTGGTAAACCGTAATATCAAAACATTTCCTTCTGGTTGATCATAGATTAAAGTTAAAAGTGACCTGTGAGCAGTCATGTCCACATAGGTAAAAGTTTTCAGGTATTTTCCAAATTTGCAGGTAGCTCTTTCTACATAAAACTGAAGAAAATAATACTTTATTCAGGATTTTAGATATATAAGTATCTTTACCGAAAAAGACTGTTTGTTTTATAGTCTTTAGAATGATAAACGTTTAACTTAACATTAATATTTGAAGGTGGTATATAGAAAATCTTCAATTTTTCATGCTTTTAGTTAGTCATTTATTATTATATTATATAATTTTTTAACAAAAAGTACGCCAGAAAAAATTTATTTTTACCATTTGTCAACAGATGAGATAATCTTAATTTTTCAGATTGACAGTGGAATGTAAAGATGTAGTTCCTTTTCAGGATAACACTAGTGAAATTAAACAAGCTACCATTGGTACAATTTGTTTCAACAGTTGCTTTTGAAACTTTGTTTTTCTGTTGTTCCCATAGTTTTTGTTTTCTCGTTTTTTTTGACAGCCACACCATTTTATTTTTATTAAAAATACCTTCTCATGTCACCACAGGGCCTTTTGCAGATTTTTTGGGAAAGGGCCCCTGACTTAAATTGGGAAAAAAATTACATTTGAAGAAATTTTTGGAAAATTTGTGAAACAATAAAAAAGTAAAAAACACTACAATCATGACTTTTGTTCATGTGTTTGAAGCCTATCTAAAGCCAAAACTTCGATTTATTTTTCTTGCATCCTTTCTCATCACTTTTTCTTATTTTTTTTGTGAAGTATTTGCTGTTATGTGACTTTTTTAAAATCGTGAAATCCAATGATGTTATTGCAAAATAAGTGCACAGCGAAAAAGTCCCAGTGTGCCTGAACATTACAAAAGGTCACAATTATAGTGCGACACAATATAATATTTCTGCGGGATTTATTGATGAAATAATTGCTTTTATTACAACTTTTTATGGACACCAAGATTTTTTCTTAACAATTGGGGAAAAAGGAGGCTATTCTGTATTGGGAATGGGGCTGATTATTGGCCCCTGGTGATAGGTTGAAAATCCCCTGCACCAGATTGGAAAACTAAATTGCTTGTCTTGTTTACTGGAAAAAATCCTATTGAATACTACAAGGTGTTGGAAGTACAGATGACAGAAAAAGTTTTTGTATAATTTGCTTGCAAATTTCTTTTAATATGATGATAAAAAATAAGTTAGATTCATGCATTTTGAATGACATGTTTACCAATCTGAAATCTTAGTAATTTTTTGTATGAAACCTAAATAAAGGTGCAAAAAGAAAGAGTAAAAAGCTAGGTTGATGGAACGCAGCCCCAGTTAAATGCAGCCATATGGGACCACTCCCTTTGTTGGCATTTGTTCTGTTGTTGTGACAGGAGAAGGGTTTGGGAAAAGTTGGGGAAAGTCAAAATGCTGATCTGATGTTTTAAGTCTTGGCAACAGCTTTTTTTATTTCATTTTGTGATGTCTGTCATTTTGAAACAAAATATCTTGTTCTTATCCAGACATTAGCTTTAAAGTGGATGGATGTATCCCCTGTAAATATTTCTAATATTGATAAAACAACTGAAGTGTATAGTTTAGATATTCTTCTGAAGTATTTTGGTAAAAATAGTGTTAAATTACTTGATTAAGTCATTTATATGAAGTATGGAATATTCTGTTTTAGAACATTTTATTACCTGATACAAATGTATATGGTATCAAATGATTAATCTTGAAGATACGTGTACAAGTAAACTCATTTAGTTCTTTCTAGTTCGGTGTCACATTTGATGCTCAATACTATCAACAATAATATATTGTATTTCATACCTCCCATTATAGACCCATGCCTTCTAAGGGAAAATATTGCCAAATATACCAATATCTGTAGCTCAGCACCTTTACATGTAAGAGCAATAAAATGGTGTGGCCATCAGGACTTTGCTCAAAAGTTTATACAGTACAGACTTCGCTTTTATGATAATAAATTTTCCCAATATCTGTCCATCCCTGCGACTTGCTGTCTCCAAGACTTCACAGTCCTTGTGAGATATTGTCAAGCTGACCGACCAATAAATGTCTTCGAGATTTCCTGCTTGCCTTTCATTTAAATGGAAAAACTGAGCATAAAGCAAGCAGTACTGTATTTACAGTGTGAATGAAATCCCTTGCATGTTTGTAATGGAGCCAATGTAATTATACCTGGATAAGATAAAGTTGATTTGATTGGAAGTAGCTTATTTTTTTAGTTTTTATCAGACATCACTTTAAAATTAATTTTTCAAATGTGTTTAAGACTCACTCACTTCTTTAATTAGTTCAGACTTTTGAATAGTGAAATTGACAGGAAAAAACATTGGATGTATCGGGAAAGAGTATAAAAAGAATATTTCTGTCCAGGTATAACAACATTGGAATCAAATGCCTCATTGGCTGTCCCTCCCCAATCCACCAAGTGGGGCAGGATAATATTTTGACAGGAAGTCTAGTTATGCATGTAATGTTGTTCCAGCTTTTCTTTGGAGAAAGTTCTGTTTATAGTTCAAGATCATAATTCAAGCCAGTGTTTCTTCCAGCTCTGATTTTTTGAGGGTCACTTTTAACCCCTGTATTAAATTTTAGGGGTCATTTGAAATTCTGAAGGGTCATGCTATGGAAATAGAACAAAAATATAAAAAACAACAGATACTGCATGTCATTTTGTTACCGTCAAACTAAAGCCACAAATATTTTTAAGCCATTCTTGGCGAAACTCGCGTTCTGTTTTATATTACGCATTTTTCTTTAGTGTCAGTTTCAGCATAATAAGCTGCATTTTTTAAGTTTAATTTATCTGGTTTAGGATCTTGGTCAATGCTGTTTGATGTATTTTGAAGAAAGTTGTTAATCTCTGCTTTTTTCGGAGCTGAAGTTAATTTCTAGCAGACAGTTAAAAGGTTGCAAAATATGACAACAAAAATTAAACGATTTTGTCTAGGCACTTCATATCTGCAGTATCATACAAATGCGAGCGTTTATAAAGTAGTTGAAACAGGCTAAATGCCAGATTATGGACTCCTTTAATTTCATTTCGATTAAACAATGCGGTAAATATTCCATACATGTTTATACCAAAGACAGTTAGTAATCTGTATATCTCAAGTGGAAATCGGCTAAGGTGAAATTCTTTGGTCAAAAAATATGCACGGCTGTTGTTTCATTGCTAAAAATAGTGCGCCAAAAACGCTCTCTTGAAGAAACACTGTCTAGCCATACAGAGATTTGTTATTAATAACACTAATAATTGGCTTGGTAATTCCAAACTTCATTGTTTTTCAGATAATTATGTGTCTCAATATGCAGTGTATATTGGCCAAATATAAACTCATTGACAGGTCTTAGACACTAATTAAAAACATAGAGTCACACCCTTGTGGACATTATTCTAGCCACTTACCAATGGACATAAAAAAGTAGATAGAATCTTAATATGTGCTAGAATAATGACAAACACTTGTGGACAATTCTTAGTCACTCATCAATGGACACTTAGTCACTCTGCTGTGGACATAATTCTAGCCACTTACCAATGGACATACAGAATAAGATAGAATCTTAATATGAACTAGAATAATTACAAACACTTTACTTATGGACAGTTTTTAGTCACTCATCAATGGACACATAGGCACTCTCTTGTGGACATAATTCGAGCCACTTAACAGCCGGCATTGAGAAGGACTCTTCGATTGCAAACACTTTAATTGTGGACATTTCTTGGTCACTCAGCAATGGACACATAGTCACTCTCCTGTGGACATAATTCTAGCCACTTACCAATGGACATACAGAATTAGGTAGAATCTTAATTTGAACTAGAATAATTACAAACACTTTACTTATAGACAATTCTTAGTCACACATCAATGGACACATAGGCACTCTCTTGTGGACATAATTCGAGCCACTCAACAGCGTGCATAGCGTGGGACTTTTTGATTGCAAACACTTAAATTATGGACATTTCTTAGTCACTCATCAATGGACACATAGTCACTCTCCTGTGGACATAATTTTAGCCACTTACCAATGGACATACAGAATTAGGTAGAATCTTAATATGAACTAGAATAATTACAAACACTTTACTTATGGACAATTCTTAGTCACTCATCAATGGACACATAGGCACTCTCTTGTGGACATAATTTGAGCCACTTAACAGCTTGCATAGCGAGGGACTCTTTGATTGCAAACACTTTAATTATGGACATTTCTTAGTCACTCGATCAATGGACACATAGTCACTCTCCTGTGGACATAATTCTAGCCACTTACCAATGGACATACAGAATTTGGTAGAATCTTGATATGAACTAGAATAATTACAAACACTTAACTTATGGACAGTTCTTAGTCACTCATCAATGGACACATAGGCACTCTCTTATGGACATCATTATAGCCACTTAACACTGGACATATAGAATATGAATTTAATACACTTTACTTCAGCCACTTTATATGGATGGACATTGAATCTTTCTAGGCTCTTATCAATGGACATATAGAAGTAATCTTAATATGAATGATTACAAGTTCTTATGAACAGATCTTAGCCACACATCCATGGACACTGAAGACTGTAAAAATTAATGATCACAAACACTTAACTTCTAAACATTTATTTATTAATCACATTTTTAAAACATTAACATACATTATCTTTGCCACAGGTCAACGGACAATGGAGAAAGCACCATTATAGACAAAATTACAAATTAAGTTGCATTGTATTTAGGAAATGTATGTGTTCTTTTGTATATTTTGTAGAAAAACTGAAGAACAGACCCGCAACTTTAAAGTGTTTCGAAGAAGACTTTGAATGGGCTGCTAGAGAGGTTGAATTTGCATTTAATCGGAGTGATACCAGTGGCACTAGCCCACATTCTGCCAGTCAGTGTGACTCTGGTGGTGGTGACATAAAAGAAAATGTGGAAAACAATGCGTCAGGACCAGTAGAAGAGGCAAACACTCTGACAGAACCCTGCATCAATACTCAACCCACTGCCAGTCAATGTGACTCTAGTGGTGGTGACATAAAAGAAAATGTGGAAAACAATGCGTCAGGACCAGTAGAAGAGGCAAACACTCTGACAGAACCCTGCATCAATACCCAACCAACTGTCAGTCAATGTGACTTTGAGTTTGGTGACATAAAAGAAAGTGTGGACCTTAACATGACAAGCAAATACAGAGGAAAAAATCTTGAGGAGATAGACATATCAGGTACAATTGATTTCGGATGGAAAATAACAAAAAAAAGGCTGAACTTTACATGCAGATGTACTTGTTTCTTTATATGGTTAACCATCAACATGTTCATTTATTGTTCAATAATCAAATAGTTATAGAAATTTTCTTTTCTGCAAACTTTCCTCAGCCCTTGTCGGGTTTAAACTGATTCTTGTTTGATTGGCATATTCTCATGTTTGCTGCAAATATGCCAAATGTTTTACTAGTTTATAAATTGTAAAGCATTACCTGATGTAATCAGAACTAACATTTACTTATTACATGTTACACAAGCATAAACACATGTATTTCACATCTTATCCTGACATTTGCTGAAAATTAAACATAATAAAATAAAACAATATGGTTAACCATTTATATATCGGCAATATTATATGTAGGGAATGTTTTATATACATTTTGCCATCCAGATCACTGGATGATAAGTAATCAGTCACTTGCACAGAAATTTGTGAATAGCGCTTATTCATCTAGGATAGATGGTATTTAGACTGACCACCGAGATAAGACTAAAAATAATTTTTTTTACTTTCAGATTTGATTTTTCCCGACTCTGAGAATGTAGAAGAAGGTAATGAACATGAGCTTGAAGATGTTTTAGATGAAACAGATGTTACCACAAGGTATGTTATAGCATTTTGATAGAAGTAATTTGTATACAAGGCAGGATTCCAAATTATTGGTCTGTGGTCCAAGATCACTTGGGATTTGGTGCAAGGACCACTGCAGCTGGTATATCAGACTATTTGATTGATCTAGTTGATAGTAGATACGTGATTTTTGCAGAAAAATATAGTTCAAACATTGTCAATTAGCATTTCTAACAAATAAAAGGTTGTTTTGTCACATTTAGACATGTACTATTTAGTCCTAACTATCTTTTAATTAGCCGGATTTTTCGAAGAGTAAATCGGCTAATAGATTGACGATTGATGGGCAGGCAGGTGAAACTTTAAGCAGCACGCTACCAGATTTGCATGATTTTTGATGAACATTTAGAAAACGTTTTAAATCATTAGAATATTATCAGAAGTACAAATAAATAAAATAGGCCAGGGTATAGAGCTTTCTTTCCATGGAAACTACCTTTAAATTGTAATATTATGCTAATTTAGGCCTTACTGCGTTAGCCACACTGTAAAATTGTGGTGATATTATTATAGAAGAAAGATTAATTATGACTTCTACAAGTTACGTATTACATGTTTTGTCAAAAGAGATACGTTTGTAATATTTTGAACATATTTTTCTTCAATTTTTTTTTTCAAAATATTTTCACTCATCTGGTGGCGTGCCGCTTTAACATTGGCCATAACTTTTTTGTTTATCACCCGATTTTGTTCATACTTACACATAATGTTGCTTGGGACAAGAGCTTTCTGTTGACATAAAACAGTTTGACCTTGACCTTCAAATGACATTGAAATTGAAAAACCTTAAAAACTTTATCATTGGCCATAACTTTTTTATTTATTGACCGATTCTGTTCATACCATTACATAATGTTGCTTGGGCCAAGAGCTTTCTTTTCACATATAACAATTTGACCTTGACCTTCAAACGACTTTCACCACTAAACCACCTTAAAAACTTTAACATTGGCCATAACTTTTATTTTATGGACAAATTCTGTTCATACTTCCACACAGGGGTCTCATTTGACTCGGGAGTAGGGGTTTTGACTCTTGAAAATTGCAAAAACAAATAAATTGTCAATTTTAGGTGAAGTACTGCATCTTTTGAGGTAAATTTGGCAAACTTAGGGACATCTGCTTGAAATTGACTCATGAATCCAGAACATAGTGAAAGCCCTGCTTGCACATATTGCTGCATTGGTCAAGTGTTTCTGTTGATGTATAATCCTTTGACCTCGATCTTCAAATGACCTTGACCTTTAAAATTTAACATTGGCTATAACTTCTTTATTTATTTACCAATTCTGTTGATACTTGCACATAATGTTGCTAATAATAAGAGCTTAAAGAGTTTTGTCTTAAATGGAAACACAGGCAAATTTTCAGGAAAATAAATAGAAAATTGTAAACCCGAAAGTTTATAATAATGCAATGTGAAAAAGTGACTGCCTCTTCTAAAAAAACTGCTTTGTAATTACAATATTTATCATTTAATATCTGAACACCATAAAATTCAACATCTTACTTTTATAACCAAGTGAAAAATCCGGCTTTAATGTGGTTTCTGCATTGATCTCTTGTTGTATACTATTGTAAGTATTGTGATGTTGTTCCAGTCTGACTCGCTGTTGAACATTTTTTTTTTATGTTTTCTACTTGCATTTCTTTTCAGCAATATTGATGAAGTTGTGTTTCAAATGGCTGAATCGGATTCTGATGCTAGAGAGGATGAAGATGAGGATGAAGAGGTGGTAGAGGAAGTCAAACGTTCAAGGAAACAAAAACGCCAAGTCATAAGACAAAAATGGGATGAAATAGAAATGAAAGAAATTGAACAGTACTTTAGATCTTACCTTGATGCTAAAGTGTGCCCAAGGAAGAAAGCAGTGGAGCTAGCAAAAAAGCAGAGCAAAAACCGTAATGGAAAGATATGGAGAAGGACAAATGATAAAATAGTGAAAAAAATTAGTGCCCTCAATCACAAGAAGTAATGTATGACTGATTAAAGAAGTAAGACATTGTGACTTTTTTGCGTCATAAGTGTCTGACAGGAAACATTTTATTTGGATTTTTCTTTGAATAATATTTCTGGAAGGGTTTGTTTCAAGTATTTTTCTTTAAATTGTTGTACAGACTTTCAGGAAGAAAGAATTTTTCTTTAGTTGTAAAGTACATTTACAGAAAGTATTTGTTGAGAATTTCTTAAGTATAGACATTGTGACTTTTTTGCGTCAAAGGAAACATTTAATTAGGATTTTTCTTTGAATAATGATATTTTCTGGAAGGGTTTGTTTCAAGTATTTTTCTTCTTTTCTTTAGTTGTAACATACATTTACAGAAAGTATTTGTTGAGTATTTCCTCAAGTGGGCACATTCACGTACAGGTGTTTTTATTTTTGTACTTGTAACAAACATTATTGACAATTTTTGGTTTTTCCTTCAATAGTAACATACATTTACAAAGACTTGTTCATTACAAAAAGGTTCTCTTTAGTGAACCTTTCTTTGATTACAGAGATTTTTTCTTTGTCGAGTGTTATTTTTCTTCTGTTTACTAACAAACTCAGACAAACTCTTGGAGTTGAAATTAATTCGACATATTTGAATAGAGGTTCAAAAACTTACATGCTTAAAGGACTTGAGCAATTAGAAATTTATACTGACTGAGGCTACCTGCTTAATGATTGGTTCTTTGTTCCATGTATTTGTTTTTGAGTTAAGCTTCACACTGAAGAAAATTGCATAGGCTTGATGACTTATGAATTGAAAGTTGAAAGTGTTTTGGTTGTTTGTTTTTCTGACCACAGTTCACTGGAGCATAACATACAACATACATAGTATATTGTTTTTGGTGTGCTTCTGTGATCGCCCTCTGTATGTTGAAATTTGTAACAAATTATGTAGGGAAAACTGTAAACAGTCTTTTTGTCTGTAATTGCAAGTCCATATTATTTTATGTTTTGTATATAGCATCATACTTTATCAAAACTTGGGGTCACCAATTTAACATAGACTTACATGTATAAGGAAAATGTTTTGAAATGGCCTTGTTTAAAACGGTAAGCTCTAATGTTTTCATATTTAGCACAAGTATTACCCAAAAATTGTCATATTATTTAAAGAAAACAATAAAAGCAAAAAATATATGATAAGAACACCTCTGTCACACTGATTTTAGCTCAGAAATTACATAGGGAGGAACTTGTACCCGTTGTTTGTTATAGGAGTATGACCTTAAAATTTAGACCATGTACTCTATGCATTCAAGTTTAATGTTAAGTGAGATTTGTCCTAGTGCCTGCTTTTTATTTGTGATGTCATTTAGTTGGTAAGCGATATTTTGCTATTGTAGCCCTCTTTTGCATAGCTGCATGGCGCCAGTTCAGTGGCAGTTGTAGCATTTCTATGGAAATGGTCTCATATATTTTAAGTAAATTGTTCAATATTGGATTTAGATGCAATAATAATTTTTCTTTTTACCATGCAATCTAGTGTCAAAATCTAAGTCATGCATCAGTAAGTCAAGGGCCAAAGACCATTGAACTTGGTTTATCATGACACATGATTAATATTGATTTCGGGTTACTACAGCAAATGTTAAGGTCATAATGACCATTTATATTGTTTTAAAGAAACAACATGGAGAACTTTGCTTTGTAAGGTTTTTAGAAAGGTTTGTCATTTGTAAATGATGCATATTTTGTTGTTACTGAATTAAAATTTATTTAGTGGTTCATAGTGCATACTTTGATTTTGACCAATAAAATAATAAAATGTTCACTTGGTTATTGTTAACTTGCATTACTATTAAGCCTTTGGGATGGTTTATTATCCTTTGTAATGTCTAAAATTTACTTAAAACCACTGCTTTCTCCATTTGAGTTCAAAGCAATTTTGTTGCTATGGAGCTTAATAATGAAGAAATGATAAATGAAAGCTTTCTAGTTGCACAGTATAAACTCAAGATTTACTTGATTGTGACTGAATTACATTCTGATGATATTGTGAAGATCTGCTCATTTAACAAAAATTATCCCACAGCAAAGCTCCAGTTTCTTCAAAACAAATATGTGCCTAAATTTATGAAAGTTGCATCCAGCACTGAACAATATAGAGAATTGTTACTTTGAACTACAGTTCGTACACTCAAAATTTTGCAACTTTTATTTACAAACGATGAGTGTTGTTGACACTAAAAACTTGGATCAGTTGATGATCAAATGGTTAAGCTCATTGACCTGGTAGCCAAGTGGGCACAAGACCCTCTAGCTGAACTGACTTGGTACTTGGCAATGTTGGTGTGCTAGGACTAGGAAAATTTTGTTTATCTTGTATGTTACAGACTTACAAAAGTATGTTGCTTCAAACAAATATTATACCAGCAAAATACATGTATATGCGTTTTTAACCGTTTCATTGTTGTCTATGATAACCATAACACAGGTCAGGGTCTTTCTATTTGAAAGACCCTGCACAGGTATACAGACAAAAATTCAAGTTTTGTTTTCATAATTATGGCAGTTTCTTATCAACAAAAGGAAACAAATAGGACAAAATAGAAAATAAGAATTCTACCAAGTCTCTTTATTATTGGAGACTAACCACATAAAGGACATGAACCACATAGTTTATGGTGAAATAGACTCATAAATTAAAGATTTCAGTAGCCACTTATTTGTCAAAATGTGAGTACAACTTGAAGGAGCCACATATAATTTTAGCCACATAAGTGTTTACAGCCACTCAATTATTTAGCCACCCATTTACCCTCTCGTTGGTACGTCCGTCTGTCTGTCTGTCAGTCTGTCAGTCCGTCAGTCCGTCCGTCCACAAAACTGGATCCCGCGATAACGCAAAAAGTACTGAAAATATTTTTATGAAACTTGATATATGGATAGATGGCAGTATGGAGATTATGCACGTCTTTTTCTTTTCTTCCTATGTTGAAAATTCTGGTTGCTATGGCAACAAATAGACTGAAAATATGGCAAATTTTACACATGAACTGGATCCAGTGATAACACTAAAAGTACTGAAAATATGTTTATGAAACTTGACATATGGGTAAATGGCAGTATGGAAATTATGCACATCCTTTTCTTATCTTCCTATGTTGAAAATTCTGGTTGCTATGGCAACAAATAGACTGAATTTCAAGATTTCTGATTCTAGTTTTTAAGTTTTTTCACTATAAGTTCTTTATTTCTTAAGGTTTTTCTTCAAACTTTAAATATAAGTTTCTTGTCATCAACCACATCATATGTGACAAGGTTTAAACTCTAGCACAAAAATTTATCAGATTACCTCCCTTGAACTTAAAATTTTCATGAAAAAAACATGTTTTTTTTTTAATAACTTCTTTTTTCTGAATGTATCTACTTCAAACTTCATATAATGTTTCTTATTATCACTCAACATTTGTGAGTGTTCAATACTCTAGCAAGACTATTTCCAGAATTATGCCCCTTTTGAACTTAGACTCTTTTTTTGAGAAACTGGTATTTTCACTTCAACTTCTTCATTCCTTATAGGATTTACTTTAAAATCCCACATCGTAATAATATGACAAGGTTGTATAAACATAATTTCCTTACTAAGCATGGAAACTTAACACATTACTGTGATATAGACAAACTTATTTTATTATGTTTTGTGGTTGATATTTTCAAATACAGACTTCATCCTCAAATTCATTATAAATGGCAATACACAGGAGTGTATGACAATTAAAGAACTTTTTGAGGGACCGGTAGGGGACTACTGTATTGCCCGCAATACTATCAAATGCTTGTTGTTATTGATTTAATCAGGAATTCATCACTTTATTGTTGTTAAAGGATGTTAGTTAAACATAAACCTCACAATAAAATCTGATTCCAACATTAGGAAAAAACTACATTTTATAGATATGTTTGTTTACAGCTTGTATTGACAGTGATGTTGCTCAGTATTATTGTGTATATCTACACTGTGATAGCCTTCAATTTCTTCCGCAAGTTTTACGTGAAAGAGGAAGATGGTTCTGTAGACTACAAATGCCATGATATGTTAACTGTAAGTTACTTTGTCACATTTATGCCCCATCTACCTATGTTATTAAGTCATTTTTAACATATTTAGAACTCGATAAGAATGATTGGTATGTTATAAGTATCCGGCACTGTTGATTGGGTTAAACAACTCTATTCAAAACTTTAAATTTATCTACTCAGTATAGGTAGAGGGGTATCTGCTTCTCATACCAGGGATGATAGGTTAGAGGGGTATTGACCATGGTTACTTATATAACATCATAACTTGTTAATATCAGGATGAGGTGCAGCATGTATAGGGGGTACTGCAAACATAACATTCAGTTCAAAATACTTAAATTTTGATTTTTTTCTTTTTTTTGTGTGTATAAACACAACATTCAGTCCTCAATGCTTAGATTTTTTTTTTTCGTGTACACTTCTATGTTTGTGTATATTTACATTGTTCTTTGTACCATTAATATCTATATTCTTCCGCTAAATTTCTATGTTTGGTATATATTTCAGTGTTTTGTGTACCATTTACACACTGGTGTAAGAGCAGGAGGTGGTATAGGTGACGAGATCGAGCCTGCGGATGGCGACGCCTATGAGATTTACAGAATACTCTTTGATATTAGTTTCTTCTTCTTCGTTATAGTTATACTGCTGGCTATCATTCAGGGTATGTCACCTACGGTCTTTTATGATGATACACAATAAAATCATACCAATATCAATCAAAACTATCTGAGGGATAAAATCTCACCAATATCATAATATCTGAAGTATTATTAACCTTTTTGGGCATATGTATAAAAGCATCCATATTGATATTAAATGAAATTTAAATGACAAAGCAGTGAAAAGCACATGACATAAAAAACAAACAATGTGTGTACTAAAAATAGGTATTACTAAAACTGTCAACAGCATGCAAGAGTTGCCCTTAATTTGTTACTATATTATAAGAAATTATGTATAATTGATTATTTCCCTATTCAATAGGATTTCTAATCTTTATTTGTATAAACACTACTTGAGTGAATATTTTTTGTTGAACTATTTAAGGTTTGATCATTGATGCATTTGGTGAGTTGAGAGATCAATTAGAACAGGTGAAAGAGGACATGGAGGTATGGAAATGTTATGTTACACAATATGATTAACTTATATTACCAGGAATATTTCACTATACAAGCATGGTGTACATACATGTAGTTTAATTTCAACAACATCAGAAATTTCTGATAATCTTAAGATTTTGAAGAGTAAGGAATTAGGTGATTTGAAAACATAGTTAATCAAATAAAGGTGAACAACATAATGTATAATAATTTATGATTAGGTATGATATAAAGGTGGGCTCAATTTGTATTTTTAAAAACAAAATGATTTAGAGGAAGATATGTATGTTCAATATTGGTAAGATTTAGTAATCGTTGCTGATATAAGTAACAACCTTTAGATTTTTGTGTTTAGATTGACTTAACTCTTTTTAATATCTGTCATGTTTTTTAAAGAATTACAAACTTATTTGCTATTATTTCAGTCAAAATGTTTCATCTGTTCTTTTTAATATCTTTCATGTTTTTTAAATGAGTATGTGGTTTAAAGAATTACAAACTTATTTTGCTATTTATTTCAGTCAAAATGTTTCATCTGTGGTATAGGCAAAGAATATTTTGATAAAGTGCCGCATGGGTTTGAGACCCATACTACGAATGAGCACAACTTTGCCAACTATATGTAAGTGAAAACATTTTTACTATAATTTCTGTCTCATTTCCTACATTTTAGCCATAAAGGTTTAACATTTTACTTTGCTTCAATAAAACAACTTTTTTCCTCATCAGTTTTTAGATGCTTGTGTCATGTATCTATTAATTAACCTCTGCAAAGTCAGAATGATTTAGAATAAATTTATGAATTTCGTCATTACATTCAATGTTACTAAGAGTCGTAAATTTTTGTACTTTTTTATAGGATAAAAAGATCAAAAACCAACACAGTTTATCAACACTTATTGATTTTTACATGTATGGTACTTTTATTACAAATATTCTGTGTTTTAACAGGTTCTTCCTTATGCATCTAATTAATAAACCGGACACGGAGTACACTGGTCAAGAGACGTACGTCTGGGAACTTTATCAACAAAGATGCTGGGACTTCTTCCCGGTCGGAGACTGCTTCCGTAAACAGTATGAAGATGAAATAGGCGGAGCACAAAAATCCTGAGATTTCCACAAATAATGACTTTACATACAAAATTACTGCTTTATAAAGCAATCGGATTATATTATGAGATTATATTTTACATCAGCAACATTTTGAGTTGTCGGAGTTTGATTGTAGAAATCAAAAGAAGTGGTGATAACTTTTGAACAGAGTGAAAAGGCGAGATATTGTGATATGATGGAAATAGTACGTTTTGAAATAGTGCTACTGTTTAATTGAAAAATGATGACTTTTTTACATTAAGAGATAATTGTAATAAAAATAGTGGGAAAAAACAAGAAGGCTGTGTAATGAAGCTAGTCAACCAGAACAACTGAATTATTACATTTATAAGTAAAGGATGAATGGTGGCTTTTATGAAAAATTTTGAATGAATTTTGCTTATAAAATTGTGAAGATTCTGGTGGGATCAGCCACTTTAATTTGTTGCAAGTTGGTTGACTATGCACAATATTGCCGCGACTTCCTTCAAATAGCAATAGAGAATTAAATCTACCTATATAACAGTGTAACATATTGTTTAAATTATTCAATTTATTATTTTAAAATCTCATCAAAGATACAATCTTGATTCATATTTATATTAATAAAAAAATTGTTGCTTTTTCGAAACGTTTGTACCTCTTTTTTTCTCATGTTTTCCATGCTTTATAAGATTTTTTTCATTATAATATTTGGTCATGTGCAATAGATAATCAGAAATTTCTTTTATAACCTTTCTAGTATTCCGTAGTTGTTTGATAGTGTTTCTGAGAAAATATTTGTTAAAGGTGATTATTTTATTTGTTTTAAACCCTATTTATTATTTACATATTTATCATAGTTGAAAAGTAGCATACTTAACTTATTCCAGTATTACATTATTTGGATGTAGATGTATTTATTATTTTTGTTTGTAGATTTCTTTTTTATTTTTGAACATTTTAAGAACAAAAAAAATCATTTTGTTAGAATTCATTTATGTGTTTTCATCAGTTTTAGAAAATGATTCTGAAGAGATGTAGTCTTGGAAACTGGTGCTACAGTAAGATATATTTATTGAAAAGTTCATGTTTTTTAACCTTAAGGAAATCATGTTGTTGGTTTATTTTGGTTCAAGTACTTTTGAATTTTATTTTTTTGGCTTGCCTCCAGTGCAATATTTACAGACACACCATCTGTTAATTTTTAGGGTAGAGAAATTTGTTGTAGTTTTTACTGTGGATTGTAACTCCATTCTTAACGAAACATTTTACACACCTTGTTATTTCGGAATGTTTTTAGAAGTTAAAAACTTCATGTTTTTAATAAAACCACCATAACATTATTTGTTGATTGTTTAATTTATACTTCCCATTCCCTTTAAAAAAATGAGGGGAAAATTATAATATTATCAGGTCACTGATTTCTGATTTAAAGAAAACCTATGGACCCCCAATAATGGGACTCTTCATGGGGATTTTAGTGGGGCAAAAAAACCCCAGAGTTTTAGAGAATAAAGATGAATTGCCTTAAAGCTGTTATTGAAAATGAGTATTGTCAAACTAAATTGATAAAAACTGCTACCTATAGATGCTGGTAAGTATGAGAAGAGGTCTAAAATTGTAGACATATTTCCTGGGTTTTTAGTAAGTTAAAGACTGTCCTTATGATGGCCGTTGACTACTGGCTTCAGTTTGTTAACCCATTACTTCATATACACGCCTTTTTCACCCCCCCCCCCTTTTTGTTGTCTCAAATGATGAAAAAATGCCTTATTTAGGCCCCAAATACTTGTTTTTGTTTGAGAAATGTTTTTTAAAAAAGTGACCTCTTTTTCGGCGCGGCCCCCCAATCAAAAGATACATCAGGGGGTTGCCAGAAGGGGGATGTGCCCCCTTCTGTTTTGGGGGTTTGAAGGGGGCGGCAGTCCCCCTCATCGCCAAGAAAATTTTGGACTTGTGAGAGGCTGTAAATGACCCCAGATTGATCATAAGGTAACGTGTAACCAACGCTGAAAAGCATTTGACTCTATCTCAATCCATTGAGAAGTTGCAGCACTTTGAAATCAATTTTGATGGAAAAAATCAACGCAAAATAGTGATTTTTGGCAATTTTGAGATGTCCCCTCGTTGCCATGGTAACAGAAAATTTAAGCCTGAGCATGTTGTTGCAAAGGCAATGGTCCAGTCAACATTTGTGCCAAGTTTGATTAGTGTTGAAGCAGTTTTTTTAGTATTATAGCAATTTGAACTTGTAACGGGAGACTTTTCAATGAAAACAGCCATTTTTCAAAAAATGCTCATGAAGTAATGGGTTAACTGGTAAAAATGAAAGCTCACTATTTTCTTCAAACATAAATAACACTTCCAAAGAACAAATGATTTTGCAATGGTAATGACCCTCAATCTTTTCCAAAGAAGCCTTCCATAGTAGTCAAATTAAAATTTATAAATAAGTGTCTTTTAAAATTGTTTGTAAATAAGGTATAGATGTGTTAAATTTGGACCCAGATACCCGGACTGTAATAACATGCAGGTACCCTCTTGTAGTATCCAAAGACAAAGGAGACAATGTATTACTCCCTTCATGTCACAAAAATATTAAAAGAAATTCATAGCCCTCTATCATTGTTTCTTTACTACTATTTTAAATAGTTTATGATAACATAACAGTTTAGTATCTAAATTCATATCAGTCTGAAATAATGCGAGTAAAATCATGACCGTTCTTTCATAATAGAACATGGTCATGGCATTAGCAAACCAAACACATAAACACCTTGCAGATCGTGAGACATCAGTAAACATGAATCTGGCATGACATCTGCAGCATTTACATGTTGATCCTTGTATTTAATATGCTGTCATATTTATAAACTCGACAACTTTCAATTATAAATGCTATCTAACTGAGTGTCCATTTTTAATGCTGTCAATGCAGACAAGATCCTCGGCCTATAAACTGAATCTATACCATGTCAAGAAAAGCCAAGTCAACATTGTTTTATTATTTATATATTTCGTTTTTTTTTATTCGTGGTGGGGTAGTGTTATATAATATGGCAACTTTCCAGCTTTACTGGTTGAGGAAGACCTTCGATGCCCTTCTGTGCATTATTTCAGACACGAAGGGGAACCTGAGTAGAACTAACAATGTTATGTAAGCTAGCTGGACAGCTTCCTAACCTGAAAGAATCCAAAGTCCTTATTGGGATTCAAGCCCACAGTGGTGAGGGTCAAGTAGTTTGAAGTCACTCAGCCACTGACATCTCTGAATTTAACAATTGGTTGTATGGAATAATAGTAGTATGTTTGATTTGTTTTTTTGTATTATCAGGTAGATGGGTATTGGGGTCTAAATTAAGACCTGTGTACTTGTGCATGCACAAACTTTCAACATTTAATTACATAAACAAAAACAACAAAACACGAGTAAATTTTGACAATTTATTCTCATTAACATAATATTAGTTTAATAATAATTCCTTTAACATGTTCCCCCAATAGTCAGCAAGTGTTTATCTATAATTAGCATAAAAGAATTCTAAAATGAACATCTGCCAACATAAATTGCACACACATAAAAGAAAATGAGCCGAGTCACGACAAAACCAACATAATGGGTTGGCGACCAGCATGGATCCAGACCAGCCTGCACATCCGCGCAGTCGGATCTGGATCCATGCTGTTCGCTATCAGTTTCACTACTTGTTATAGGGTTTGTAAGCGAACAGCATGGATCCTGATCAGACTGTGCGGATGCGCAGGCTGGTCTGGATCCATGCTGGTCGCAAACGCATTATGTTGGTTTTGTCGTGACGCAGCTCAAATATACAACATTATGATCTTCAACATAAAACACAACTGAAATGACTTGCACAATAAACTACAGAAAACAAATTTAAACAACACAAATTGTGTGTGGAAAAATATATTAATGTTTACATGTATTTCTATTTTATAAATAGAAATTATTTAAGCACATAATTTATAATTATATTAAGACCTTAACTTATTTACTTTAATTACACAGAACATTTAATACAGTAGTGATAAAGAATATGTGAGTTGAACTTCACTTTCAATATGCTAATTTTGAACACTAATGACCTACATGTATTACTAGAAGCCATTTTACAATGCCTCTATGTTATTTGTCAATAAAACTGAGAAAACATTTATATAAACAGTTTATACTGATGTCTTATTGTATGATATTCATTTAACTTTTACCCCACTAAATATTTTAAATGAACTTGTCCATTTTTCAATAGGGACAAAAAGATTTATCATTTTTATATAGGGAGAATGACAAGATATGTTGTGCTGTTTGATTATGGTTTGCACTTAACAGGCAAGGCATGCAGAATAAGGATAAAAGTATTGTATTATGCATTTTGAAAGCTATTCTGTGATAAAATGTAACAGAAGCAAAATTATCTTACATTAGCTACACCTGTAATCTACAAGCTACATGTCATGTTTTTATCATAAGGTTATCTTCAGAAATATAGAAGATATAGGTCTATATATGCATTGTTTGATAATCAATGTGGAATAAAAATTCTGTGTGCAATGTTATCAAAATCACGAAATGTTGAATACTTGATCCTTGATTTATCAGACATACATGTAGTTCCAAAATACATTTGATTATTTAACAAAATATGCATTGATATTAATACAAATGTTTCAACCTTGAAATCTTACTTCATAATTAACCATAGTAGAATTGTTATAAACTAAGTCATCTTATACTTTTACAGTAAAATATATTCATGTTTGTTGTCAGAGAAATATCAATACTAATCAAGTGTTGGGCACAAAACTGCAGTAGCTTATATATGAAATGAAGAAGGACTTGCACTAGTTTTGCGGTTAACCCTTGAACTGTTGTTATTCTATAAATTACCTAAAAACAAGCTGTTACATCATCTATAAACACATGACTTGAGCAACAAAATAACAACAAAAACTGAACAAAATCTTGTTTTACAACGGCCTTACACAACAATGCTGTTGTTTTTCAAATTGTTATAATGTACCGCTCGTACTGCTTTTCATCACAGTTGATATTTTCACACATGATTTCCCACAGAGTTTATTTAAAGCACATATACGAGGGGTGTCCAAGAATTACGTGGACTTTTGCTATAACTTTTTTATTTTTTAATGCATTTTTTAGCAAATTTGTACACAATACCTTTAACATATCCTTAATGAATATGTCCATTATTTTTACATTTCTAACATTGCTTCTCTATATTTTACGTCGCTATAGTAACGCAGTATGCGCAGGGCGGGGCAGTCCAATATTTTGTATTAATAAGTTGTCTTTACTTTCGTATATCTTGCGTATTTATATGTAAAAAATGGCGCGACGTCGTAAGCTTATGCAGTGACGTCATATGAACGTTCGTTTGAAATTTTGACGTCATAGCTGTTTCCGTTATTGTTTACCAGCGGACAACTGACAATCGTTGCTCTTGGATATTTAACAAAAAATGACGTCCACAGATTACGCGGAACATCGGACTATCATCAAGTTTTGTGTTAATCTTTGGAAGACGCCAACACAGACGCAGGAAATGTTGGAGACTGCAAAAGTGAGACCTCCTGTTTGTCGATCACTCGTTTTCAAGTGGCATAAGCTTTTTCGAGACGGCTGGGAGGACATTGAAGACGACAAGGTCGTGAGAGAAAGTCAACGTTGACTGCGGCGTCAATTAAAGAAGTCAAGGACGTCATAGATGATAGTGCGCATGATAGGTTATTTCCCTTGTTAACCCATTGTCTTTGCGTACAAATTAAACTCCACAATAATAATAATAATAATAATAAAAAGAATAATAATAATAATAATAATAATAAAAATAATAATGATAAATAATAATAATAACAAGGGTGCCATAGTCACAAAATACGCCCGTTTACGAAAGCTTTAGATGGAGATGGGGGCATTATGGATAAGTGTTATCTAGCAAGCAAGTTTTTATTCTTGGCACTGTGTTGTTAAATGAACCTTAAAACAAATCAGTAGGGAAGATATGCACAGGATGTGTGACCTTGACCTTGGTCGCAGGGACGTGAATTTTATGCACGGCACTCAGCCTCACAATGATGAACATTTGTGCCAAATTATATTGAAATCCCTCTATGCATGTAGAAGTTTTGCTCCAGACAAGCGTTTTTCTATGAGCTCTAACTGTGACCTTCACCTTTGACCTAGAGACTTGGTTCATGTGCAGGGCACTACGTCTCATGGTGGTGAACACATCTATAAAGTAACATTAAAATTCCTCCATGCATGTAGAAAATATGCTCCGGACAACATCTGGATATTTAATCATCTCCAGTGACCTTGACCTTGCAAATATTAACTCTAAATTAAATGTGTCACACCTGTAGTCATGATAGTTACCATTTGTGCTACAATCCATCAATAAATGATGACTAAATGGTCCCTATACACATCTTCAAATTTTTATCTGAACTTTGACCTCTATGTGTAACCTTGACTTTGGTCACAGGGATCTGAATTTTGCGTGCGACACTCAGCCTCACAATGGTGAACATTTGTGCCAAGTTATATTGAAATCCCCCTATGAATGTAGAAGTTTTGCTCCGGACAAGCGTTTTTCAATGAGCTCTAAGTGTGACCTTGACCTTTGACCTGGAGACCTGGATCATGCATGGAGCAATACATATCATGGTGGTGAACATTTCCATAAAGTATTATAAAAATTCTTCCATACATGTAGGAGATATGCTCCAGACAAAATCTGGATATTTCACCATCTTTAGTGACCTTGACCTTGCATATATTGACCTAAAGTACATGTGTCACAGCCGTAGTCATGATAATGACCATTTGTGTTACAATCCCTCAATAAATGATGATTAAATCGTCCCTATACACATCTTCATATTTTTATCTAAACTTTGACCTCTATGTGTGACCTTGACCTTGGCTGCAGGGACCTGAATTTTGTGCGCGACACTCCGCCTAACAATGGTGAACATTTGTGCCAAGTTATATTGAAATCCCTCTATGCATGTGGAAGTTTTGCTCCGGACAAGCGTTTTTCAATGAGCTCTAAGTGTGACCTTGACCTTTGACCTAGAGACCTGGTTCATGTGCGCGACACTGCTCCTCATAGTGGTGAACATTTCTATGAAGTTTCATTAAAATCCCTCCATACATGTAGGAGATATGCTCCGGACAAAATTGGACGCCGAACGCCCGCCCACCCGCCTGCCCGCCCGCCAGGGGCGTTACAATTATACGTCCCGTTTTTCAAACAGGCGTATAATAATAATACGGCGTCAGCATTATCACCGTCGTCTTTAACACTATTATCGTAACAAAGTTAATAGTATGCTTTATTATTATTATTATTATTACTATTATTATTATTATTATTATTATTTGCGGATTAATTATATGTACAATATCGCTTACTTAAGGGACGGAAGTTCGATTCCTTCAAGGAACTCTCGTTCGCAACGCAGAAAGTGGTGGCTGATTTAGACCAGGAGTGGTACAGGGCGGTGTACGACCAGTGGATATATCGACACCATAGGTGTACTGAGTTAGGCGGCGACTATGTTGAGAAAAACTGACATTCGACGCCACGCATTTATTAACAACTAGCGACGCCACTGGAATGACGTCGTAACGTCGGAATGGACTGCCCGCACCCGCTACCCCTTGTCTCATTACACTGCCCACAGACACTGATCCAGTTGTCTTACAACTTTGAAATTTTTTGTACTAATGCAATAAAGTTGCATTTTGTTCATGTTAATTTTGTTTGTTTTTATTTTCAGTAGTTTTTGAGTTACAGCAAAAGTCCACGTAATTCTGGGACACCCCTCGTAAATGATAATGGAATGAAGCATGATATAAATATAATATTTATATGTTTAACTTGATATGGTGTTAACACATTACTCTTTGAAATATAGACAGAACTTATAGACACAAATTACAGTTTACATATTGTAAATTTCCAGATATAAGAAAACAACACATGACATAAAATTGTAGAATGAAACATTACTGTACAGTTTACTTTGTATTTACAGAATGTGTTGAATAAGAATTTAGTTTAAGAGTTGAACACTATTTTCTGTTGTTTTTTTTTTTTGTTATAGGAAGTGCATAATTATAAAAAAGATTAAAAATGACTGTGAAAAAGAAAAATCTAGTTTGGTAAAAAGAATAAACTTTAATGTATGATAAAACTACACTTTCTACAAGTTCTAATGGTGTACCATTATGCCTAAATTGTTCTACATATTACTGACCTCCATAAAGTAATTATCTTTTAAACAAAGCTTGGAAATTATGTTTATTTTTAGGTAACAAAGTATTTAAGTTACATCATGTCCATAAAATATCCCCCCAAGCCTTATTTACCTATATCCCAGCAATGGAGTTTGATATCTTTAAACATGAAGCACATGTTTTATGCAGTATGCATGTGTTCATTATTTCTATGTGAACGCCTCTCACGAGTGATTCCGACTATGAGCAAGTACATCAGAAGCTTACACGTATATATTATAATATAATTATACATAAATGTAACAAATATATATAATAATTATTTATACATGTATATATTAACTTCTCTGAGAACATTGAAATTTGTGAACATTTTATCACTTTAATTCATTCCACAATCATAATGTCTGCATGCCACTTTAGTGTGTGCATAAATTGCAGCTACATATTAATTCAGTAATTTTCCATTTCCATTCTTTGGAGATTCTTGCAGGAATTCTCCTGCCATGTACCATAATATGAACAAACTTTTACCAGGTCCAACAAAAAAATATATTAACTTCACATTTCTTTCAAGATATTTATCCATCTTTAACATTTTCTGGAATTTTCATATCTGCATTTCCATTATGATCAATAAATTGGTCATCATTTTCAGATTCATGCACTCTAATATTTGGATTAAACATGGGGTCTAAGAAAGGATCGTCGTCAGCGGCGTGTGCTCCGAGTTTAGAAAATATCACAATCATTGTCAGAAACCCTATAATGCCTATCATCAACACTATTAAAAACTTTTTGCGTACTGTCATTGGATCTTTCTTTAGCCCTCTTTTTGAAGTTGTGTCTCGTGATCTAATAAAAATGGAAAACAATTCGACTGTTAAATGCGATAAGTAAAGCATAAGTAAAAGTTACAGAAAATATACTAAGTAATGAAACCTTGATCATTTATAAAAACTATAAACCAGATCAATTGTTCATTCTGATTTAGGATTCCATTTTTATACTTAATGTTCAATTGACTATTTAATTTCAAAACTAAGAACTTTTTAAAAACTTATTTCATATTACAAATGTACTGGAAAAAGAGTTGTTGAATCACATGCAAATTTGAAGAGCTAATCAGAAACTATGAAATTTTGCTTGGAAACTAAATGTTATTGAAAGATTTAAACATGTGGCTTCATCATTTAACTTTTTTATTATCCTTTTTTTTCGGTTTGGTATTAAGTTGCACCAACACAGTATAGGTCATATGATGACTTTGCATCGTAACACCTCTGTTGCCCTTCCGTACATTATTTCAGGCATTAATGGGCACCTGAGTAGAACCACTGACGTTCAGTAAGCTAGCTGGATAGCTTTCTCACATAAAAGAATTCTAAGTCCTTGGAGTGATTCAAACTCAAAGCGGTGAGGGGCAAGTGGTGTAAAGTCAATGACCTTAACCACTCAGACACGAACACCCTTTTGTATTATTCAGCTTTACTATTTGTAAAATATATTTTCTTTAAATAAAATAACATTACTCACAAAGTATTAAAGATAGAATACACACATCATCTCTCTGTATATTATAATATACTAACAAAACCTTCATACCTTAACCATCTATTTAACCAGTCCATGGCTGGTCTCCTTCTATATTTATCATCATCATGGTCAGGTGCCATGTTGAATATATCTTCTTTTGTTGTATCAAAAAGCTTCCTTGGATCTGCTATATAAAATACATATTGTAACAATTATATTTACACAAACACATCAGTAACTTAATTTAAGTGGACAGGTTTACCTTCCTACAACTTTAAGTTATAAAATTCTTCAATCTAAAAATATCATTGAAAGGTAATGTTATGTTTGTACAGTGGCTCAAACATATATTAATTCACAAATATTACTGACATTATTTATAAATATAATAAAGTTATGTAAAACTATTAACCCATTAAATAATGTTAAATAATCAGCACAACATGTGTGTGAAGCTTCAACCCATTCCCTTGAGTAGTTTAGGAGATACCAACATGCACACAAAAACTTAACCTAAGTTTGACAGTGACTGTGACTTGAGTACAATAGCTCTCCTCATTCTTTGAATATAATAAAGCTAGAAATCTGGAGAAGCTAACTGTATAAAGTGTGACCAGAGATCACAAAAATTTAATTGTCCTCTCTTTTAGTAGTCTTTAACCCTGAGTCTGCTGGCAGCAACTGCTTTACCCATGCAACTCGTGCAGACCAAGATAAGATGTCTGTGCCATCTGATCATGTTCTGCACTGTTCGCTATTCCGTTAGCAGTTATTTTGTATTTAATTTGTAAATTTCTATAAAAATGATGAATGGTATTGTCCAGATCGGAAAAAGGACAAGTCCATTTAAGATATTTAGCATGGTAAGTGTGAATGATATAGGCTTATTCATTACTAGTTAAACTGCTAGTGAGAGATATATACATGTATAAGAACTTGAACAGATATTTACCATGCATGCCCTGCATTTTGTCCTGCCCTCTAACACTGGTCCCTGAATCAACACTGATCACACTATGTGACTGTGGTCCAGTTGGTGGTCTAGTTGGTGTGGTGCTAGTGTACGGGCTAACCTGGGCACTAGGCCTGGTAGTGTTGGGTGCTGGACTGGCTCCCAGTGTGCTAAGATTGGTCAATGCTGCACTGGCCGGCACCATTGACTCCTGGATAGGGGCAGCATTACCATTAGGAGTAGGTGTGACGGGTTTAGGTTGAGGCTGTGCTGGTAAAAGCTCTGGTTCATCAATCTGTAATTTACATAAGATTATTAAGATAATAAATATTCCTTAAATTCTTTCAGCTGGAAAATCAATGTACACATGCAAGTTCCAACAAGTTTTTAAAGCTACCCAATTATCAATAATTTACAATTTTACTTAAAATCCCATTTTAAGATCATCGGTACCTTAAGCTGTAATAATAATGAAAACATAACTTTTAAAACATCAAATTTCATTTCCCATGGACTAGAATACTCAAAATACATCGTGAATAATTTATATCTTAACATACCAGAGGTAAACCTAGTCCAGCTCTTGCCCAGTTTACTTTAGACAGCATCTGTCTGAGCATATCAGCTACTGGAGATGCCATGTTACTGGGCGGGAATATCCCTGACTTACAAGTTGGACATGTGTAGCCTGCAGGAGCTGTATTAGCTGGTAACTGTGCAGCATACTGATTCAAACAGGCAAAATGAAATACATCTGAAAAACAAAACAAACAAATTTCATATTAAATTTCTAATTTTTTTTCAGTTACTTTCTCTTTTCAAATGTTTGACTTTTCATTGATCATAATTGTTTCTCTATTTTTACATTGACGTTCAGAGGTTACACAACCATTAGCCATACCTGACTTTGTCTAGTTTTACTCTGAATTAAACACATTTATGGTCATATCACAGCAGTTAGTCCACTTGACATATTTTTCCTAGAGTATTAACCAGTAATGACCAATATCTCCGTAGATGACAGACTGCACAGCTGATTTTGAGCCATTGCTTTTTCAAGCTTAATGTCAAAATAATTGTTTAAAATGGCTACTAAACAAAGAAATGATACTATACCATAACATGTGAGCCTAACACAGTCACCATTTGCATCATCTGAGAGACTTCTAGAACACAGTGTACAATCAGGACTGTAGTCACTATCCTGTAGCCATTGTAAATATGACTGTACTATACACTGAAAGGTCAAAGGTTATAGACAGTAGAAATTAGTTTTATTTCATCTCTAAAGAGGTCTTGAAGCGTTATATACACTGGATATATACATACATGTATGACATTACAGCTTCCTCTCCATGTCATACAGCTCCGTGCTTACACTCACATTGTCCCTTTCAAGGGTATAAAGCTATATCTAATGAAGCATTTTTATAAACATTAAAAACAATATTATAAATTATTTTATTAAATAACAAGAGCCATGTCAACATGGCCATCCCCCGCCGAATGTGTTTGCTCATTGGAAGAATGTATATGTAGTAGAGCAGAATAATTCCATTTTAAGAGGTCTTTTGGTAATGAAAACTGATGGCTATAGTGATTACAGATTTGAAACCTATGTGAATACTGATGGCTGAAAATAACAAAGGGCAATAACTGAAAAATAATGCAGGGTAGGTTATCATTCTTGTGTGCTAAAATCTATCCACCTATGAAGTTTCAAGTTGATACCTCAAATACTTTTTGAGAAAAAAATTGGATTGAAAAATTAAGTATGAAAATTAACAAAGGGCAATAACTCAAAAATTATAAAAGGTAGAGTTATCATTCTTGTGCAGTGCACACCTCCTGAGTGAGATCTATGCACCTATGAAGTTTCATTTTGATATCTCAAAGGCTTTTTGAGTTATGCTCTAGACAAAAATTAATTTTGAAAAATAACAAAGGGCAATAACTCAAAAATAATGCAGGGTAGAGTTATCATTCTTAAGCACTGCACTCCTCCTCAATGAGATCCATCCACCTTTGAAGTTTCAAGTTGATACCTCAAATACTTTTTGAGATAAGCGCTGGACAAAATAGCATGAAAAAAAACAAAGGGCAATAACTCAAAAATTGTATAGGGAAGAGTTATCATTCTTGCGCACAACATTCCTCCTCAATAAGATCTATCCACCTATGACATTTCATGTTGATATCTCAAACACTTTTTGAGTTATGCTCCACTCAGTTGAAAAATTAGGTATGAAAAATAACAAAGGGCAATAACTCAAAAATTATGAAAGGTAAAGTTATCATTCTTGTGCACTGCACACCTCCTGAGTGAGATCTATGCACCTATGAAGTTTCATGTTAATATCTCATAGGCTTTTGGAGTTATGCTCTGGACAAAAATCAATTTTGAAAAATAACAAAGGGCAATAACTCAAAAATCATGCAAGGTAGAGTTATCATTCTTGTGCACTGCACTCCTCCTCAATGAGGTCTATCCACCTATGAAGTTTCAAGTTGATAACTCAAATACTTTCAGAGATATGCTCCGGACAAAAGTGTCGGACGGAAGGACGGACGGACGGAAGGACGGAAGGTCGGACGGACGGAGACTATTTCTATATCCTCCGCCGAAAATTTTCGGCGGGGGATAATAATTATTAGTAAATATGATGTTTCTATAATATTATACATCTTTTTATTTATTATTGAAAAAAGAAATGCAGAATGACTAGAGTATACAGTTTGTATTACACAATGTGATTCATACATGTATATGTCTAGAACTTTTGGCTAGTACAGGCTCATACTGCTAGTCAAAAAAGTACATGTACATGGTTTGTCACATGTTAAAAATCTAATGTTATTGTCATTTGTATCAATAAATGTAATGAGCAATGCATGATAAATGCATCAAGTTTGAAAGAATTACAAATGTAATATGAAAAGTAGGTAAAACCTATAAATGGAATAGTTAGATAAAAAATTAAATTATAAATCAAACAGCATTATTCTGTTAATTTTAATTTTAGTTTTACATTTTATTTTATTGGTGTCATTCAGTATTAAGTATTTCCATGCACTGTTTCCATTTTTAAACCAAACAACTCAACTAATTTTCCATAGCCAAAAAGTTGTGATTGTTCTGTAACAATGATCTTTCGGAACAGCTGGCTGGATTATCATTGAGTTACATTCAGAGTGGCCCTACAGAGTAGACAGAGATGACTGACAAGGACGGGTACCAGTACTAGGTTAAGTGAGCCAATAGCTGAAGTGACGGCTAAGGCAAGATTGTCATGGTTACCTCCTTTTCATATTGTCTCAGGTAACTGTACATTAAGGTTCTTAATTGCTGCTGTTATGTGCAGTACTTCTGGTTTATAATTCATATATCTTTGGCTAATACTACATAGTACAGGGATTTTTTTCCAGGATTTTGGGAGCACGACCCATACCCACGGAATTGGGAATTTCAGCGGTGTTTTGTTAAAAATTGGGAAAAAATGCATCACTGAAATTTTTCAGTGATTAAATGGCTGCAAACAATTACTGTCTATGATGGCATCTTCAAACATTTAAGCAGAAGCCCTTTTTTGCAAAGATTTTAGAATTTTTATTCAATATTTTTATTTTGTAACTTTCAATTGGGAATTTTTTCCTGTGGATTGGGAAAATAATATACTATTTTCAATTGGGAATATGACCCAATAACGGCTATAAAATAAGCCAAAAAAAATCCCTGTAGTACATGGAAATTGCATGAATGATGCCATCATGATGGAGGTAAATTATCTCCATTTTGTGCTTCAAAATGAACCCTTCAACTAAAAAATTTAAGGGCCATCATTTTTACACAATTTCATGACATATCACCCTTTTTTTACTTTCACTAAATGAACAGGCCCAGGCGGCTGGCCCCTTTTCAATTTTGACAAAAAATGCCCTGCATATAGCCAACCGATAACTGATTGAAATTAATTTGAAACAAGAGCCCGGTTTGAGCCGGGTGATGCTCCCCGAATAGGTTTTGGGCACAGGAAAGTACACCTCTTGTAGTTTCAGAGTTATGTCCCTGGAAAAAGGTCAAAGTGCAATAATTCCAAAGTTAGGCAAGGCAGAGTAACTGTTCTTTGCACTGCACTTCTAATCAATGCGATCTATCAACCTACAAAGTTGCTTGTTGATATCTCTTATGGTTTCCAAGTTATGTTCCGGACAACTTCAAAATAAAAAAATGAACAAAGGGCAATTACCACAAAATTTGGCAAGGCAAAGTTCAAGCTCTTGTGCACTGCACATCCAGGGCCTTTTCACTAATTTTGGGGAAGGCGCCCTAGCCCTTTTTGTGGGGAAAAAACGCGCGTTTTTCATATTTTTGGGGAAAAAAATTATATTTTCCACTGGCAGTTAAACCACTATTACTATAAATAAAGACTTATTTAAATCATACATTTGGGGGAAATATCATAATATATTTGCATATTTTCCTCCAAACACACTTTATTTCGGGAGCTTTCTGTCTAACATAAGTTAAAGGGATTTTTTTAGAGATCAATTTATTGCCACTTTTTATTTTCCCAGAATACATTGACTCATATTTCCTAATTATAGAAAGTTTACGTGAGGACATGTGAGGGTTCTTGATTTGATTCAGAGGCAGTGATTTTTCTCACTTAATTGGGAAGAGGCCTTAGCCTCTTGATTTTGGGAAAAATTGTCGCTAACATTGCTGATTTGGGAAGTAAAAAGCTGGTTTAAGTTCAGATTTTTGGGAAAACTGCATGATTTTAAAGAAAATTTCAATTGGGAAGAGGCCTTTTTTCGGAGTCTGTTATACAAGTAGGAAATTCACTGAGAGGGAACATTATTATCAGATTATCAGTTCCCACCATATCACTATTACTGGCACTGTTGTGCTAGACTCGCTATTTCCCACAATTGGGCATGTTGTGCTACCCGGACACACAAACTTGCGAGTGGATACATGTATTGGATTCTCTTGCACTTACAGGAAGGTCAACAATTTGTCCAATTTTTCATAAACAATTACAAATGTCACTCAATCGTATTTTCTTCTTGTTCTGTGACATTGTTTACATTTGCGACATCGTAAATCAGTCGCCGTATTGTCGTAAAAAAATCACGTGTGCACTAAAAAATAAAGCAGCGGGGTTTTCCAATGTTGCAAACTCAGACCGAGGCAGTGAGTTTACAATCGAGGTATCCCTTTAGCGGGTAATTGAATAATTAGCTTTCATTGGACGAAAACAATGATCTATTTTTAAACAAGAAAGTTTGTTTACAAGTTATTTTCTTCGATGAAAGGGAAAATCTTCGCAAGAAGGGGAATTTTAGACTGTTTTTTGGGGAAAAAAGGTAGTAAGTTGGCTTGGGGAAGTAGCCGAATACCGGCTACAACAAAGAAGGGTAAAAAGGCCCTGACATCTACCCATTGAGATCCATCTACCTACAAAGTTTCATGTTGATATCTCTTGTAGTAATAGAGTTATTTCCCGGACAAGATTTTTTAAAAGGGGAGATAATTAAAAATTGGGCAAAACAGAGTTAGTTTTTTTTTTGTACTGCACTTTTACTCAATGAGATCAATCTACCAACAAAGTTTCATGATGATATATCTTACAATTTTAGTAATTTCCCAGACAAAGTTCAAAAAGTAAAAATAAACAAAGGGCAATAACTCCAAAATTAGGCAAGGCACAGTTATGATTCTTGTGCACTGCACATCTACCCATTGAGATATATCTACCTACAAAGTTTCATGTTGATATCTCTAATAGTTTTACAGCTATGTCCTGGACAAGATTTTTCTAAAAGAGGAGATAATTCAAAAATGAGGCTAAACAGAGTTACGGTTCTTTTGCACTGCACTTCTACTCAATGAGATCTATTTACCTACAATGTTTCATCTTGATATCTCTTATAGTTTTAGAGTTATGTTCCGGACAAAGTTCAAAGTGTTAAAATTAACAAAGGGCAATAACTCCAAAATTAGGAAAAAAAGAGTTATTGTTCTTATGCACTGCACATCTACCAATTGAGATCCATTCACCTACAAAGTTTCATGTTGATATCTCTTATAGTTTTAGAGTTATGTCCCGGACAAGATTTTTCTATAAGGGGAGATAATTCGAAAAAACGCGCAAAATAGAGTTATGGTTCTTTGACACTGCACTCCCACTCAATGCCCTCTACCACTGTATGAAGTTTAAACAAATTATCTCCAAAGGTTTTCAAGTTATGCTCCGGACAAGACAATGACGGACAGACGGACAAGGCGCCGACTATATGCTCCCCCGAAATTTTTCGGGGAGCATAAAAACACAAATTTATAAAACTAAAATATTAAATCCTATCTTTTTATGGAAATTTTTTAAGACATTTTTAAATCCGTTTTAAAAACTTCATAAAATGTCCACTAATATAATACAGGGGAGTCAAAGCCTGGGACCGCGGCTTTAATTTGGCTTGCCCAACTATAGACAACACATGTATATTTAAAAGGAAATCAAATTTAAGGAAAAAAAAAAAATCATATCAATGTCATTTTATATTGGGCTATGTAACTAAATGATAAACTGCGAGTATTCCAATAATGCATCAATAGCATCTTTTCGATTTGCTACTATTAATAATAGCTGACATGTTCTGATTGAAAACAAGTGTAGTCTGATTCCCTGTCCTATTTCAGTTCCCTTCCAAGATGAAGTGCTCTTGAGACAAGTGTACACAGAAGCATAATCTGGTTACCTGTCCTATTATGGTTTCCATCCAAAATGGCTTTACTTTTTAGAAGTGTGCAGGGGATAAGTCAGGGACATGTCGTCTTGTGTATAAAATACCGCCTGACACTTTTAAACGGAAAAAATAAAATAAATAATGAACAAATTTTTATTTGACTTTCCCGTTCTTAGGCTTTGCCTACTTTCATATCAACTTAAATTATCTAAGAAACCGGTGCATGAAAATAATTTTATACCCCACCCACTTGTCCATACAGTACAACATTTACCTTGTTGTGATTTGCCACTAAACAATGCTCGCAGACGTTCACCCTGTGTTCAAAACAAAAGAGGTTGGTAACCTTCTTCTTCGGGCACTTGCACAAACCCATAACTGTAAAGAACTTCTGCGACAATCTTTATTTACATTTTTTTCCGAGTTGACAACTCACCGGAAGTGCATTTACGGAAATGATAAGTCAATCGGAATATTCGGATATTTACGTGGGACAATGTCTTGTGGCAATTACTAACTCGTTTTAATCAAATTGGAAACCTGTTTTTCAAACAATTATTTGTGTACCACAATTTTTGCAGGGAGTTTCTTTAAAGACACTCCATTTAATAAACCCAATGTCATGATTTGTAGATGTAGGTAAGAAGACTTTACAAAGTCAGCATCAGTGGGCATCCAGTTACATACATGTGTATGTATTCATCATCAGTATTTTTATTACAATGTACAGGTATATATACATTGACGTACCTATGGTGGCTGATTTGGACCTTGTCATATTTTCTCTGCACTGGGTGCTAGTCCAACTAATTGTACTGCGCGACAAGATATTGTGCTATTTTTGTGTGTGGGCAATATCTCGCCTTTAAAAGCGAGATTCTGCCCCAGAACGAAAATACCTCAGAATCAAGCTTTGGCATATTGAAAATATATTTTGACTTCACAGGGTGCCAGATGAAAAGTCAACATTTTGTCGCTCCGCAGTGCGCAAGGGGATAACATAATACGACAAAGGGGTGACTGCGGTACATTCGTGTATCATGTTTTCGCTTTGTGCCCAACAGCGCAATAGTATGACAAAATTTGACTTTATGGAATTTTCGTGTTTTCGACTTTGTGCCCCGCAGAGGAAAATGGCACAAATAAGACACCATAGTGATACTACCTACAATATGGACTCAAACACAAGTTTTTTAATTGTTTAAATTTGCTCTACATATACTGATCATGATAATCCATCAAACATGATGAAATGCAACCATACCATCAGTTTACTAATTACTATACAAAAATAGGAAATAAGTGCAGGGCTCTTGTTAGTATTTTGAGACTGGGCCAGGAATTTTGGGGGGAATTTTGCATGATTTTCAAAAAAATTTCATTCAAGGGGAAATTTCAACAGAAGAAAATAAATTCATTAAAAACAAGATTCAGTTAACAAATTTATCAACAATTGGCTGAAATATTTTGGTTATTTCCAATGAAATTGAATACATCTTTGATAGTTTGTATAAAAAATGATCTTAAAAATGCGATCCCTGAACTATGGCCGTTAAATATCATTTTCAAGGGGGATTTTAGCGGTTTTAGGGGAAAAGGCACACTATTTTAATGGGGGAATAGGGTTCATATTCGGCCCCAAAATTTACCAAACGAGAGCCCTAAAGTGGGAAGTTAGCAATTACAGAACAATTATATTCCTTACCAATGCATCCCCTCTAAATTAATGGAACATATCAGTCTCAAACCTGTCTGATGACCTAACTGTTACTTGGCTGTTAAATTTGTTTGTAAATTGTTAGATACATGCATGTTAGTTTGTATGTATTATTGATCCTCAATTATATTGGAACAGTTGAATAAAAGAAAGATTATACTTTATTACAGGTGATGGGAGAATAGAGTGTGTAACTTAGAAGATGAAATTTCGACAGAGAATAGCCTGGCTGATGGTGGTTGCTTACCTAGGAGGAACGTTTTCATTCTTCTACTACATGTTTGAAATCAACGAGCATTATAACCAGTATGCTGTTGATCATGTACAAAAATATCATTCCACAAACAATGATAATTCAGAATCTCGAACACTATTTTCAGCAATATGGGGTCACGTGACAGACATACCATTGCCAATTTGGCTGCTAGTGTTTCTTCTACCCTATCTACAAATATTTATGATGATTCTAGCATGTACACGTGTTGAACCCAAACATAGTTTTGCATATCTGTGGCCAGGGTTAGTGTATTTGAAATATCAAAGACTTTTTGGGAAAGAAAAGCATTCTGTCATTCCATCCATTCCAGTTACACATATGACGTTAAAGGGAACATCAAATGGACATACGATCATACATACCTGATGATGACTACACAACTTTTATTTATTTCAACCTTAATAACAGAACAGATCTGCAGCCATGATAACGATTGCAACACTGCTCGCTTACTCCACAAGGAAAGGAATTTTAATAACCCTTCACCCGGTCACATGACTAACTGAAATACCGAAACACTACTGAAATACCCCCTGAATACCCGGTAATAGATATGTATAAGAAAGCCGAAATACCCATTAATGATAGATTAAGGAAGCCGTAATACTCCCGATATTTCTATGGAGCCGGAATACCGCAAGTTTGATCCAAAATAACATCTAATTAAAAAAAAAGACTGGAGAACACAATCTCTCCCAGACATTGTACAACCTAGAAAAAAAGGACAGTTCAAACATCTAAGAAGTGCTTTATTACAAACTGGGGAATTTTGACTGGCAAAATCTCACAGACGATTTGAAAAGACGAAAACTGTTATAATTTGCAATTTAAAATCGCAGATACAGTTGACAATCTGCAAGTGATTTGTCTTTGTTAATAGATTTTAAAAAAAAAACGGCAAATTATTAGTACTATACAAAACACGGGGACAATTAGGCTAATACGAGAATTATGACACAAAGTATTTAATTGAGTGATTTTTGATTTATTCATCTCATTACTATCAGCTATTTAGGATTTCTTTTATCTGTTATCGGGTATTCCGGGGGTATTTCGGTAGTGTATCGGTATTGCAGTTATTCGCGTGACCCCTCTTCACCTACTGAATTTACAAAATAAACTTATCCATCTTCCATTTTTGGAATTGACTATTATCAATTTTGGGGATGTCAACATGAAAATTTAAAGTTTGTCAGCCAATAGTATAGAGACTGATCAGACTGCACGGATGTACATACTGACCTGGCTCTATACTAGTGGCAAAGACTAATCACTTTGGTACAAGCAGAGCAATGGTTATAAACCACTGTAAACATCAGCTGTTAGACTGGTAGCTCATACATACAACCTGGTTTTTTTACACTAAAATGTTTTATTATTGTCAGTCTATAATGTTAAATTATGGAAACTGCTTAAGCCTTTGAACAAATTTAAAATTGGTGCACAGTTTTTTTTTATAGCAATACACACGCTGCATTATTTATGTCTGTAATTTGAAATTAATTGAAAATTGTAGTTATAAATGCATAATTTATTAAGTGATGTAATATTTATGTTGTATAACATATAGAACATCAGTTATATAAATATTTTTTGAGTTTTTTTTATGTTAAGAATTTTTTCTTTTCTTCAGAAAACCTTCTACTGTTGTTTAGATTTATAGTGTCACTAAAGAGTGATTAGAAAAAAATGTAGACAATGTATAATTAGGTAACTGTGATAAGATGATAGCTTAATACTTATTATTAGTATTTATTATTGTAACAGTATTTATTGAAAACATGTTTTACTGTCCTAGGATGATAATTCGGTCTTAACGGTACATGGGAAAGTCCAAAAAACGGGGTTATCTGGATTATTATCCGATATCGTAAAAGTAGACACTTACATATACATACAATATAGCAATATTCTTACAGACTCGTTTGTGTATTACCGTTATGGCTCTGCCGGTAGATCGGAGTAATTGTAAATTTTAGTGTTTTTACTCATAGGTTCGAACCCAACTTAGTGCCATTTTATAACCACTGTTTTTTCTCCTTACATTATTTTTTATCATTTTATTTAACCATTTTTCGTTTTCCTTTTTGTTTTCTTCTTATAATACATTGTATATATTGTATCGTATATATTTATTTTTTATTTTCATTCTATTTTCTTTTTGTATCTTTTGATCGCAGTGTAATAAAATATTCGATCTCATATTCATGTATGTATATGAAAAACCCGGTCAAACTTGTTTTCTGAACAAGTGACTGTTTAAGGTAAAAAAAACAATGTCTTACCAGTAGTCGAACTACTGCCTGTATGGGTAAAACACATTACTGACATGGTTGCTTTACCTACTGCGCTAACAAGACATATGATAACATGCAGTTTTATTTTCATTTTTATAGGATGTGGCATTGATCTGCCTAACCTATTTTTTCGCATTGTTATTGGTCTTTGTTATGTAAACAAAGGCTCAAGTTATCATCCTACGACAGTAGTTGTAAGGGTATTTTTCTCAGTTTAATATTTCTTTCTTTGTTATTGATTTATGAATTCCTTTCTTATAAGACCATTACTGGAGTTAAAATGATTCTACCAATTGTAAATTGACTGTTAGAAGATACTTTTAGGTTTTCTATGAAATTATATATCCTCTAAGTTATTACAAGGTAATAATTATAGGTCTCTATACATATACATGTATGTAACAATTGAGAAATGATTTGCAGTAGATTTTTTCACCCGCTGTTTTTATTATCAAGCACCATACAGTGTGTCTGATAGTAGACATGTTAGTGAAGTCGTAATTTTAGTACAGGAGATGTGAGGGTTGTTACTGGTTGTATTTATCTTCTACCAAGATAAGAGTTACAGAAGATTTATTTGAAATCCATTTATAGAATTTATTCTCATGTACATTGTAATTTACCTGTTTGAAATGCCATTATATAATTTGCATATTGTGTTAGTGAAAAAAATGCACAAGCATTATTGCTCATGTACATATTTTTATGCTCCCCGAAAAATTTCGGGGGAGCATATAGTCGCCGCCTTGTCCGTCCGTCTTTCCGTCCGTCCGTCCCCTTTTCTTGTCCGGGACATAACTCTAAAAGTATAAGAAGTATCAACATGAAACTTTGTAGGTAGATAGATCCCATTGAGTAGGTGTGCAGTGCACAAGAACCGTAACTCTGCCTTGCCTAATTTTTGAATTATTCCCCTTTGTTTATTTTTACACTTTGAAGTTTGTCCGGGACATAACTCTAAAAGTATAAGAGGTATCAACATGAAACTTTGTAGGTAGATAGATCTCATTGAGTAGGTGTGCAGTGCACAAGAACCGTAACTCTGCCTTGCCTAATTTTTGAATTATTCCCCTTTGTTTATTTTTACACTTTGAACTTTGTCCGGGACATAACTCTAAAAGTATAAGAGGTATCAACATGAAACTTTGTAGGTAGATAGATCTCATTGAGTAGGTGTGCAGTGCACAAGAACCGTAACTCTGCCTTGCCTAATTTTTGAATTATTCCCCTTTGTTTATTTTTACACTTTGAACTTTGTCCGGGACATAACTCTAAAAGTATAAGAGGTATCAACATGAAACTTTGTAGGTAGATAGATCTCATTGAGTAGGTGTGCAGTGCACAAGAACCTAACTGCCTTGCCTAATTTTTGAATTATTCCCCTTTGTTTATTTTTACACTTTGAAGTTTGTCCGGGACATAACTCTAAAAGTATAAAAGGTATCAACATGAAACTTTGTAGGTAGATAGATCTCATTGAGTAGGTGTGCAGTGCACAAGAACCGTAACTCTGCCTTGCCTAATTTTTGAATAATCCCCCTTTTTTTATTTTACACTTTGAAGTTTGTCTGGGACATAACTCTAAAAGTATAAGAGGTATCAACATGAAACTTTGTAGGTAGATAGAGCTCATTGAGTAGGTGTGCAGTGCACATGAACCATAACTCTGCCTTGCCTAATTTTTGAATTATCCCCCTTTGTTTATTTTACACTTTGAAATTTGTCCGGGACATAACTTTGAAACAACAAGAGGTATCAACATGAAACTTTGTAGGTAGATAGATCTCATTGAGTAGGTGTGCAGTGCACAAGAACCGTAACTCTGCCTTGCCTAATTTTTGAATTATCCCCCTTTGTTTATTTTACACTTTGAACTTTGTCCAGGACATAACTCTTAAACTATAATAGGTATCAACATGAAACTTTGTAGGTAGATAGATCTCATTGAGTAGGTGTGCAGTGAACAAGAACCTTAACTCTGCCTTGCCTAATTTTTGAATTATCCCCCTTTGTTTATTTTTACACTTTGAACTTTTTCTGGGACCTAGCTCTAAATGTATATGAGATATCAACATGAAACTTTGTAGGTAGATAGATCTCATTGAGTAAGTTTGCAGTGCACAAGAACTGTCACACTGTCTTGCCTACTTTTGGAGTTATTGTCCTTTGTTCATTTTGACACTTTGAACTTTGTCCGGGACATTACTCTAAAATTATAAGAGATATCAACATGAAACTTTGTAGATAGATAGGTCTCATTGGGTGGAAGTGCAGTGCTTAAGAATCATTACTCTGCCTTGCCTTATTTTGAAGTAATTGCCCTTTGTTTATTTTTACTTTTTGACTTTTGTCCTTGACATAACTTTAAAACTATTAGAGATATCAACATGAAACTTTGTAGGTAGCTAGATATAATTGGATAGAACTGCAATGCTTAAAGAACCTAAACAAAGCCTGGTCTAATTTTGGAGTTATTGCCCTTTGTTCATTTTTACACTTTGAATTTTACCCGGGACATAACTCTGATATCATCAGGAAACTTTATAGATAGATAGATCTCATTGAATAGAAGTGCAGTGCAAAAAAACATAACTCCGCTTTGCCTAATTTTGGAGTTTTTTGCCCTTTGTTCATTTTTTTTTATACTTTCCTGTGTCCAGAACCTTCTCGGGGAGCATCACCCGGTTCAACCGGTTCTTGTTGTGTAATGTATTGATTTCATTTATTTGTTTCATTAGTGTTCATGAAATATGTTACATGTCAAATACATGTTTTTACTTGAGATCTGGATCATTTATGAAGTCATTGTCTGTTCATCATGTATTATGTATTACATTTGGCAGGTTAATATTGATTTTACTTATACACTGTACAACACATTTGGGTTGATTACTTTAGTTTCTTTTAGAGTTGAAGTTGGATATTAATGTCATAGGTTTACAGTTTCACATTTTTTATTTTCTATTATTTTCTTCTTTTTTATCTTAAGTGTGGTATCAAGCTATTATTTGATAGTAAGCATTTTAATATAAAATTCATGAACATTGTAACATAAAGTTTATGAATATTTAACATAAAGTTTATGAATATTTAACATAAAGTTCATGATTTGTTAAGCACCAGTAGTAAGGTTCAGGGAAAAAAATGTTTAAGTCGTATGTGATAGTCATATGGTTTAAATGTAAATATTTATTTTTCCTTTAGTTTGGTGGTGAGTCACAAAATTGATGCTATAAACCAACAAAAAAAAATATCCCTTGTTGTATAACAAAATATGGCAGATGTGAAGTTGACATTTAAGACTATTCCTGTCTAAGAAATAATATATCTACACAGTTTAATTACCTTCATAAAAATAAAAAAAATACCGCATGCAAAGATCTTATTACTATTATGTAATAAGAGGTTAATACACGGCAGGAGAGGGCCGGAAGGTGATAATCGGCCCGCAAAATGAATAATGGACCCGAGGGCCATTATTCATTCAGGGCCGATTATCACCTCCCGGCCCTACTCTGACGTGTATTAATGTCTTTAATACACTTGGTAGATCTAATAGTAGCATTTTTTTAAAAATACAACAACAAAGTTCTTTCGTTGAAATTCTTGTCTACTTTTCTACTGTTCTGTACAGAGATGTTTACTGTTTGTGTGTTCAAAGCAGTAGAATCTAGAAGCAAGTTCTATTTTCATTTTTTTTTTCGGAATGAATTTGTCGTATTATTTCTTCAAATTTCAATAGTTTGTACTAAATACGCTTAAGCTCTCAATTCGTGCTGACAACCTACTTTCACTTTTACAGTTAACTGTTTGATGACGTAAAATATGACGTCATTGTTTCAGTTTGTGCACGTGCACATGTTCTGCGGGCTGATAACTAGTTCTCGGCCCCGGGCCGCAAACTCATAATAGGTCACGTGACACTCATAATCAGTTGAAATCATAGGCAATTTTGTTACTATATATAGTAACAAGTGTATTAATATTACAATAATAAGTTATATAACTTATATTCTTAAAAGGACATGATTAACACGTTCACTTTGAACAAGATTTCTTTATATTAATATATTAAAATATAGGGAAAACAAAGTATAGAAACAAGCTGAACATTTGTCTCTTCTCATAGCTCAAATTTTCCTTTTAGAGTGTTTTAATTGAGATAACAGGGTATGTAGCTACATACATGCATTTGGTTATTCTGGAGTTGCTTCCCCTTACACTGTTATGCTGCATTGTAGTAAATATAGGCAGGGAAGCAGATAACGTATTTAATAAGCTGTATTGATCCCTGCACTGGGCATATTGGCCACTTACAACAAATATTGTACACGAGATATATCTACTTACTGCAGTACCTCTTCAGTACATCTTCAAAAAAAACACGTAAAATGTGCCTTAGTTTTATAGCCAACACTTGCTCGCATTTCCTTTAACTACATGTATAACGACTATCCTGTCATTTTCTGGGCATTTCTTTTTTTATGTCAATCTTTATATGCAAAGGTAGATTCTACATGTTACAAAATGTTTATGTTTTATTGTGGTAATGATGTTATTATCTGACATATTGTCAATACTGATTGCTAATCATTCCAAATAATAGTAGAGCATCTATGAGAGGTAAATTTAGTGTACTTTTGTTTTACTTTGTTTAATAGTGATCATTTGATCAATGTTTATTTATGAGGCACATTTTAAGGGATCAAATCAGTATTCTTGTATAAGATTTGTCATGATATAGAACATACTTAGTCATTTTCATGACTATATTGAGTATGTAAGTAACATAGTTACACGTCTCAAAACCATATTTTGTAGTTGCTTAGTCATAGTAAGTTTTATATAAAGTGATTTATGATTTAATACATAATGTATAATAATAAGGCATTTTAAATATTATTAAAAAATGCCAGTACAAGTGTCAAATGATTCATGTTTTCTTAGGTCTCATTATTTTGAAGACTATTATTACTTCAATATTTCTCTATTAATACTTTTTCAGTTGTACCCTACTTATAAGAAGTACATTTTCACTTTAACTTAATGAAGATGTATTTTTTGTCACCGAGTATAACTTCTCTCCCTAGCTGTTACTGTGTTAGTGATATCAGATATCATCATGGTACAAATAAAAATACAAAGTGTTGGGATGTACACTGATTAAAATAATTATTGTATGAATAAATTACAATTTTTATATATCCCACTCTGTGTAGTGTAATATCCATCATTGAATATACATTAAATATAATTGATAGGTTGTAGTAGACAAAATTGTGTCTCTCAGTCAATTAATATCTGTCACTTAAAAAGATCTTTCTTGATGTTGAATTACTTATAACTTACTATATATTAAACTTTCCTTTTCGAGAAAAATCCTTTTGACCTGGTTTCTAAATGAATTTGATCAAATTATATGATAAACTCAGTATAAAAATTACAAAATCTGAAAGAGAGATATTTTATGTTATGATATATTATTATACATTCCTTTATATAAATTGAGGGTAGAAAGAATCATACAGTTTATATGTTGTATATTATATAAAATAAATATACTGTATATAATTTTTAGTGCACATTCCAATTTGTGATAGTGACTATATCAATGAAGAAGGATGCTAAATACAAAACTGATTACAAATTTTAATATACATAAGACTTATGTAATGTTCAAGTGAATTCAGATTTTTTTTGCATTATGATCAAATTGTATCTATTTTTGAATTGGTTTATTGAACATTGTTAAATAAGAATTATTTATGATAAAGATAATTGGAAAATGTAAGGTATCAATAATATATGTATTAATTTGCAATGTACAAATATATAATACTTACCATGTGTTTTGTGCCATCAAATCATCACCCTCTACTCCTTACATCGTCATCTTAACACCATTGTATAGTGACGCAGTATCATTTGCTTTTGTTTGTTTTAATTTTGGACTGTTAAAGAGATATTAAGTTAGATGAAAAAAAATAATTATGGTATGTATGTATAATATAGCCCCGTGGTTAAGTGGAGGAAAAGGAAATTTTCAATAATTTCTGTTATGGATCTTTTTGAATTATTCCTACACAATATTGTTTTAATTTTGGGATGTTTGATAATAAAAATATGCCAACATCCAATTATAATTAAGTTATTCTTTGCTTTTTTGGGTTTTTATTGTTTGTTTTTTTAGATAGTTGGCAGTTATATAAATATATCGTTAAGTAAACATTAATGAAAATTAGAGGGCACTAGAGGGTTTCGTTTAGTTATATACATATGTATGTTTTTTGTGTAAATGTGTCGTCAGTTAAGGTGCACTTTGAACAATACTCGTTTGTTGTTGAATCATTTTTTAAAAAATGAAAATTGATTGGTCACAGATTTTATAATGGGAGCATAATTATTGTATTTACAAAATCAATAAAATTGATAAATATGATGTGTTTATTACTTCTTTCTATTTCTACCAATGTGCTTAGTTATGATTATAACGTCCTTTTAATTCATTTGAGTTTTAGAGTTTGTACCTTAAACATGTATTAGCCTTTTAAATACATAATTATAATGTCATATGTATAGACATATAATGTCATATGTATAGATATAATGGTGGTGGTGTTGGTAGTTTTCACTCTGGATCACGACAGTAAGCCACATTGAATTCACCAGAGGACACTTCAACCACCGCATCATTCCTGGGCAGGCTGTCAAACAGTTTACCAGTACTAGTTGCATTCACTTTCGCAAGGAACTGAAACTTCTGTACATACCAGAGCAAAGGTACAGTGCGGATGACCGTAGATCAATCACAACGAAAGTGACCTGTACCGTCGGGGAATCGAACCCGGGACGCCCGATTCACAGTCCAACGTGCTACCTATAATGTCATATGTATAGCCTTATAATGTCATATGTAAAGACTAATAATGTCATGTGTATTAACTTATAATGTCATGTGTTTATATTTATAATGTCATTTGTATATTTAGTACATCATTGGCGTACCTAAATATCACTTTATGATAGTGCACATAAGGCTTTATAAAGGGAGATAAACACTGAGGGCTTGAGACTTACCTGTACTGTAAGTAGAGGAGAGAAGAAAAGTGTATAACAATATATGTAACATATTAGAAACATAAAATGTAAATTTATCAGAATATCTTGTATATATATTGAACGAACTACATGGTAAGAATTATGCTGATCTCTAAACCTGACTTTTTACCTTTGGTTTTAGCAATATTTGCCACATTAAATAGTACACTCAACCATGTGTCTGTAAACAACCTAGGGACTATACTGATAGGGACTCCGTGGTGTCGAAGACTTTCACATATGCCAGTTCGTGCAACACAGACCCCATTCCCCCACTACATGCAGTGCAATCTGTATGTGGCCAGGGTATCTTCTTCAAACGCAAACAACACCTTCGCTTTCTCAGTTTTCTACTAAATCTACGATCATCTGACACCCAACTGAACCCTGGACCAATACAGCGCAAGTTTAAATTCCCATGCGGCGTTTGTGAGAAAGGCTGCCATTGGAATCAGAAGGCTATCTACTGCGATGAGTGTGAAACATGGTACCATGCTAAGTGTATACAGCTGAATGATGCTGTCTTCCTGCCCTTCACTAAATCTGACAACGATATGAGCTTTACATGTTTTTCTTGTGGTATCCCCAACTTCTCTTCAAGCCTATTCGACTCGGTCTATGTCCACCAGATTGACACAGATCAACCAAACCATGGAAACAGCCTACATTCAGTTATCAGCAGCGACATCTCAGAACTAGAGAGCGTATCCAGCGTCAATATATCAGACATATCCAGTATTTCCAGATCAACTCACAGCACTTCTAGTATGGAAAACTTCCCACCGTCATGCTCTAGTCCTAAAAAGAATTTCAAGCACAAACTACGCACAAACAACATCCGACTAGCCAGCATTAATATTCAGAGTGTCTGCAGCTCCAAAAAGAAAGCAAGCTTCTGGAACTTCCTTGAATCTGTCAGCTGCGACATCATATGTGGCTGTGAAACGTGGCTAAACCCAACAATCTATGATGCTGAAGTTCTTCCAACTAACAGCAACTACACCATTCACCGTAAGGATAGACCTGATGGCTATGGAGGGAGCCTCATTCTTGTTAAGGACAACATTGTCAGCGAACCAGTCGAAGTCAACACTCCATGTGACATCCTATTCCAGAAAATTGAATGCATCAATAAAGAGACCCTCATCATCGGCTCAGCTTACAGACCAACTAATAATGATGAAGAATATTCAAGACATCTATTCAATGCCATCTCACACATCTGCAACAAATTTAAAAATGCTACTATTTGGATTGCAGGTGACTTCAATCTACCAGATATTAATTGGTCAAACAACGCAATCAATGGACACCAATACAGGAAAGCAATAAATGAACAATTTCTTCTCCTAGAACCTGAACTAGGCCTCACACAAATTGTTGACTTCCCTACAAGAGGCGACAATATACTTGACCTTTTCCTCACCAATCGACCACAACTTGTCAACCGCTGTACAGCAACCCCAGGGATAAGCGACCACCACGCCATATTTGTTGACACCAACATGTGTGCCACACGTATTAAACCAACAAAGCGCACCCTGTACATGTGGGGGAAGGCCAACATCAATACCATTAAAGAAAAAAGCAAAGCCTTATCAGATACCTTACTAGAGAAAATCAACCCCTCTTCAGACATTAATTACATCTGGACTATTTTCAAAAATGGCTGCCAAAAGATCATTGAAGATGAAGTCCCACATCGCCAAAGTGCTCAAAGATTCAATCAGCCATGGATCAACCGGGATATAAGGCGAATTACCAGACTGAAACGAAGGTGGTTCCGGCGTGCCAAGAACTCAAACTCCACTTCTGACTGGTCAAAATATAAAGATATCAAAAGGAAAGCCCAGCGCCTATGCAGATCTGTCCACGATGCCCACATATCAGACATGCTCCAGCCAGACCATCAAAACCCAAAAGTCTTCTGGAACTACATCAAATCCAAGAAGAAAGACAACTTTGGTGTGTCTCCACTCAAGAAGGACGGGTTGGCATACAGCGATGGTAAACAGAAAGCTGAACTTCTAAACAACCAGTTCACCTCTGTCTTCACCAAAGAGGACATGGCTCAACGCCCTACTCTTCCTCCAAGTTGCTTACCAACTCTAAACCCTATACATGTCACGATTAAGGGCGTCCAGAAGCTTCTGTCGAATCTTAAGCCACACAAGGCTCCAGGCCCAGACAAAATACCCACTAGGCTCCTCAAACTTGCATCAGAAGAGTTGTCTCCAGGCCTAGCAAAGCTATTCCAGCTGTCTCTGGATCAAGGTCAGATCCCACTCGAAAACCGCCCTTGTCTCACCTGTCTTCAAAAAAGGAAATCGCTCATCACCATCCAACTACAGACCTATCTCTCTAACATCAGTCTCCTGCAAAGTACTGGAACACATCATCTTCAGCAACATCATGTCTCACTTTGACTCACACAACATCCTCTCTGACTACCAACATGGGTTCAGAAAAAAACGCTCCTGTGACACTCAACTACTAATGACCATTAATGACTTAGCCAAAGGAATATATAACAACCATCAAATTGACGCTGTTCTGCTTGACTTCTCAAAAGCATTTGATAAAGTTCCACACTCACGTCTCCTTCAGAAACTGGACCATTATGGAATAAGAGGCACAACCCACTCCTGGATTGAAGACTTTCCCTCGTCGCGCACACAACAGGTTGTCCTTGAGGGCTCCTTTTCAGCTACCTCACCTGTTACCTCTGGTGTCCCTCAGGGCAGCGTCCTCGACCCTCTTCTTTTCCTGGCCTACATCAATGATTTACCATCGAAAGTCCAATCCACGACTCGACTCTTCGCCGATGATTGCCTCCTGTACAGAATCATCCGTAGCCCTGAGGACTCACGCCAACTCCAACATGACCTTGATAGTCTCCAATCCTGGGAGGATGATTGGCAGATGGCTTTTAATCCCGACAAATGTGAAGTCATCCACATCTCCACAAAACGAAAGCCTATTACTAACACCTATAGCATCCACGGAAAAGAACTCAACACTGCAGATCATGCCAAATATCTTGGAGTCACCATCTCTTCAGACCTCTCATGGAAAAAACATATCGATAACATCACCAAAAAGGCTAACTCCACCATGTCATTCATCAGGCGAAACATACGATCTAGCCCTCCAAGCGCAAAATCTAATGCCTTCAAGACATATATCAGACCTACTGTTGAATACGCCTCATCTGTCTGGTCCCCTCACTCTGAGGGTCTTATCAACCAACTAGAAATGGTCCAACGTCGCGCTGCAAGATTCGTGAAACAAGACTACACACGAACAAGCAGCGTCACCGACATGCTTACCGACCTCAAATGGGACACCCTCCAACACCGGCGCAACAACACCAGAACAACTATGTTCTTCAAGATAATGCACAACCTTGTGGATATTATACCAGATCCTCCACTTATCAATGCTAAGACTGTCAGAGGGTACAACCAACGCCTCCGCCAAATCAGAGCATGCACCTCCATCTTCCAAAACAGTTTCTTTCCTGCAACCATCGTGCTTTGGAACAAGCTGCCGCAAGACGTTGTTGACCAGACCAGCCTGGATGCTTTCCAATCAGCTCTGGCCAGCCAACATATAAACTACTAATCACGGAGTTGTTTTTACTCTTTTAATAGAAACTGTAAATAGGGAAACTTTTTATTTTTATTTTGGAAAACAGTCAGTCCTGCCTGCTGCGTATGTATATACAGTTTTTACCCAATTGCGAGTATACTCCTTGCGGAGTGATGCAATCACTTGAGATGATGATGATGATGATGACAGACTGATCAGTTTTACCTAGCCAATCAAAGGGCGGTTTATCTCGATATCAAGTACTAGTATTTATGCAATCTACATAGAGTAAATTCTCAAGAAGTTTTATGCTCCCGCCTTAAATGTGACGGGGGATAAAGGGGTGCCCTTGTCCGCGTGTGTTTGTGTGTGCGTGCGTGCGTTCGTTCGTTCTTTCGAAAAGTCTACTCTGCCAACATGATGAGATAAAAAACAAAAGTAACAAACAAAGCTGGTGCACTTGATCACTTTAAGGAGACAATGTGTCGCACACAAAATCCTAGCCCAAAGGTAAATGTCACAGCAAGGGATTGAAGTTCGCATTTTGTCAAATAGTCTAAGTGAAGTTTGAATTTGTGTCTTGTCCATAACGTCTGCATACATGATGAAATTTTGGACAGTGGACATCCGTGATGTATGGATACATTGCTAGTTTACAAAATATGCGTTGCAATATTTTTGCAACATTGTCTCTTGTTCCTTTTTTTTCCTTTATTGATTTTTTTTACTTTGAAAACACACTTCCTTTTGATGTTAAACTTAAAAGGCATGAATATTGATGCAATAACTTTATCTAATTGGTTAAGAATGGTTTATTCTACCTACAGTGGTGACAGTTTTACTTTTGATTTTTATTTCGTTTCAACTTATATTTACATTTAGATACCTCCTATATCAAGCCACTTAACTCGTCACAATGACTCTTTACAAAATATTTTAATTGACCGACCTCCTTCAATTATACAAATATATCTTTCATAAAAGAGGACAAATTGCCTGTATAATTGACGGATATAACTATCCATTCATACGTCCGTCCCATAAAAGCCAACCGTTCAGAAATTTTAATAACTTACAATACGGTCATAACAAAGTGCATGCAAAAGTTTCAAGTCATGGCCTACAGACACTTGAATTATTTCTAGAAGCAATGTCCGAAAATAGTAAAATATAATCACAATATTGACATGTCTATCGTTTCACTATTAATTGATGTCAGAAGTGTCAATATTAAAGAGTAAATACAATTTAGGAAACGTTTACCCTCAAACAGTACAGTGCTAAGGTCAGCTATACATGTACACGTTCATAAGAGGAAAAACGTGTGTACTTTTTAAATCGTCACTTAACAGATTTCTCTGATTCATAACCTTGAACTAGAATACCTCTACTAAACGGTGGCAGAAAATACACGTGTTTATATTTGGTAAAAGTTCTAGCAACGTGATTTACGTATCGTACATTTTTTAGCTTTGTTCTGGTCGTGGGCTCACCAACAGAAGTGTCGAGGCTTGTCATTTTATTTAAACAAACAACTGTAGATAAAATGTCAAAAAGAGAGAAATTAGTTAGAACAAAAAAAAAAGAGAAATAATTTACAACATGAGAACAACGAATGTACTTCACTTTTATCTTGACCATACGAAGTATTTCGAGATATCTGTTCTACTCTACCCGGCACCGACGTCCACTTCCGATTTCTGATTGAAGTTTTTGAAAAATTGTTCTTTTTTAACTTTTCTTGTTTGTTTCTATAAATGGTATCTACTTTAGACATAATTGGTCTTTGTCATCAGTCACTTCGTGTATGACAAGGTTCATGACTCTAGAGTCTTAATTTCAAGAGTTTTATCCTTTTTGAACTTTAACAATGTTATATACTTTTTGCACTCTGTCTTACCATCTTTGTTACTGATGGGATTTACTTCAGATTTAAAATTGTTGTCTTTTCCATTAGTGCTTAGAAATATCAGTTTACTTTCATTGACATTGTCACATCCATGTTATGTGGTGCAAAAATTTGGAACATTTGAGTGCTTTCCTCGTACTAATACATGTATATATTTGTATCACGATTGTTTGTTTTATTCAACGACTTATCTTTCTTTATGTGCAGCGTTCAGAATGTAAGTTGAGCGCGCTGAATCCTTTGACAGCTCTTGTTTAATTAGAGAACAAAATAAAATACGTAATCTTGCAGATTTTACATGCTTCTTACTGCATTTATATATTATTACTTTTGAAAAAATAAAAAGCATTTCTTCTTTAACTTGTGCTGGGAGACATGGACGATGTATAACATGCATTAACAATGCTGTCCATGAAAATGTTTAATCAAACTGAGTCTGCATCAAATTTTAATATTACTGTGTTAGGCGACCTTCAAGGCTTCTGATTTCATTTCATCTGTCCTTCATATTCACTGTTGGATGACGCAAATTATATATGTTGTATATTGTTAATTAATTCATAGAATTACATTACCCAACGCATCGTCGCATTTCACTATCTCAAATCGCAAATTTGATTTAATTTATTGTTTCCTTTTTTGTAACAAACTCTTTAGTTCGGGTAGAAACTAAATTTTCATAATTATGTTCATGCTGTGAGGAAAATTAATGTCTGTTTTTTTCTTCACTGGCGGTATGGAAAATCACTGACAAATTTTGAAATTGTTTGACCTTGAACTTAATGCGTAATCATTGCATCTAAGTATTAATTAAAAGCAGAAATTGAAGATATATGCATTAGTATCATTTAGTTTCAATACTTTCAATTATCCCTTGTCAGTGCAGAGATGACCTTGAGCAGACGATATATCAAATTAACATTAGCCCTTACCCTGCTGGTACCAAAGATGATAAGACTTTGCCACTAATATAGAGCCCGTGCAGTCGTACCAGGCTTTATACCAGCATCTTACTGACGTACTCGGCCACTGGGGGAGATAATGATATCAAACTGGTCAGAAAAAAACACGGCATTGAAAAATAGACATTACTTAAACTCATAGCCTGCTAGCTGCAACTGATTCTACCCATGTAGCCAGTGCGGACCATGATCAGGGCACATCTATGATAATACGCTGTGGTTAGAGTCAAAAGTTGCTACTGTTACAGCTTGTTCTTCTATACGTACGAGTATAGTATGCATATCACATGTGCATATGGTATTTATACTGTATATCCTATGTAATATATGTAAAGTACATCTGAACCATAAGTCGTCGCTTTTGCCTACATATTTGGCTCCAAATGGGAAAAGTGACAAATATTTATTTCATATTTTGTCTAAAAATAAACCTGCACCCTTTCTGTACCTTATTTCATATGCGCACTATCTCTATGTTTATCTGACGTGATCATGCTTGCATAAGTATGATAATGCAGAAGAAGATAGTACATCTTTTTCTTTAACATAAACATCTTTTTGATATCTCTTCATAAATATAACTGACCTGCAATCTTGAAAGAAAGGTTATACTTTAATCTCTATGTTGTTCTTCGTTAAATGTTGAAAGGGTTACAAAAAGTGTAATATTTTACTAAACGCGACATCACTACTTTACTATTTAAATACAAGGTACACAACGTCCGTCAAGGAGGTATTTTAAATTATCAAATAGTCGTCTTTAAATAGTTTAATCTTTCTCAATTTGAATAGGGCGTCGTGTGTGGTCACCTGAATTTTAGGTCAAATTTTCATCAATTGATTAACATGTATCCCGATAGTATTTCAATTTTCACATAATTATAAACTTCCTATTTTTTCATGTTTCAAGTGATTTTTTAATCTTTTATGACGGATTTTGTACGAGTTATGTACATATCAATGT